CGTCCCCGCCGTCGTCGTCGTCGCCGCTCGCCGCGGGCATCGATCGCGTCGTCCTCCGCACCGCCTCCATCACCCCCGACGCGGCGGCGAACGCGCTCGTCGAGACGCTCGGCCTGAGAAAGCTCTCCGCGGCGGAAGATCCCGCCGCCGCGCGCGACGGCCGCGCGGTCGTGACCGGCGCGTACGGGATCGCGCTCGAGCTGCGCGGCGGCGCGGACGGCGACGACGACGACGGCGGAGATGGAGACGACGACGGTGACGTCGAGAAACGCATCGCCGCGTCGCGATTTCCGCCGGCGTTGACGACGCTCACGTTGACGTCGGATAACCCCGCGAGAGCTCGCAACGGCGCGATTCGAAACGGCGCGACCGCGTTCAAGCAGCCGCCGCACGCGGGCGAGCGATGCGCCGGCGACGCGTACCTGGGCTGCGCGGTCTCCGTCGTAGGGTTCCCGGTCGTCTTCGCGAGGGCGTCTGCCGGCGGCGGGCAGGCGCGTTCTATTTCCGCGCCGGTCCCCGTACGACCGCGTCGGCGCGGTGAACGCCGTTCCTTGAGGACTTTCTCTCCCGGCGTTCGTCTCTCTCCGCCCACCCCTCGGTTTCAATCCCGAAACGCCTCGGCGCCTTTCGACTCCGCTTCTGACGCACCCCTGACCTCCGCCCCGACGTTCCGTTCGCTCGCGCGGAACGACCCTCAGGCTGCAGTCGCGCGCGTCGGCGTCGCCGCCGCCGCCGCCGGCGGCGTCGACGCGGCGAGCGTCCTCGCCGCGTTCGGCGGCGAGGTCGCGAGCGGCGTGCGCGTCGTGAGCGGCGCGCAGCCCGGGGTCGTGGACAGAGCCGCGGAGGACCGGAAGAGAGACGCGAGCGCGCGCGGAGAGACGCTCGCGCCGGACGTCCCGTCGGGCGGCGGCGGCGTCGAGCTCGGCGGGGAGGAAAAGCCGAGCGACGCGTGGCGAGTGTTGGCGATGCGCTCCGCGCGCGGGGGGTGGTACGTCCCGCCGTGACGCGCGAGGGCGTCGCGGCGGGTGATGGTGTAGTTGTGATAGTAACGGCGCGCGTCGATGCGTTTTGAGTCATCGACGCGCGGCGAACTCGCTTCTTCGTCCGCGCCCTCGAAAACCACGCACGCACTGCACGCATCGACGAGATCAGCAGACGCGTTGATGCCAGATCAGAATTTCTTCCCCGAGCGCGTGGTCAACACGCGCGGCACTCTGGCACGCGCGCGCTCCTCACCGAGCGCGCGATCCCAGGTCGGACCGACGCCACGATGGTCCACGCACGCCGCGGCGACGCGGCGATGCACGCATGAGAGATGCGACGGTTCAGAGATGGAGAGATAGGTGCGTCGCGACGCGCGTCTCCTCGCGCATTCGTTCTCGTCTGACGCAACGACCGAATTTCAACCCTAAATCTCCCCCGCGGCCCCTCCGCCCTCCTCTCCCGCGTCGCAGCTAGCGTCTAGTACGCCTCGCCCTCGTGGTCTCGCGTTCGCGGACCCGAGTTCACCCCGAACGCCGCCCTTTCACCCTGCCGCCGATTTTGGCGCGCGTGTCTCCGATGGTTTCACTCAGATCTCGCGCGATCGAATTTCGTTCCCGAGTCGAGAATTACTCCTTCGAGCGTTGGTTGGTTCCCGCCGCCTCGCCACAAGACGACAGTGTTGTTCCCAGTGTCACGTCCACACAGGAGTTCACTCACGCGTTCACACCGATGGAAACATCTGGCACTCTCACACGGCTGTAAGACGCGACGCGCCGCGTCCGCGCGTGCTCAGACTCAAGATCACTAGACGCCGGTTCGCATTCAATTCGTTCCCGTCTACTTCACTCTTGCCGCGATACGCATCGAATGCTTCGCTTGATTTGATATCTTCCACGATTTCATCGCATCACACGACTGGCGCGTTGGCTCGTTTGGATCGCTTCACGGTGTACCCCAGGCAGGCGACGATCAGAATTCTCGGTAAGACCCGGCGCCGCGGCCCGGGCGCGACGCAAGACGCGACACCGCCACGTGCAGCTGCCGTGGCGATCGCACCCCACAGGTTGTTGTTCTGGTGTCGCCTACCCTTCGGGGAGGCGACACCAGACACTCCGACATACCCCTTCAGGTTGTTGAGCCCCCTTCGGGGATGGCCACGCCTCATACCCCAGGTTGTTGACCCCCCCTTACGGGGCTGGCGAGATCGTATCACTCCGGAACATCAAGGTGCACGACGATTCTTTCCACGTTATCACCACGATTACTCCACCAGGTGCACTTCTACTGGCGACGAACCCGTGCGAGAAGAAATATCCGTGCGACGAATCCGCTTCGACGACGACGACGTAAGTCCACGACACATTTGCGTTATCACCACGATTACTCCATCAGGTGCACGACGGCTACTCGTTCGAGAACGTCAAGATCCGGTCACTCTGAGATACCGACGAAAGACTCCCGACTTTATTACGTCAAGCCTCCCTCCGCGGGACGGTCACGAGCTCATCAGCCGATTACGGTATTTTACTACTTCAGCACTGCGTCGTTATTAGGCTTCTTCATAGGCCCGACCAGTCAGCTCCAGATACATATATCTTGTGTTTTCCTTGGTCATCATCCAGCGTGAAGGTTACAGCTGTGTTCATTCTTCCGTTCAGTTTTATCTTCGTCGGCTTCGTTCCGCTTCAGTATTTTTCTCTTGTACCGCTCACGTGTTCAGCAGTTATCACATCGCGCGCGCTCATCGCATCAGGACATTCGATCACAGCGTAAAGTACTTCATTCGTTCATTACGTCGCACTCACGAGTTTACTGCATTGCTTTCACTCATCGATCATTTCGCTCATTTCGCTTGAAACTTCGTCGCACGACACGTCACGGAAAATTATTCACTCATCGGTCTTCACGCGCTATCATCACGATACAGTTAAGATTAGATATTCGAACGTTTTCTGTTTAGGTTCTTGTGCATAGGTTTCATTAGGAGCTTATATTGGTGTGTGTTGTGTTGTTGTTGTGTGTGTGTTGTTTATACGCTGTGGGTTGGTTTGGATGTTCCGCGGACGGGCGCGACGACGACGGTCGGTACGGTGTACTTTTTCTGCCGCTGATTCTTCCTTTTGGATAGTTCACGCGCGCTGCTTTTGTTTGCGTTCTGCCGGCGATGCCTTCTGTTCCAGATTCTGGGTGACTTTCTTCGTGTTTTTTTGCTTCCCTCACCGTTCTTTTTGCTATGTGTTCACCACTTTCGAGTCGCGACTTTGCATTTTTTTCAATTTAGCGTCGTCGGGAGGTCAGTGTGATGGTTACTTGTTTTGCCGCTAATGTGCTTATCAGGGTCCTATTCTTTGGTTGGTTTCCGTTATCCCCCGATGATGGCGCGCGTTTTATACCGCGCCGGAGGGTCTCTCGTTCATCGCGCCCGCGAACAACGGGCCGGCGGGGTTCGCAGCCCCGGCGAGAGGTGGGGATTCGACGCGAAACGAGACGCGCTTCGGAAGGATGGATTGGATCGGCGGAGGGATAAAAACGAAACGTCGCGATTCGACGCCGCGGCGGCGACCGCGCGCGCGGAGGGGCGCGGCGTTCGAGCCTAGCAGATCGATCTGTGTGCTATCGACGATCGATTCATCCGTTCTAATCTACGACTCGATCGCGCCTCGGCGTTCCCCCGCGCGCGCGGATGACGCCGTCTTCGCGCGAACGAATTCGCTTTTTCCCGCCGCGCCCTTCCGCGTCTGCTAGTCCGTCTTCGCATCGGCCACGGCGGGCACCCCTTCCGCGCCGCCCTCTCCCCCGCCGCCGCCCTCTCCCCCATCAGCCTCGTCCAGCCACCGCAGCCCCAACAGCGGCACCAAACTCGACAGGTTACATATCAGCACCAGCGCGAACAGCCCGTCGAAATTTTCCTCCGTCACGCCCAACGCGGCGGTGAGCGCGGCGCCGAGCGCGGCGCTCGCCGCGCCGCCGGCGTTGAAGACGCTCATCAGCGCCGCGAACAGCGTCGCCTCGACGCCCTCCGGGCACGTCTTCGCCGCGAGCACGAGCACGGGGAGGAAGGACACCTCCCCGAGCACGGTGAGCACGACGGTGTCGCCGAGGCTGAAGAACTGAGGGTCGTTCCATACAAAGCGATGTCGGGGTGGAGTTCATAGGCGTCAGTTGGAGTTGAAAGGTGTCGAGGGCGGGGATTGAAAGCGAGGGGTGGGCGTAAAGAAACGCCGGGAAAAGTCCTTAAGGATCGGCGTTCACCACGCCAACGCGGTCGTATGGGGACCAGTGTATAGAACGCACCTGATCGCTGATCCCCCACTCGCGGTTCAAGCCGGCGACTAATATCAACTGCGTGAGGCCCAGGCACGTCCCCAGCACCGCGCTGACCGTAAACATCTTCTTCAGCGGGACGTCTTTCAGGTACGCGTTGTACACGCCGACGCCGACGAGCGCGGCGACCGATCGCGCGAGCGCGACGCGGCCGAGAAACTCCGGCGTGAAGCCCAACGCTTCCGTCTGAAAGTAAAACATCGCCGCGCCCGGGTTGGGCGTCGCCTGCCACAGAAACACGAACGCCGTCGGCGCCCACACCCTCCGGTCCTTCCCGACGTCCCAGAGCTTCCCGCCGAGAATCTTGATCTCATCGACGATCCCGGGATGACTAGAACTCGACGGCGACGGCGACGGCGGCGCGTCACCCCGGTCGCTAGGGTCGACGATTCGCTTCTCGTTCACGAGCGTCGCCGCCGCCGCGATGAGAAGCGGAAACAACGCGGTGACTCCGAAGACGAACCGCGTGCCTCTCTCTTCGATCAGCGCGCCGCTGAAGTACGCGCTGGCGATCCCCCCGAGCGCGACCGAGCCCCAGCACAGGCTCTGGAGGCTCCCGGACGTGGCCTGCGATTCCCCGCGCGCGGCGGCGACGACGACGGAGTCGATGACGACGTCGGCGAACGCGGTGGATAGGCTCCCCGCCGTGAACGCGATCACCGCGCCCGGGACGTCCGTCACGTACGCGCTGAGTCCGAACCCCGCGACCGCGCCGAGCGCGCCGCACAGGACGAGGTAGGACTTCCTGCGGTATCCGAACAGCGGCACGCTGTCGGAGATGAACCCCCACACCGGCTTGACGAGCCACGGCGCCGCGGAGACGGAGAGCACGAGCGACGCCTCGGCGGGGGAGAGATGGAGATCGTCCTTGAGGAAGTAGTCCTTCGCGAGGCGCGACAGGCCGAGGATGCCCTGGACGAAGTACACGAGGACGATCGCGGCCACCTCCGGACGCATCTCCACGCCGAGGACGGTCCGCGCGGCGGCGGTCGAGACGGCGGCGGCGGGATCGGGATCGGAGGCGGCCCCGGACGTCGACGCGGACGTCGACGGCGTCGCGTCGTCGTCGTCGTCGTCGCCGCCGCCGCCGCCGCGCGGCTCGACGAGCGTCGGCTCGACGACCTCGAGGAGATCGGGCGAGGACGCGACGTCGTCGCTCGGCGGCGTCGCGCGCGCGAGCGCGACGCCGCCGCGATGTTGTCGCGGGCGGCGGGCGCCGACGACGACGACGACGTCGCGACGACGAGGAGGAGGAGGAGGAGGAAGAAGCGCGCGCCGCGTCGACGACGCCGCCGAGCGCCGCGACGCGCGCGTCGCCGCCGCCGCGGACGCCGCGCCGCTCGCGACGACGCGCATCGCGATCCGCGCGCGGTCGCTCGCCTCGCTCTTCTCCCTCCCGACGCGCGTCGACGGAGTGTGACGGGGGCGGACGGCGGACGGCGGAGGTTTCATCAGCGGCGATCTCGTCAAGCTTAATTCATCGAACGCGTCGTCGCGCGGATCGATCGATCACAACGATCCCGCGCGTCGGTCGAGAGGACGCCGACGCGGGTCGCATCGGATGTCCTTCGCGATCCACAAGCAGGTCCACCCCCCCACCGGGGTGGACCACGCGTGCGCGGCGTACTTCACGCACCCGATCGGCAGCGGCGCGCCGCCGAACCTCGTCGTGCTCCAAGCGAATCGCCTCACGATCTACGCCATCCGACGCGACGGCGACGCTCGCGACAACCCGAGCGGGAACGCGACGAAAGAGGCGGACGACGCCGCGATCGCGGCGTCGCTCGTCGCGGACGCGATAAGCGGCGCGGGCGCGACCGCGTCCGCGACGATCGACGCGGACGACGCGGAGGTATCCCTCGAAGTCGTCGCGGAGTTCGATCTGAACGGCACCGTCGGATCGATCGCCACGCTTCGACGTCGCTTCGGCGCGCCGCGCGAGCAGCGCGACGCGCTCCTCCTCGCCGTGCGCGAGTCCAAGCTCAGCGTCGTGGAGTTCGACCCGTCGACGCTGTCGCTCGTGTGCAGCTCGCTGCACTCGTGGGAGACGCCGCCGGGCGCCGGCGGCGTGCCGTCCGCGCTGCGCCTCGCGCCGACGCCGCCCGTCGTCGTCGCGGACCCCGAGGGTCGATGCGCGGCGGTGCTGTTGCGCGCGGAGGGAGGCACGCGACTCGCGCTGCTTCCCACGGTCGAGGCGGACGAGTTCGGTGGCGACGTCGACGAGGAGGAGGAGAAGAATTTAAGGGTGGAGAAGGACAACGACGCGATGGACGTGGACGGCGGCGACGGATCGGAGGGAAAAGGTCGTCGGACGTTGCGAGGCACCGCCGCCGCGGTGAAGAAGTCTTACGTCGTCGACCTCGTCCGCGAGATGGGCGTTCGGTACGTCCGCGACGTGTGCTTCCTTCACGGGTACGGCGAGCCCGTGCTGCTCGTCCTGCACGAGGAGCGTCTGACGTGGGCCGCGCGCGCGACGCTCGTGAAGGACACGATGCGGCTCAGCGCGATTTCGTTAAACGTGGACGCGAGAAAACACACGGTGATCTGGCGTCGGAGCGCGCTGCCGCACTCGTGTTATCGTCTTACCGCGATGCCCGCGCCGCTGGGCGGCGCGATCGTGCTGTCGCAAAACTTTTTGCTGCACGAGTCGCAGGAGAGCAGCGCGGCGTTGGCGCTGAATCCGCTCGCGGGCGGCGGCCGCGGGGACGACCCCGCGGCGAAAGCCGCCGCCGCCGCCTCCGCCGCCGCCGTCACCGCCGGGAACGCGGGCGCGCTGGACCCCTCCCTCGCGAACCCGCCCGCGGCGGTGCTCCACCGCGAGGGCACGGAGTCCGCGGTGGGGGTCGCCGTCGAGCTCGACGGCGCGTACGCGGCGGTCATCTCCGAGAAGCAGGCTCTCGTGACGACCAAGGCGGGCGCGTTGTATTTACTCTCGCTGCGAATCGAAGGCAGAAGACTCGCGACGCGCGGGGGGATGCACCTGAAACGCGCCGGCGGCGCCGTGCTCTCGTCGGGGATGTGCCTCGTCACGCGACGGTTGCTGTTCCTGGGCAGCCGCGTCGGGGACTCGCTGCTCGTGTCGTTGAAGGAGAAGGAAGCGACGAAAGACGCGGCGATGCTTCCGGCGCCCGAGGGCGGAGAGACGAAAAAACGAAAAGCGGACGCCGAGACGCCGACGCCGACGCCGCTTCCGCCGCCGCCGCCGATGAACGAGGACGACGAGCTCGAGGCGATGCTCTACGGCGAGGGCATCGACGGCGGCGCCGGGAAGGCGACCGAGGGCGGCGGCGGCGGCGGCGACGACGGCGGCGGCGGAGGTGAGACTGCTTCCAATACGACCCCGTTCGCGTGGTGCACGCCGTTCCTTAAGGACTTTTCCCGTCGTCACTCTTCACCCGCGCTTCCCTTTCAACGTTTGACCGGTAAGACGTTCGACTGACCGATCGCTTCACCCACGCAGAGGTCAACGCGGACGGAGAAATCGACGGCGTCGGCGGCGTCTCCGCCGCGTCGCTCCGCGCCGCCGCCGCCGCGCACCGCGCGCCGGACCACCCCGGGTACACCTTCACGGTCAGAGACTCCGTGCTCGGGATATCCCCGGTGATCGACCTGACCGTCGGCGCGAGCGCGAGCGTGAGCGGGGACACGATCGAGAGGACCGAACTCATCGCGGCGTGCGGGCACGGGAAAAACGGCGCGCTCGCGGTGCTTCAACGCGGGATTCAACCCGAGCTCGTGACCGAGGTCGAAAGCGGAACCCTTCCCGGGTTGAAAGGGACGTGGACGGTGCATCACGACAGCGCGGACAACGAGCGTCTGCGCGGGAGCGCCGCGGCCGCCGCCGCGCAGGCGGTGGATCCCTACCACGCCTATCTCGTCATCTCGCTCGCGTCGTCGACGATGATTTTGGAGACTGGGGAGGAGCTCAAAGAGGTGAGCGAGCACGTCGAGCTCGTCACGGACGCCGCGACGCTGTGCGCGGGGAACGCGTTCGGGCGAGAGCGGATCGTGCAGGTGTACGACAAGGGCGTGCGCGTCGCCGCGGGGCCGGTGAAGGTCCAGGACATCGCCTCGACCGAGCTCGTCGCGGACGCCGGCGACGGAGAAGGAATCGAAATCGTCGCGGCGGAAATTTCGTTTCCGTACGTGCTCTGCCGCCTCTCCGACGGCTCCCTCGCGGTCCTCAAAGGCGACGAGGAGAGCAAAACGCTCGTGAAGTTAGACGTGGACGCGCTCGCGCGCTTACCCCCCGGCGGCGGGATCGCGTGCGCGACGCTCGTGGACGACTCGACGCCGGCGGCGGCGCACGGCGGGCTCCACGACCGCTCGCCTGGATTTTTAAAACGCGCGACGACGGCGACGGCGACGACGACGACGACGACGGCGTCGGCGTCCCGGGAAGACGGCGACGACGACGACGATTCGCGTCGTCCGATGTTCCTCGCGGTGACGCGAACCGGCGGCGCGCTCGAGCTCTACTCCCTACCTTCCTGCGACAAGGCGTGGACCGCGAACGGTCTATCCGAAGGCGTCGCCGTGTTGTCCCCCGCCGGGAGCGCGTCGGCGGCGCTCGTCGACCGCGACGCGGCGGCGGCGGCCGACGCCGGCGCCGACCGCGCGCCGGAGATCGTCGAGCTCCGCGTCGACGCGTTCGCGCGCGCGCACGAGCGTCCGCTGCTCACCGCCCTCCGCGCGGACGGCGCGGTCCTCGTGTATCGCGCGTTCACGTGCGCCGTCGCGGGCCCCGGCGGCCGCGCGCTCACGCAGTTGCGGTTCGCGCGCGTCCCCGTCGAGCTCGAAGGCGGCGGCGGCGGCGCGGTCGACCTGAGCGCGCTTCCCGGGTCTCGGCTCACGCGTTTCGAGCGCGTCGGCGACCGCGGCGGCATCCGAGGCGTGTTCGTGTCCGGTCCGCAGCCGCTCTGGCTGCTCGCGCGTCGGTCGCGCGTCCTCGCGTTGCCCGTTCGCGGCGAAGCGCAGCGCGTGGTGTCGTTCACCGCGTTTCACAACGTCAACTGCCACGCCGGATTCATCCTCGGCACCGCCGCGGGCGGCGTGCGCATCTGCCAGATCCCCGGGCGAATGCACTACGAGGCGGCGTGGCCAGTGCGTAAGCTCGCGTTGCGATGCACGCCGCATCACGTGCAGTACCTGCCGGACTTTAAGCTCTACGCGTTGTCGACGTCCGCGCCCGCGAAGTGGGTCGAGCCGGAGGTGGCGGAGGAGGACATTCACGCCGCGACGGTCGTGAAGACGCGCCGCGCGAAAGCGATGGCGCGCGGCGGGGTAGAGGAGCAGTTCGCGGTGAAGCTTCTCGTCCCCGGGTCGTTGGAGACGGCGTGGTCGCGCACGATGGACCCGGGGGAGCACGTCCAGGCGGTGAAAAATGTGCAGGTGAGGACACGCGTATTTCACCCATCCCTCGGTTTCAACATTTGATCGCGTCCCCTTTCAACTGACCGGTGAATGGAATGGCCCTCAAACGTGCAGGTGAGGAATCTGCGCACGGGGGCGTTGCACTCGATGCTCGCGGTCGGGACGGCGATGCCGGGGGGCGAGGACACGCCGTGCCGCGGACGCGTCATCTTGTTCGAGATCAGCTGGCAGATGGTCGACGGGGAGACGAGGCGCGTCCCTCTTCTTCTTCTTTTTTTCGATGACGCTCTCGCGTTCGGTGTTCGGTTCGGTCGTCCCTTTCTTTTCTTTATCGTTCCATCGGCTCATCAGTCTCTGGACGAGAGGACGAGACGGTTGGCTTCTTTTCGACGACGACGACGACGACGACGACGACGACGCGAGATCCGATGATGAACGCCGAACTTCTCATTCTTCTATCTCTGAAGCTCGCTCCTGATTACGCATTCCGGCCATGCTAATCTTGAGGATCTCGCGTCGCGGCCGCGGCGCTCGTCTCGTCCCCCCCGCGGTCCCGTCCCCGCCCGACCGCGCGTCCCTCCCTCCTCTGACGCTCGACACGTCGTCTCGTCGCTTCCCGCAGGTGGGTAGGCCGCGTCGCGTGCGTGCGAGACGCGAAGATGGCGTGCAGCGCGCTGTCCGGGCTGGAAGGCCACCTCGTCGTCGCCATCGGAACGAAACTCATCGTGCACGCGTGGGACGGCGCGGAGCTCATCCCCGTGGCGTTCTTCGACACCCCGGTGCACACGGTGACGATCAACGTGGTCAAGAACTTCGTGTGCATCGGCGACGTCCAGAAGGGCGCGTACTTTTTCCGGTGGAAGGACGATCCGAGGACGGGGGAGAAGAATTTAATCCAGCTCGCGAAAGACTTCGAGAGCATGGACGTCCTCTCCACGGAGTTTCTCGTCGACGGGAGCACGCTGTCGCTCCTCGCCGCGGACACCGCGGGGAACGCGTACGTGTTCGCGTACGACCCGAAGTCCTCGGAGTCGTGGAAAGGCCAGAAACTCCTGACGAAAGCGTCTTTCCACGTCGGCTCGCCCGTGCATCGCATGGTGCGATTCAAGCTCAAGACGCCGACGGGCGCGGGGAACGACGGGCGCGCGGCGCCGACGCCCGCGGAGATCAAGGCGAACGCGAACCGACACGCCGTCTTCTTCGGCACGCTGGACGGGTCGCTGGGGATCCTCGTCCCGATGGAATCGAGCACGCACGCGAAGCTCGAAGTGCTGCAGCGGTGGTTGAATTACAACACCGCGCAAAACGCGGGGTTGAACGGGCGGAGCTACCGCGCGCCCAAGACGACGGAGGGACGCGCGATGCGATCACCCGCGCCGCACAATTTGCTCGACGGCGAGATGTTGCAAGGGTTCGAGTCGTTGGCGTGGACGAAGCAAGCGGAAGCCGCGGACGCGGCGGGGATGACGAGAGAAGAGGCGCTGACGTATCTGCACACGCTCTCCGCGAAGACGGCGTTCATGTAGGTGGTCGTCGTAACTTGCTTCAGCACGGACGCGGACGGAAAGGACGGCTCCACGATCTAAAACTTAGCCAAGATTAATAATACTGCGATACACGCCACTACCACCGCTGCTGCTGCTGCTGCAAATGCCGCTGCTGCGCCATCTGATTCTTGTACATCATGTCCCCGATGTACCGCGCGTCGCGCTCGCCTTCGATCGCGTCGCGATCCTTCTTCGCGCGTCGCAGCGTCTCTCGCTTCACCTTTTGAATCAACGCCACCAGCGCGTCCTCGCGTTTCCGCCGCTCCTCCGGGTCCTCCGCCGCCGCCGTCACCGCGGCGGCGTCGAGCACCGAACTCGTCGCGATCCGCCCGTCGCCGTCGCGCTCGAGTTTCATCCCCGCGAGGCCGTCGATGACGGCGCGCTGACGCTCGAGACGTTCCTCTTCCAGACGTTCCGTCCGCTCGATGAACGCTCGCAAACGCTCAGCCTCCGCCGCGCGCTTCTCCGCGAGCTCCGCCGCCGTGAGCTGATCCTCCGGTATCGCCTTCGCGTTTCGCATCGCGCGCGCCTTGGACGCCTTCTCCGCGTTGAGCGCGTCCACCTCGCCGCGTCGGTCGCGGTCTTTGCGTCGCGACGCGAGGTCTTTTTCAAACGCCGCCGCGCGCGCGACTTCGCGGTCGGCTTCCTTCGCCTCCAAGAGCTTCGCCTCCTTCTCCGCGCGTATGCGCGCGATGAGGAGCTCTTCGTCCGTCATCGGACGACGCGCACGACGCGGCGACGGCGACGGGGAGGAGCGCTCCGCCCCGGGGGGATACCACGGCGGGGCGTCGTCGTCTTCCGTCGCGCGGCCTCGACGTTTCGGCGCAGGCGACGCCGACGCCGCCGCCGCCGCCGAAACGTCCGCCGCCGACGGGCGGCCGACGCCGGCGCGCATCTCCGCCGCCGCCTTCGCCCTCTCCGCGTGCATCTCGTCCACCTTCGCGCGGCGATCGTCGCTCTTCGGCGTCGCGGCGCTCGCGGGGTGTCCCGAACGTCCCGAATTCGCGCCGTCGCCGACCTTCTCGAAATTCACCTTTGACGGGTCAAACGGCGTCTTCTCCGTCGTCCCCGATCGCGTCCGACCGACGTGCTTCGCCGCGCCGCTCGCGGCGTCCATCCCCGCTCTCGCGACCGCGCCGCCCGTGGTCGACTTCTTCGCCGTCGGCGTCTTCTTCTTCTTCTTCTTCGCGCGCGGCGTCCCCGCCGCGGGTCCCCCCTCGACCGCCGCCTCCGCGCGTCGCGGCGCGCCGTCCGCCGCGCTCTCCCCGCGCCACTCCCCCGCGAGCGTCTTCCTCGCGACGGCGAGCCGCAACCCGCGGCGCAGCTCCGGCAGCGACACCATCGCGTCGCCGTCGACGTCCAAGAAACACATCAGCTGCGACACGAGGTACCGCGTCTCCGCGTGAGATACGCCGCGCGCGCCGCCGTACGCGCCGGCGACGAGTCGCTGCAGGTGAAACGCGTCCAAGCCCTTCGCGCGGATAAAGCTCGGCGGGCGGCGAGGATCCGCGATTGGGGGGTCGAGCGCGGCGTCGAAGAACGCCGCGGTCGACTTCCTCTCGTCGACGCCGTCGACGCGCGTTGCGATCTTTTGTAGAAAGTCCGGCACCGTGGGCGCGGTTTTGACGCGCGCGGCGTCTTTCCCCTCGAGTTCCGTCTCCATGACGCAGATTTCAATCTCGCGGACGGACGTCTTGTCGTCGCCGTCGAGGTCGAGCATGACGGTGAAATACGCAATCTCCGCGTCGCTCGCGGCGGGGTACACCGCGCGTATCATCCGCGACAGCTCGCTCGCGTCTAACAAGCCTCTTCGGCGTTCGTCGTGCTTCTTGAAGAGCTTTCGGAGGTTGGACTTCTTCCGTTCAAAGTGCGCCTTCATCGCGTCGAACAGCGCGCGCATCGGCGCGACGGGCGTGATTTTGCCGTCGTCGTCGACGACGCCGACGAGCGTCGGCCACGCGCCGGCGGCGGACGCGTTGTCCGACACTTTGTCCGACACGTGCGTCGCGTCCTCCTCCGAGTCTGATTCGGACGACGACGACGACGACGACGCTTCCGACGAATCGGAAGAGGACGAGGCATCCGAGTCCGAGTCCGAATCCGACGACGCGTCCGACGCGTTCTTCTTCTTTTTCGTCCGCTTCTTCCTCTCCCTCATCCTCTTCTTCTTCTTCGCCGCCGCCGCCGCCGCGCGCGCGCGCTTCGCGTCCCGCTTCTTCGTCGCCTCGTCCGGCTCGAACACCTGCTTCGTGTCGTGATCCAGCAGCAGCGACCCGTCGCCGTACACGTCCTCGAGCTCCCACGGCACCGCGTCCGGGTGTTCAAACGTCGCCGGCGTCGTCGGCGGCGCCGCGGGCGACGTCCTCCTCCGCCGGTCGACACTCGATCGCGCGGCGTCGGCGCCGCCGTCGACCCCTCCGCCGTCGCCGCCGCGCGCGTCCACCTTGACGACGTTCACGAGCCGAAGCGCTCGGAGGAGCTCGTCGTACGACACGCGCCCGTCGCCGTCGACGTCCGCTGACCACAGACCGGCGAGCAGGCTTCGTCGTTCCAGCGTCGTCGCGGAGGGGACCAAGTCGCCGACCATGCGCCAGAGCTCCGGGTACTCCAGATACCCGCTGCCGTCTAGGTCGCACGCGTCGAAGACCGCGCGCACGTCCGCGGCGTTGTGTCGCATGAAATCTGATAACCGACGTAACGCCTCGGGGGGTTCCGTTTCGTCCGCCGCGGCCTCCATCGCGACGCCGGCGGCGCGGCAGTCGCGAATCGTCCCCAAGAGTTCGTCGAACGTCAGCACGCCGTCTCCGTCGACGTCAAGCATCACGCGGAAGTAGTGCATGTCGTGGTTGGACGCGGAGGGTAATATCTTCGCGATCGCGCGCGAGAGTTCGCGTCGATCGAGCGCGCCGTCCTTATCGAGATCGAACGCGTCGAAGACGTCGCGAAGGCGTCGCTTTTCCGTCTTCAGGTATCGGTCCAACGCCGCGAACAAATCCTTCGAGCCGCCGCCGCCGGTCGCGTCCCCCGACGCGTTCTCCTTCCCGGACCCGCCCGCGCCGCGGGCTTTGATCGGGACGATCGCTCGCCCGGTAGGGTCGAGGATCCCGACCGCGCGAGGCCAGCCGCCGTTCGACCCCTCGACGTACGCCACGCCGGTGCCGCGGTCGACGAGAAACGACTTCCCGTCGACGGTCACCGCGTCGAGGGACCAATCCTCCGCGTGCGCGCGCTCGCCGGTCTTCGTCTTCGTCTTGGCCATCGGCGAAGGTGTCGGCTTCGACGACGATCGCGTCGACGAGTCGCGCGACGGTTGACGTTCCGTCTTCCCCCGCGCCGCCGACGCCGCCGCCTTCTTCGGCTTCACGCGTTTGATCGTCGCCAACCGCAACCCTCGCAAAAGCTCGGGGTAAGAGACGTCGCCGCCGCCGTCGACGTCGATCGCGCGCATCCCCACGAGCATGTGCCGTAAGTCCCTCGCGCTCACCCCGGGGACGAGCTGCTTGATCATCTCTCGCAACTCGGGAAACTCCAGCCGACCGCTGCCGTCCAAGTCGCACGCGTCGAAAACCTTCCTCGCGTCCGCGCCGTGCCGTCGCATGAAGCTCTGCAGCTTCGCCATGACGTCGCTCAAGCCGTCGTCTCGCGTCGTCGTCGTCGTCGTCGTCGCGCCGCCGCCGGACGAAGCGGCGGCGGCCTGGGCCTGCATGCACTCCCCGATCGCGGCGATGAGATCGTCGTATCGCACCAACCCGTCCTGCCGGACGTCGCACAGGACACCGAAATAGCGGACCTGATCGATGGCGACAGGGAACGCGGGGTGAACGATGGGTCAGTCGCGCGTTGAAAGGGAAGCGCGGGGTGAAGCGCGAAGACGGGAGAGAAAGTCCTTAAGGAATGAAGTTCACAACGCGAACGCGGTCGTATGGGGACCAGTCAGCGCGGGAACGGGGCGACGCTCACCTCCGCGTCGTCCGCGTCCGGTATCAACCTCAACACGAACGCTCTGAGCTCGCTCGCGTCCAGCGCGCCGCTGCCGTCGACGTCGAGGTCGTCGAACACGTCGCGCAACCTCGCGCGGTTGTCCTTCAGGTGCCGATCGAGAGCTTTAAACACGTCGCCCGCGTCTCTTCCCGCGGCGCCGCCCGGCGCGACGCGCGCGCCCGCCGGGTCGTTGTCGTCCTCGATCAGCCTGCCGACGGCGCGCGGCCACGTCGCGAACGGAACGTCCTCGTACGCGGCGAGCGATTTCGTGTTTCGGTCTACGAGGTACGTCTTGCCGCGCACGCGCGTCTCTTCCAGGACCCAGACGTCGTCCGCCTCCGGGGACGGGTCCCGCGGCGGCGGCGGCGGCGGCGCGACGCCGCCTCCGGACGACCGTCGCCCCCGCGGCGGCGGCGCGGACGCGAACGCGGACGACGACGACGACGCTGACGCGCGGCTTGACCGTCTCTCCGCCGCGGACGCCGCCGCGGACGACGTCGACGTCGACGACCGACCGGCGCCCGGTTTGCTCCCGGTTGGTTTTTTCTTCACCACCCTGACAAGCCGCAAGCCTTGGTTGAGCTCCTCGAGCGATACCCGCCCGTCCCCGTCGAGGTCCACCGCGCCGAGCAAATCCCTCAGCAGCGTCGCGCGCTCGACGCGCGTGAGCCCCGGAACGGCGTCGTCCACGAGACGGCTCAGCTCGTTCGCGTCCAAGGACCCGATCTTATCGACGTCGTGCTTTTCAAACACGCCGCGCGCGTCCTCCTTAAACTTGATGGCCAACGAGGACATGACGTTCGTGACGCCGTCGTCGCGCGACCGCGCGCGAACCGTCCGAACGCAGTCGACGATGTCCTTCAGGGTGACGCGTCCGTCGCCGTCGCGGTCGAGGAGCGCGCCGAACGCGGCGCACTCGCGTTCGTTGACGTCGGAACCCCTGTCGCGAAAGAGGTTCATCATGAACGCGCGCGTCTCGCGCGCGTCCAGCGCGCCGTTGCCGTCGGCGTCGGCGTCGTCGAACGCGTCCGCGAGCGCCGTCGCGCTCTCGCGGAGGAAGAGGTCGAGTGACGCGACGAGCCCGTCGAGGGTCTTCGCGGGGACGAGCGAGCCGCCGTAGCCGGTTCGGGGGTCGACGACGCCGCGGACGTTGCCGACGAATCGCGGCCACCGGCGTCCTTCGTCGTCGTCGCCGTCGTCGTCGTCGGCGGCAGCCTTGGGGGCGTGGTACGCGCGCATCGACGAGCGGTCGAGGAGGTACTCCGCGTTGGAGCCCGCGTCCGTCCAGTACTCGAGCTCCCAGTCGCGAACCGGGGTCGGGTGTCTCTTCGCTTTCGCTTTCGGTTTCGCGCCCGCGCCCGAGCCCGTCGACGACGCCGTCTTCGCGCCTCGCGCGCCGTTCGCGCGCGACGCGTGAGGCGGGAGCGACCCGGACGACCGTCTCGCCGGGGCCCCGGTCCCCGGCTGCTTCCGCGCGGCGCTCTCCCCCGACTCCTCATTCTTCCCGCCCCGGGGTCCCGCGCCGAGCGGCACGCGGTCGATGGTCATCAGCCTGAGGCCGCGGAGTAAATCCCGATACGTCAGCCTCCCGGCGTTCAAGACGTCGACGGCGACTAAACCGGCGAGGAGCTCCTTCGTCTCCGCGGGCGACGCGCCCGGCTTCAGCGTCTTGATCATCTCCCGCAGCTCCGACGTCTCCAGCGTCCCCCCGCCGTCCAAGTCGACGGCGTCGAAGACTTGACGAACGCTGACGTCGTGCGTCGTCATGAACTCGTGAAGAGACGCCAGCGCCGCGGGCATCTCGTCGTCCCGCCGCGCGACGACCGCCACCCCCGCGGCTTTCGCGTCTCGAATCGCGGCGACGAACCCGTCGAACGACACGCCCCGTCCTTCGTCGTCGTCCACGTCGAGCATGCACCGGAAGTAGCGTTCCTGCGCCTTGGACACGCCGCCCAGGACGACGCGCCGCAGCAACGCGGAGAGCTCGTCCGCGTCGAGGAACCCGCCGCCGTCGACGTCGTGCTCCTCGAACAGGTCCGACAGGCGCGCGCGGTTTTTGCGGAGAAACGCGTCCAGCGCGGCGAACAAGTCGACGCGGTGGGACGGGAAGTCCACGATCGCGTGCTTCGTCTTCGTCTTTCCCGAGACGACGATGGACGAGCTCTCTTTCAGTCCCGCGGGCGTCGGCCACTCGTCGGCGTTCGCGGGGACGTTGTACGCGATGGACGTCTCAGGGTCGTTCCATACAAGCGAATGTCAGGGTGGAGTTGAAAGGCGTCAGCTGAAGTTGAAAGGCATCTAGGGCGGGGATTGAAACCGTGGGGTGGGCGGAGAGATGCGCCGGCAAAAGTCCTTAAGGATCGGCGTTCACCACGCGAACGTGGTCGTATGGGGACCAGTGTATAGAACGCACCTCACGGTCGACGAGGTACGTCACGCCGCCGATCTTTTCCTCGTGGAGCGTCCACGTCTCCTCCGCGGCGGGTCCGGGTCCTCGCGCGGTCGGTCGCGCGGCGGTCGGGCGTCGCGCGGCGGGTCCGGGTCGCGCGGCGGCGACCGCCGTCGACGCGCCGCCGCCGGTCGTTCGCCGCGCGACGGGCGTTTCCGGGTGTTCCCCCCTCGGCGATCCCATCATCGGCGTCGCGCCCCCGGACGCGCGCAGCGAGGACGAATATCCTCCTCCGTGCGCCCCGTGCGCTCCGTGCGCCCCGTACGCTCCGTGCGCCCCGGACCCGGACGCGCGCAGAGAAGACCCCCCTCCTCCTCCCACCGCGCCCCCCCCCGGCGGCGGCGGCGGCTCCGTCGCGGCGAACAGCCTCAGCATCTCCTGAAACGTCACCTCCCCTCCTCCCGGTCCCGCGGGCGACGTCACCGGGTCCTCCGCCATCGCGGCGAGTATCTCGCGCGTCTCCCTCGCGCTCGCGTCCGGCGCGACGACGCGCACGAACGCGGCGAACTCTCTCGCGTCGAGTCGTCCTCGTCCCCGCGCGTCGCAGTCGTCGAAAGCGCTGCGACCGCGATCGACCAAGTCTCGTAAGATCCCGGACAGCCGGCGGAGCGGCGGCGGCACGCTCGCGGGCACGCTCGCGGACCCGGTCGTGTTGAGGTATCCGGATCCGTCCGCGCGCAGGGTTCCCCCGCGGCGCCGCGTCTGAAGAACGAACGAACGAACGAACGTCGGGGCGGAGGGGACGAAAGTTCTTAAGAAACGGCGTTCACCACGCGAACGCGGTCGTACGGGGACCAGTGTGGGATGCCCGCGGGGACGGGAGAGAAAGCGAAGCGAAGTCCTCGAGGAAGAAACGGCGTGCACCGCGCCCGAACATGACGTGGTCGCGCGGGGAAGAAAGTCCTTAAGAAACGGCGTTCACCACGCGAACGCGGTCGTACGGGCACCAGTGCGAGGAGGACGCGCCTCGGTCGCGACGCGGCGAATCTCGTCGGCGGTGACGGCGCCGTCGCCGTCGACGTCGAAGACGACGGCGAAGTACCGCGCCTCCGCGGCGGACGTCTCCGGGAGGAGCTCGCGGACGAACGACTCCACCTGCCGCGCGCTCAGCGCGCCGGTCATGTCGCGGTCGTGCCGGTCGAAGAGCGCGCGAAAGTTTTCGCCTCGCTTCTCCACCGTCTCGTCCAGCGCGGCGAGGAGGTCGCGCGGGCGGCCGCCGCTCTCGAGGTCGCCCGCGACGTACCGCCCCGCGAGTTCGGGCCACGCGCCGTCGCGCGCGGGCGGGTGGTACACCTGCGTTCGCGTCGGTCGGCGGCGGGTGGGGGATGAAGCGGTCGGCGAGACGGACGGGCGAGCGGGGAGCGGGCGGCGCTCGAATCGTTCGTTCGCGCGCCGACGACGACGACGGGGACGGGGACGACCGAGACGCGAGCGGACCTTCTTCGTGTCGTGGTCGACGAGGTAGGACTTCCCCTCGTACGTCCAAGGGTCGAGTTTCCACTCCTGCGGGCGGGGGGGGACGTTGGGGCGGGGGACGGGGGCGTCGGCGTCGGTCCGCGCGCGATGGCGACATCGTTTCGTTCCACGACACTTTTTCTCGCGCTTCGACCCCTACGAACGAATCGCGCGACGCGGACGCCGAGGAGGGGAAGGACCGACGGGCGGGGGCGCGGAATCTCGCGCGCGACGCACCGACGGCATCGCGTTCGCGCCTCGCGTCGACATCGTGCCGACGGCGCGCGGGACGACCGCGTGTGCGTCGAGCCGGCGCCGGGTCGTCGTCGTCGTCGAACGGTTATTTTCCTCGGCGCGAACGAACGACGACGACGACGACGACTGGACGACGACGAATTTTCCGTCCGACGTTTCGCCGGCCTCCTGTCCGCTCCGCGGGACGCCCACACTCCCTCCGCGCGCGCGCATGAGCGGAGGCGTGCGATCGGGAACGGTCTTGAGGGCGCTCTTCGCCGGCGGAATAGCGTTCTGGTCCAAGGCCGCCGCGGTCGCGAAGGCGCGTCCTCCCCGGTCGCCTCGCGACGCGCGATCCGTCGAACGACGGACGGCGCGCGCGCGCTCGCTCCACAAGCGCTTCCGCCAATCGGCGCTTCCGAGGCGCGACGTCGCGCGCCCGTCCCGACGCGACCCGCGCTCACGCCCCCCGCCGTCCCTCATCGCTCCAATCGATCCAAACGCAGGCGGGCGGCGGCGTCGGCGCGAAAGCCGCGCTCGCGGCCGCGGGAGCGACCGCCGCGGGCGCGACCGCCGTCGTCGCGTCGTCGTCGTCGCCGTCGTCCGCGCCCGCGGCGGCCTCGCGGGAGACGGACGGTCGGCCGATCGCGACGTCGTCGTCGTCGTCGTCGTCGCGCGCGAAGTCTCCCGCGAAGTGATCCGTCCCGCCTCGACGCGACGGCGGTGGGCGCATCGCATCGCGCGGCGGGAGGGATGAAAGGCGGCCGCTGCGGGACGACGACGCGACGCTTCGGCGGCGGCGGGAATCTCCTCTACTTCGCGGCGACGGCGATCGCGCTCGCGTGCACGCTCTCCGTCGCGTCGTCGCTCCGGTCGACGTCCGACGCGCTGAGGGCGTCGGACAGAGAGATCGCCGCGCTGCGCGGCCGTCTCTCTGAGGGGACGGGGACGGGGACGGGGACGGGGACGGGACGGGGACGAGGAGGGTGGACGGCGGCGGCGACCGTGAGGGCCAACGCCGCCGACGCCGCCGCGGCGGCGGCGGACGCGCGCTACGCGTTGAAACTCAACTCGGACGTCGGCAACCCCGCGCGACCGGACGCGGGCGCGCTTCTCGCGTTCGTGGGCGTCAACACGGCGCCGAGCGCGTTTGACCGACGCGCGACGCTGCGCGCGACGTGGTTCCCGGACTCGAGAGAAGAGGTGCGTTCTATACACTGGTCCCCATACGACCGCGTTGGCATGGTGAACGCCGATCCTTAAGGACTTTTGCCGTCGTCTCTCTCCGCCCACACCCCGCTTTCAATACCCGCCCTCGGCGCCTTTCAACTTCAACTGACGCCTTTCAACTCCACCCCGACGTTCGCTCGTATGGAACGACCCTGAGTTGCGCGCAGCGGAGCTGGAACGCAAACTGCTGTTCCGGTTCGTCGTCGGCGAGAGCGACGTCGTCGGCGACTCCCTGGACGCGGCGCTGACGCGCGAGATGAAGACGCACGAGGACGCGTTCTTTCGCGTGCGGCACGTGGACACGTACGCGAGCCTCACGGAGAAGACGATCGCGACGTTCGCGTCGGCGGCGACGCTCGTCGACGCGGATTTTTACGTCAAGATTGGCGCGTTCTATCTCGCACTTGTCCACGTACGACCGCGTTCGCGTGGTGCACGCCGTTTCTTGAGGATTTTTCCCGGCGTTTCTCTCCGCCCAGGGTCCCACGATTTCAATCCCGACACACCTCGATGCCTTTCAACTCCGCTTCTGACGCCTTTGAACTCCACCCCGACGTCGCTTCGTTTCGTACGGAACGACCCTCAGACGACGACGTGCACGTGCGCGTGCCGCCTTTGATTCGGTTCTTGGAGACGCACCGCGAGCGCGACGCCGCGTACTTTGGATGCATGAAGAGCGGCCAAGTCGTGCACGATCCAAAGTACAAGTGGTACGAGAAGGAGTGGAAGAGGTTCGGGAATCGCGGGAATCAATACTTCCGACACGCCACGGGTCAGGCGTACGGATTGTCTCGCGCCGCGGCGAGGTTCGTCCGGGATAACCGCGCGGCGTTGCACAAGTACGCGAACGAGGACGTCTCCGTCGCCACGTGGATGCTCGCGCTGGACGTCGACTTCGTGGACGATCGCGCGCTGTGTTGCCAGAGCTGCGTCGGGCGGGACGAGTGCATCGTCACGCATCAGTGGAACTGCACCGGGATGTGCGACGCCGCGAATTCGATACCGGCGGCGCACGCGGCGTGCCCGCAGGACGGGGTGGCCGTCGAGGCGACAAAAAACGCCATCGACGCGAGCGTTGGCGAAAATCAAAGCGGCGTGGCCAATAGCAATGAGGGTAGGTGATGGGGGCGGGGCGGCGCCGAAAGTTCCTCTCGCCCGAGCGGCACCCGACGACCCTCGAACGCGACCTAGAAAGAAGAGGCGGCGCGAGCGCGACCGCGTCGGTGAATCATTTTTTTCAGCTACGTACGCGTCAATCCTCCTGGAGCTCCGCGGCGGAGATGTACTCCCCGCGCGTCTCGAAGTGCTTCACGAGCCCCGCGAGGAACGCGTCCTTCCTCGCGATCGTCTCCGTGTCGCACACGAGAACGCACCGCGCGCGCGCTCGGGTCACCGCGACGTTCATCCGCCGCGCGTCCGATAGAAATCCGACGTCGCCTCTGTCGTTGGATCGCACCGCGCTTATGACGATCGCCTCTTTCTCTCTGCCTTGGAACCCGTCCACGGTGGATATCTCGACGCCCTTGAACAGCGCGTCGTTCGCCGCGCGAAGGTCCCGAAGCGTCCCGACCTGCGCGCTGTACGGCGTGATGATCCCCACGTCATCCGCGGCGACCGCGCCGGATGAGATCAAGTCCGCGACGATTCGCATCGCCACCGCGGCTTCGCCCGGGTTATCCCTCGACGCGCCCTCCTCTTCCTGCCTCTCGTCGCAGTCGCATCCGGCGGTGTCCACCAGCTGCAGCGCGCCCAACGGCGCGCCCGACGCGCTCCGTAACGTCCGCCCTCTCGCGTCCTCGGACGCGAGTAACGCCCCGTCGTACATCGCGTTCGACGCCCAACTGAGGGCGCGAGGCGACGTCGGGGTGGAGTTGAAAGGCGCGTCAGAAGCGGAGTCGAAAGGCGTCATAGGGTCGAGCGTCGTTGAAAGCGAGGGACCCTGGGCGGAGAGAAACGAACGCCGGGAGAGAGAGTCCTTCGGGAACGGCGCGCGCCGCGCGGACGCGGCGGCGCGCGCGGGGACGAGCGCGACGAACTGAACTATCACAGAACGCGCCTCATGATGTCCTCGTGCATCCTGTATTGCGTCGTGAGCATGACGGCGACGTTTTCGCGATACCACTTGGCGTGCGCGCGCTGAAAGAGCGTCTCCGATAACCCCTCTCTCGCGGCGACGTCGGAGAGCACCGTCGGCGGGAGCTGCAGGTGATCCCCCGCGAGGACGACTTTCCCGCCGCGCATGATCGCGCCCCAGCACGACGCCTCGAGCGCCTGCGCGGCTTCGTCGATGACGACGACGTCGAACGTCTGAGGGCCGTTCCGTGCGACGTGTACACGAAGGTAGTCGTGTTCCTCGGTCAGTTGAAAGGGCACGCGATCACGTGTTGAAACCAAACCGACGCGTGCGCGGGTGAAAAAGAAATCGTTTTGATAGTAACGACGGAACGGAACGCGCCTGGTCCTTCAAAACCCCGCCGAGCGCGCCGGCGAGCGTGCAGCACACGACGTTCGCCGACGCGACGACCTCGTCCACCGCGAGCCGCTGCCGCGCTCGCGTCTCCTTCGCGAGCCGCCGCAGCTCTCTCCGCGCGTCGCCGCGCTCGGCGCGGTCTTGATACAAAACCAGTTCTCCGGTCAGTTGAAAGGGGCCCACGCGATCAAATGTTGAAACCGGGCGATGGGTGAAAAACTTTTGTATACAGTGAGAACGCACCTTCCCTCGTCTTCGCGTCTGCGAGTTTCAGAAGCCGTCGTCGAAGCGCCGCGCTCTCGCGCTCGCAGTCGCGCGCGAGCGACGAATTGTCGGACCTCAACACCTGCGCCTCCAGGCTGTTTTCCAACACCGACGCGAGGAGACGCGCGGGGTGCCCGAGCCGCGTGATCTTCGGCGAGATTCCCCCGAGCAGCTTACCGCCGTTACCGTTACCGCTCGCGTTACCGCTCGATCCCACTCTCGCGAGCCGCTCGACGAGGTTATCCACGGCGACGTTGGACGCGGCGCAGCACAGAATCCTCGCGCCGCGCGCCACTTCTCTCGCGACGTACTCGACGACGACGGTGGTCTTTCCCGTGCCGGGCGGCCCGTGTATCAGCGCGAGATCCACCGCTCGCAGCGCGTGCGCGACCGCGTCCTTCTGCGACGCGTCCAGGCGCGGGTTGAAGAACCGCGCGAAACCGTCGTCCGCGGCGTCGCGTTTCGCGAAGCGCGGCGGGGTTTTGCCGAACATGACGTCGACGACGCGGCCGTAGGCTCCGCCGCCACCGGGGCCGCTCCCGCTCGCGGCGCCGCCGCCGCCGCGCGGGGCGCTTCCCAGCCTCTCGAGCGCCGCGCGCAGGCGCTTGTGCGTCGTCTCGTTGGAGAGTTTCTCGAGGCGCACCGCCTGAGGGCCATCCGATACAAAAAGAAGTTCACCTCACCGGTCAGTTGAAAGGGGCCCACGCGATCGAGTGTTGAAATCGAGCGACGGATGAAAAACGTTTGTATACGGTAAAACGCGCCTGGTCCACGCCGTCGGAGTCCGGCGCGTCGTCCACCGCCACCTCTATCGCGGTGTCCTTCACCCTGTACACCACCCCCGCCGCGATCGGCTCGCCCCCGCCGACGCCCTTGCTCGGCCGCACGCACACCACGTCGTGCGGCGTGAACTTGTGCGGCGGCAGCGGCGGCGCCGCCGCCGTCGGTCGCTTGGACGACTCAGGGTCGTTCCATACAAGCGAATGTCGGGGTGGAGTTCAAAGGCGTCAGATGGAGTTGAAAGGTGCCGAGGACGGGGATTGAAAGCGGGGGGTGGGCGGAGAGAGACGCCGGGAGGAAAAGTCCTTAAGGATCGGCGTCCACCATGCGAACGCGGTCGTATGGCAACCAGTGTATAGAACGCACCTCAAACGTCAGCACCGTCTTCCCGAGGAGCCCGCCTCGCGCGTCCACGATCTTCAGCCCGAGGAGCGCCCTCCCGCGCTTCGCCGCGGTCGCGGGGGACATCTCGCGCAGCGCGCCCTCGCTCTGCTCCACCTCCGCGTCGCGCTCGAGCGTCATGAGCGTCTTCGTCTTGGCGAGCCACGCGTCGAGCTCGACGTCCGACGACGACGACGGCGGCGGCGGCGGCGCGCGACGGGTCGACGTCGACGTCGACGTCGCGCGCGCGGGCGGTCCCGCGGCGAAGTGACCGCGCGCGAGGGCGTCCGGGATCTTCAGGTGCGTCGTCAGGACGCGGCGCAGCGCGGCGTCGTCGTCGTCGTCGTCGTCCGCAGACGCCGACGCCGCGACGAGGTCGGAGGCGTCCACGATCACGTCGACCGCGCCCGCGCCCAGCGCGATGCGTCGCGTCGCGTCCTCGCCCGAGCTGCGATGCGCGATCCCGCACGATTCCGCGAGCGCGTGAAGGCACGCGCGCTGGCGCGGCGTCAGCGCGGGGGGAAACCGCACGGTCACCGCGCTCGCGGCGTCGAGGATCTCGCGACGCGACGCGTCGTCGTCGTCGCCGTCGCCGTCGCCGTCGTCGTCGTCGTCGCCGTCGTCCGCGCGCGCGGTGGAGGACGCCTTCGCCGCCGCCTTCGCCGCGCGCTTCGCCGCCCTCTCCTCCTTCGTGAGCTTCATCCCGCGCGTCGCGAGCGAGGCTGGACGCGCCGCGACGCGGGCGAGGGCGCCCGCGAGATCTGACGACGCCGGCGGCTCCGTCGCCGTCTGGCATTTTCATCAGCGAGCGCAGACTCTAATCTAACAACGCGGAACTCGGCGCGGTCGAGTGTACGAAACGCTCTCACGCCGTGCGTTATGCACAGGCACACGTAGGCAGCATAACTTCATTACATGATATTTAAAAAAAGGTGACTGTACAAGTGTTAACGTGTGCACGCGTAGACGTAGCTACCGCTCCCCTCACGGGGGCGCCATCGTGGACGCGTCCGCGGCGGCGGCGGCATCCGCCGCCGCCGCCGACGCGGCGTCCGTCGTGGACCCCGTCTGCGCGTCCACGGTGGGCGCGACGTAGTCGGAGTCCGCGGCGGATTCGGTCGTCTCCGCGGCATCCGTCGTCGCCGCCGCGTCCGTCGCCGCCGTGTCCGCGGCGGCGACGACTTCGTCGGCGCTCGGCGCGGCGGTTTCTTCCACGACGGCGGGCGTCGTGTCGGCGTCCGCGTCCGCGGCGGGTTCGGTCGTCTCCGCGGCATCCGTCGTCGCCGCCGCGTCCGTCGTCGCCGCCGCGTCCGTGGCGGCGATGACTTCGTCCGCGCTCGGCGCGGCGGTTTCTTCCACGACGGCAGGCGTCGTGGCGGCGTCCGCGTCGGCGGCGGGTTCGGTCGTCTCCGCGGCATCCGTCGTCGCCGCCGCGTCCGCGGCGGGTTCGGTCGTCTCCGCGGCATCCGTCGTCGCCGCCGCGTCCGTCGTCGCCGCGTCCGTGGCGGCGATGACTTCGTCCGCGCTCGGCGCGGCGGTTTCTTCCACGACGGCGGGCGTCGTGTCGGCGTCCGCGTCGGCGGCGGGTTCGGTCGTCTCCGCGGCATCCGTCGTCGCCGCCGCGTCCGCGGCGGGTTCGGTCGTCTCCGCGGCATCCGTCGTCGCCTCCGCGTCCGTCGTCGCCGCCGCGTCCGCGGCGGCGACGACTTCGTCGGCGCTCGGCGCGGCGGCGTCTTCGTCGACGGCGGTCGCGTTGATCGCGTCGGTCGCCTCCTCCTGCGCGGAAGCGACGGCTTCCGCCATCGTGTCTTCCTCGGGAACGGAGGTGATGAACTGGTCGAACTCGTTCTCGTGCTTGTCGTCGTCGTGGTGGTCGTCGTCGTGCTCGTCGTCGTCGTGCTCGTCGTCGTCGTGCTCGTCGTCGTCGTGGTGGTCGTCGTCGTGGTGGTCGTCGTCGTGCTCGTCGTCGTCGTGGTGCTCGTCGTCGTGGTGGTCGTCGTCGTGGTGCTCGTCGTCGTGGTGCTCGTCGTCGTGGTGCTCGTCGTCGTGGTGCTCGTCGTCGTGGTGCTCGTCGTCGTGGTGCTCGTCGTCGTGGTGCTCGTCGTCGTGGTGCTCGTCGTCGTGGTGCTCGTCGTCGTCGTGCTCGTCGTCGTGGTGCTCGTCGTCGTGGTGCTCGTCGTCGTGGTGCTCGTCGTCGTGGTGCTCGTCGTCGTGGTGCTCGTCGTCGTCGGGCTTGTCGTCGTCGGGCTTGAGCTCGGGCTTGTCGTCGGCGGGCTTGAGCTCGGGCTTGTCGTCGTCGTGGCCGCCGCCGCCGCAGAGCTCTTCAAATCCGGGGGCGATGCGTCCGTCCGGACCGTGCTTCCAGAAGCACGGATCCTCGTCGATCATGGAGCCCATAGGGTGATCCATCATGGAGCCCATAGGGTGATCCATCATGGAGCCCATAGGGTGATCCATCATGGAGCCCATAGGGTGATCCATCATGGAGCCCATAGGCATATCCATCATGGAGCCAATAGGGTGATCCATCATGGAGCCCATAGGCATATCCATCATGGAGCCAATAGGGTGATCCATCATGGAGCCAATAGGGTGATCCATCATGGAGCCAATAGGGTGATCCATCATGGAGCCCATCAAGTCGTGGTGCTCCTCGCCGGGCGCCGTCGCGTTCACCGTGGAGACGGCCGCGGGAACCTCGGGGGCGGGAACCTCGGGGGGCGCTGTACCATTAGGGGCCGCAGGACCCGCGGGGCCCGCGGGACCCCCGCTGAACTCGCCCTCGAACGACGACGCGTCGTTCACCTTTTCGGCTTCGTCCGCCGTCGGGCAATCCTCCCCGCCGACTTTGCTCCAGCACTTGCCCTCGTCCCACTCGCAACCCAGCACGGCGGCGCAGCTCGCCTCCGTGTTGAGCTCGTCGTGGCCCTCGCAGACGGTCTCGCACCCCATCGTGCCGGGGTACTCGTGCGACCCGGGGCCGCCGCCCTCCTCGAAGCCGTAGTCGGTTCGATGCGGGACGTCCGCGGCGGGGAGGACGTGCGTCCACGTGTGCCCCGCGGCTGCCGCGTCCTTGCGGAACTTGAGGCACGCGGTCTGGCCGATCTCGCCCGGCCAGTTCTCGCACGGCGTCGCGGACATCAAAAAGTCGCGCGCTTTCTCGCACTCCACCTTCTCGTCGTCGTTCTTCCACGTCTGGGAGGCGCACTCGGGGAGGAGGAACTTGCCGACGGCGGACGGGTCTTCCGCGCCGAGCGACGCCGCGGACGATCGCGGCGGGGCGAGGACGGATTTCCCGGAGAGCGCGACGACCGCGGCGGTCGCGAGCGCGCCGGCGATCGCGACGTTGCGCCACGTGGACGTCTTCGCTCCCGCGCGCGCGTCGCGCGCGTCGAGGAGCGGGACGCGCTCGCCGGAATCGGTCATCTTGGCGCCTGAAAAGTCGAAATCGCCCGTCGCGACGCCCTCGGGTTCTCGACGCGCTCGCGCCGTGCGATCGGAGTGCGCGCGCGCGGGTTTGGGACTCTGCCTCGCGCGCGGGGTGAACGCGCGGTTGATCGGACGCGGCAGAGGTCTCGCGCGCGCGGTTGTGCGCGATCGCGCGGCGGGGACGCGCGACTCCTCGGGCGTCGCGTTCAGAAAACCCTCGGAGAAGACTTGATCGTTGGCGTATCGCGCGCGCTGTAACACCCTTTTTTTGGGCGCGGCCCGCGGTCCAGTCCGCGTCTCTCCGCTCGATCGAAAAAAGCGGAAACGGTTCGACCGAGCGCCGCGGTCGCGCCGTCGACGCGGGGAGGAGGAGGCGAAGATCTGGTCCGCGCGTTCGTCGCGGTGGTCGCGTCGCGGTAGTACAGTCTATCATATGATAACGATCGAAGAAAGAAGCGCGCTCGCGTCGCGTCGCCGCGTCAAAACGTCTTCGCGTCCAGACGCCTCAGGATCTCAAACGCGCGTCGTCGGTTCTCCTCGTCCCCGTCGTCGCGGCGCCCCTCGTCGGTAACACCCGTAACACCCTCGTTCGCGTCGTCCGCCGCGCGCGCCGGCGCGGGAGCCGGCGCGTCGGCGCGCGCGTCGGCGTCGTCGTCGTCGTCGTCGTCCCCCGCCGCCTCGCGCGCGCGCGCCGCCTCCGGCGCCGGCGCCGGCGCCGCCGCCGCGTCGTCGTCGTCGTCGTCGCGCGCGTTCTCGTCCAGCGACACGCCGGATAACACGTCGTCCAGCTCGTCGTTCTTGGCGTTTCTCGTCTCCCCACCGCGCGCGTCGCCGGCGACGGTCGACGCGCCGTCTTCCGCGTCGAGATCGTCGTCGACCGTCTCGCCGCGCTCCATCGCCGCCAGGGCGTGCGCGAAGTCCCTCTTCGCCTTCTCCGGGTCCGGCGCGATCCGCGGAGGCGGCTCCGGCGGCCCGACGATCGCCGCGGACGCGTCCGGCGGCGCCGCCGCCGCGGTCGCCACGGTCGCCGCGGTCGCCGCGGTCGCCGCGGTCGCGTTGCCGTCGCGATCGAAAAAGCTCTGGACGTTTTCGCGCGCTTCTTTTTCCATCTCCGCGTCGACGGCGGCATGCGAGCGTCGCAGCTCGTCCCGCACGCCGCGTTCGCGATCGACATCGACGAGGGCCGCGGGCGGCGGCGCCGGCGGCGGTTCCAGCGCCGCGAGCGGCTTCGGGAGCGCGAACGACGCGTACGACGAATCCCCGGGCGGAGAGACGACCGCGACTTCTCCCGAAACCGCGGGCGGAGAGACGACCGCGACTTCTCCCGACGGCGGCGCGTCGTCTTCGTCCGCGTCCGCGTCCGCCGCGGCGGCGCGGGTCGAGTAGTCGTACGATCCGCCGTCGTCGTACTCGTACGGGTCGTTCACGGCGGCGGCGTCGGTCGTCGTCGTCGTCGTCTCCGTCTTCGCCGCCGCCGCCGCCGTCGTCGTCGTCGACTTCGCTCCGGCGGTCGTCGCGTCGTTCGCCGGGACCGAAGGCGCCCGCCTCGCGTCGTCTTCGTCCCACGCGTTCAGGACGCGCTCGAGATTGTCCGCGACGGCGGCTTTCGCCGCGCGCGCGATCGCCGGGTCCGGCGGCGGCGGCGGCGACGGCGGCGGCGGCGGGGCCGGCAGCGCGGGCGGCGCGGGCGGCGCGAACATCTGAATCGGGCCCTCCGTCGCCACGATGGTCGTCGGCTGCTTGTTCGCCTCGATGATCGCGTCGATCTGCGCGGCCGTGAGCCCGAGCGCGGACGTCATCGCGCCGTCCGCGCGCGATGACGACGACGACGACGACGACGACGACGACGACGACGACGACGACGCGCGCGCGAGCGGGGATCCCTGAAGACGCGACGAAGACGCGACGAAGACGAACATCGCGAGCGCGAGCGCGCCCGCGAGCGCGCCCGTCGTCGCGAGCGCGCGCGCGAGCGTCCGCGCGCGCGGGTTCGAGCCGTCCCGCTCGCGCGGCGCGAGCAGAGACGCGGATTCCGCGGGGGCGGGGGGCGCCGTCGCGCGCATCGTCGTCGACGTTCGTGGACGCCGGCGCGAGGGCGACTGCGGGAGGAAGCGCCCGTCGTCCGTTCGCGGGCCGTTCGTCTCTTCCAACAAGTCTCGTTCCCTCGGTTCGATCGATCGCGTCGCGTCGACCCTTGGCGTTGATCGGGCGAATACGTCGATCGCGCCTCGATTGAGCCCGTGTTCGGTCGTTCATCGCGCGTTTCGATCGGCGACGAAAGATCGAAAATGGTGTTACACCTGCGAGATCGGTAGGTTATAAAAATGTTCACGAATCGCGCGAAGGGGCGGGGGGGGCGCGAGAGCGAACGCGGCCGATCGCGCGCGCACAACCGCGCGCGCTTCCCCGCACGCGCGCCCAAGTCTCGCAAAGGTCGCCAAGGTTCGCCCACCGCGCGAACGCTTCGCGAACCCGCGCTCGAACCCGCGCGTTTCCCGCGCGATCTCAAGCGGCGCGGTCGCGTCGAATCCGAGTTCGAACGCGCGCGGCGAACGGCGAGGTCGCGCCTCGAACGATGTCGTCTCTCCAGGAGAACGCGCCGCTGCTGCGTCGCCCGGCGAAATCATCGCGCGGCGTATCCGCCGCGCGCGTCGCCTCCGCGGTCGCGCTCGTCCTCGGCGTCGCGCTCGCGGCGTTCGTCGCGACGACGCGCGGCGCGACCTCGATCGAGAGCTCCCAGGTCGCCCTCGGCGCCGAGCGCGCGCCGCGCGTCGCGACGCTCGCGGCCGCGGACGGCGACGACGCGGACGCGCCCGCCCCGGCGCCGTCCGCTGACGACGCCAACGCGACCGCCCCGGCGCCGTCCGGCGACGACGCCAACGCGACCGCCCCGGCGCCGTCCGCTGACGACGCCAACGCGACCGCCCCGGCGCCGTCCGCTGACGACTCGGCTGACGACGCCAACACGACGTACGTCGCCGCCGATTCGTCCGCCGCGGACGCGGAGGCCGATAAGAAGGCCAAATTCATAAAAGCCGCCGAGGAGGCCGCGACGGCCGCGAACAAGCACCTCGAAGACATCCTCGAGAAACTCACCGCGGCGGAGAACAAGTTAAGCGAGAAGCTCACCGGGAACACAGATTTGGGCGGAAGGATCCACGACAGGACCGACTTCGTTCAGAAGGCGTTGCAAAAAGTCGAAAAATTGCACCACGCGCTCGAGGGCTCGCTCGCGAACATCGACAAGGATATTTCCGACGATCAAGCCAAATGCTACCTCCATCGGTACCGGGACTTAAGAGGAGCCTTCGGACACAACATCGCGCGTGCGAAAAAACACTGGGTGGACCACGGGAGACACGAGCACCGCACGCTCGACTGCGATTACATTACCAACGAAGAAGCCCAGTGCTACCTCAACAGGTACTCGGACTTACGCAGAGCCTTCGGACACAACATCGGTGCCGCGAAAAGACACTGGAATAAACACGGGAAGAAAGAGGGACGCGATAAAGAATGCGATTCTCATAAACAAGTGAAGAGTAGCAAGGCCAAATTCACGAAGAAGATCGCGGCGTTCAAGACCCGCGCGGCTGACCTCAAGGAGAAGTTGAAAGCCCTGGAGGTCCGAACGGCTGACACGCAGAAACAGCACGACGCGCTCCAAGCGAAGGACGAAGACGCGAAGAAGAAGGTGGCGACGGCGAAGAAAGCCGTGGACGAGACGCCGGCGACCCCCCCCGCGGAGGGCGCCTCCGTGGCGTGCCTCGACGGCAAGGGGACGGGGGTCTTACGCGTCATGAACGACGGCGGCCGCCTGCGCCAGTACGCTTCCATGGCTAACGTGCACGAGTGGGACCCGTCCGGGAAGATCACGAAGATCGACTGCGCGCCGTACGACATAATAACCGATCCCAGGCTGACCTCCAAGGCGGCCTACGACGCGGAGCTGAAGGAAAAAGCGGAGCAAGCCGCGATCCCCCCCGAGGGCGCCTCAGTGAAGTGCCTCGCCGGCGTCCCCCCGCTCACGGAGTGCGCGGCGTGCAAGAACACGACCATCTACCGCGTCATCGACGACGTCGGAACGCTCAGCGCGTACGACACCCCCGAGATCGCGAGCTCGTGGGGCATGGAACCGGTCGTGAAGAACGACTGCTCGAAGTACCACATCAACGGCACGATCACGGAGACGAAGGAGGAGCACGAAGCCGCGGCGAAAGCGGCCGCTGACGCCGCCGCCGCGGAGGCGGCGGCGATGCAGAACCAGCCGACGATGGACAGAATCGCGAACTTGACGACCGACATCAAGAAGGTCGGCGCGAAGCTCAACCAGACGTCCCTGGCCGAGGTCAAGGAGACACTCGCGAACACGAGCGCGATCGTGGGGACGATCTCGAGCAAGCAGCCGGAGATCGCCGCCGCGATCGAGGCGTTGAAGAAGAAGCTCTCGGACTCGTCGCTCACGATCGCGGAGAAGAAGGAGCTCCTCGAGAAGAACAACGTGACGATCGCGGCGCTGAGAGCGAAGATCGTGGAGCTGAACGCGACGAACGCGGAAGAGCACGCGACCTTGCAGAACACCCTCGCGAACCTGTCGAACATGACGTCGAGAGCGGAGGCGTACAAGGCGAAAATGGACGCGATGGCGAACGAAACACACGTGCCCGTCGCGGTCGACATGCCCGCGCCCCCGGTGCCGACGTCCCCCGTGCACGACCGGGCTCTCGAGGAGCACGACATCGCGGCCATGTTCGAGCACGAGCTCAAGGAGATTATCAAGCATCTCGACGCGCAGTACAATAAAACCCACGACCACGACGACGACCACGACGGCGACATCGACGGCGACCACGACGGCGACCACGAACACCTCGCGGAACACTTCTTCGAGCCGCCGCTGAACCACGAGGTGGGCGACCTCCCGGCGGGATTCCCGACGGCGATGGAGGATCACGCGGGCATCCAGAACGGCGTCGCGTTTATTGAAAACTGCGGCGTCCCGCAAGACATCGTCGATTTCCTCAACAAGACCGACTCCAACATCGAGAAGCTCGAGGAGTACTTCAAAGATCACCCCCACTACGGGACTTTCGACATCGCCGCGATGCTGAAGGAGATGGAGACGACGTGGAAAGAACACGGCGTGTGCCACCTCGACGACGATGATGACGACGATCACTACAATTACGATCCGACCGGGAAGATCCAGAAGCCCGACGACCCGGCCCAAGCGGCGGCGCTCAAGGAGCAGATCGTGCATCCGACGCCGCCCTCGGAGGTGTAGCTGCTCGGAGCCCGGAGCAACAAGCACCACAAGAAGCACCACAAAGACAAGAAGCACCACAAAGACAAGAAGCACCACAAAGGCTCCGCCGGCAGCGTCCAGCCGAATTGAGTTTTTCTTTTTCCTCCGCGACGAGCGCTGGGGGCGCGCGCGCGCGCTCGTCGCTTTACTCACGTTTTAATGTATATACTTCACGAGCGATCGTCGCGTGGCGTTTACTACACGTCGCGTCGTGCCGACTCGTCGCGACTCGTCTACTCTTTCTGTCGTTCCTCCTCCGCCCCGCGAGCGGTCGGTCGCCGCCGCCGCCGCGAGGACGTCCGGTCGAGTCGATCAGCGCAGCAACCCGCCGTGATCGATCTCCACTATCCTCAACCCCGTGAGCTCGCTCCTGTGCCCGAACGTCCTCTGGAACCCTTTCCTGCGCCTCTTCTTGAACACGAGCTTCTTCGCGTCGCGGAAATGCTCCTCCACGATCGCGCGCACGCGCGCGCCGCGCACGGTGGGCCGCCCCACGATCGTCCGAGACGCGTCCCCGAGCATGAGAACCGCGCGCAGGTCCACCTCGTCGTTCACGTCGTAGTTCCTCATCTTCTCCACGAACACGAGGTCGTCCGTCGTGACTTTCATCTGCGTCGAGCCCAGCGCGACGACCGCGAACGCGTCCGAGGGCCTCGGCGCGCGTCCGAGGGCGTTCGACTCCTTCTCTCGCGCGGGGACGGCCGCCTCGTCCGACGACGACGACGACGCGGACGAGGACGACGCCCCGCGCGCGAGTTCGGGGGCGACGCGCGCGAGCGGCGTCATCGCGCGCGTCAGCGCGGACGCGACCGCGGCCGCGGCGGTGGACGTCGCCGCGGCGACGCCGCGCGAGCGCAGGGAAGAGAGCATCGCTCCGCGCGCGTCGTCGACTGCGCGGGCGAAGGCGGCGGCGAGACGGACGGATGCCCTAAAGTGATGATGACCCGATACCCGAAGGTGCAGTTTTCCTGTGCAGGGGGTTTTCCCGTACCTACGTACTCAAAACTGAAATCGTATGAAGATCAGTCAGAGTCAGGATGCGCGCCGCTATGATAGAGAGGCATTTTTGGTGGTTACTTCTTGGTCTTGTAACGGGGCATAGGGCGCTTCAACACGCGCGCCGCTCGCGACGCTCGTCCGAACCCGACGTCCGAAAACGATGTCTTCTTTCACCGAAAAGTTCACCGAGGTGCGCGCGATGCGAACCCGCGGCGCGCGACGGCGCGACGACGCGCGCGAGACGCGATCCGCGCGGTTGTTGACGTGCAGTTTTCGCCGATGCCCTCGAATTCCGCCCCCGTCCGTCGTCTCCGCGCTTCGTCGATCGCGAGCGCGTTCTCGATCGAATCGCATCGCATCGAATCGAATCGCGTCCACCGACCCCTCCCGCGCGCGCGTCCTGACCCCCCCCACCCCCCGCGTCCACCTCACCTCCGCAGTCCTCGCTCGGCGAGGCCGGGAAAACGTACCCGTGCGACGCCGACGGCTGGTGCAACCGCGATTGGGTCGCGCTCGTTCTCCTCGGCGTCGCGCTCATCTTCTGCGTCGCCGGGAAGCGCCTCCACCGCCTCAACGTCTTCATTCTCGCGGCCGCCATCGGCTCCTTCGCCGGCCTCTGGATCGCGGACACGTTCAACGTGGACGACTTCAACACGCGTTGGGGCATCTGCATCGGCCTCGCGGTCGCCATCTCGCTGATGGTGTACATGATCGAGTCCCTCGTCTTCTCCCTCCTCGGCGTCGCGACGTGCGCCGGCGGCGCGATGGTCATCTACTCCGCCCTCGCGGAGCACCTCCCGAGCTCCACGCCGGCGTACACCTTCCACCTCGTGATCGGCGTCGCCGCGGCTGTCGGCTTCCTCCTGGGCGGCGTATTGAAGAAGGCCGCTCTGACCGTCATCTACAGGCGCGTTGACCGCTTCCCGCGCGACCCCGCGCGCGCGTCGCCCGTCGTTTCTTAAGGACTTCTTTCTTTCGCGCGGTATCAACCTCGCGGTTGTTTTGAAACGTGCAACGTGACCCGCCAATCAAAAATACGCATCGCTGACGCGCGTTCGTTCGCCCCCGACCGATCGAATCGAATCCAATCCAATCGAATCCAACAGCGCCGTCGGCGGGTTCCTCGTCGCGTCCGTCTCGTCCTATTTCCTCTGGAAGAAGGACGAGGGCGAGGGCGACCTGTGGGTCGAGCACCTGACGTCGTCCGCGAAGACCATCGACCTCGGCGAGTGGCAAGTGTGGCTCTCTCTCTCTCTCGGCGGCATCGCGTGCCTCGCGGGCATCGCGATCCAAGGGCACCTCTGCGGCGGTCACAAGGGCGAGCACGGCTCCGCGGACGAGAAGACGCCGCTTCGGAGGAAGTAAGCGTGCTTGAAACGCTTCGAATCTGTGCGTTTTTTTGTCGTGTCGTGTCGTGTCGCCCGCCGCGAGCGATGACGACGATGACGTGGACGCCGTCGACGACGCCGTCGTCTCGAAACGGAGAGACGCGCGCGTCGACGACGGCGTCTCGTCTTGCAGTGCTTGTGACATCGTTTCAAACAACGTGTTTTTAAATAATATCTACCTGTAAGGTTAAGTACGTTGCAAACGCGGCCGTCTCACTCGCGCGCGCGCCCCGCGCCGCGACGCGCCGTCGTCATGCGCGGCCTCCTTCTGTGCGCGATCCACCTCCTCCTGACGCGCGTCGTCGCGATCGACGCGGCGTCGTCGTCGCCCGCGCCGCCGTCCGAGCGCGAGCCCGCGGACGACGACGACGACGCGTTCGCCGCCCGCGACGCGTTTTCGCCCGCGCCCGCGCCCGCGCCCGCGCCCGCGCCCGATCTCCCGCCGCTCGTGACGTCGTACGAGGACGAGATCGCGCTGAGCATCGACTCCCCGGAGTACGTCAAGGGCGCGTGGCTCCTCGGTCGCGCGACGTACTTCGACGCGCCGACGCGTTGGAAGGAGACGTTCGACCACGAGTTCGGCGACTTACACGGCGGGGCTCTCGTTCGCTCGCGTCCGGTCTTCATCCGCTCGCGTCCCGCGTCGTCTCTCTCCGCGGCGCTCTCCGCGCGCTTCGAACCCGCGCCCGCGTCCTCGCCCGCGCCCCGACCCTGAACCCTGAACCCTGAACCCTTAATCCTGTTGACCCTGAACCCTTAACCCTGTCGACCCTGCGCCGAGGCAACGGGTGCGGGTTCGTGAACAAGAGCCCCGGCTCGGAGTCCATCGAGGACTTCCCGTACCCGATCGACGCCGTCGCCGCGGTCGCGGACTTCGATCTGAGGCTGCACGAGGGGTCGTGCGGGACGTGTCACGAGGTTCGATGCGTCACCGGGCCGATCGTGTGGGACTACGAGCAGACGCGCGTGAACTACGAGCAGAACGCGGCGGCGACGCCGTTTTACGAGGCGGGTCCTGTCGACACAACACTTCTCCTCTCCTCTCCTCACCTTTCATTTCCTTTCCGACGCCCGTCGCGTCGTTCGACTGACCGACGCGCCGACCGCGCCGAATGAACCCTAAATCCTAATCCTAAACCCAGGCGGCGCCGGACGCGCTGGACTCGCGCGGGCGGCGCGTCCCAGCGCGCAACGCCGTTCGCGGAGACGCCGGCGGCGGCCGGGATTCGCCGTTGACGCGCGCGCCGAACGCGTCCGAGCCGCTCCCGCCCGGCGTCGACGAGTTCGAATACACCCGGTGTTGGGACGAGAACAAGAGTATATTCGTCAAGATCGTGGACGTGTGCCCGTGCCGGTACTCGTGGGGCACGCAACGCGTGTGCTGCGGGCCGGTGCCGCACTTCGACTTGTCGTTCTGGGCGCACGAGAAGTTGGCGCATCCGATTCAGGTGCGTTCTATACAAACAAACGTTTTTCACCCACCGCTCGGTTTCAACACTTGATCGCGTCCCTTTTCAACTGACCGATGGACTGTTTTTGTATGGAACGACCCTCAGGGGAAAGCGATGCTTCGGTTTCGTCCGGTGGACTGCGCGACGCGGGAGCCGCTGGACGCGCGTCTGGGCGCGGCCGCGCGGATGAACGCGACGATTGTCGCGAACGCGAACGCGAACGCGACCGTCGCGAACGCGACGACGTACGAGAACCCGACGCTGATTCCCGGCGGCGGGAGCGACCAGCTCGTCGCGACGTTCGGGTATTCGAACCGTCGAGGATACGAGATGCGGACCGTCGCGGTGTACGCCGCGGGACCGTCCCCGGGGTGGAGCTGGCTCGCGTATAAGGACCAGTGGACGCGCTTGGCGCTGTCGGGGAAGGGCGTCGACAGCGGCGTCGGCGGATGCTTCTCCGCGTCTCCGGGAGGTCGGCTCGCGTTTTTTTGCGTCGAGTGCGACCGGCGAATGAAACCGTTCGCTCGCGGGATCGCCATCAGAGCGTTCATCTCCACGTCCGCGTGCGCGGCGACCGCGGCGGAGGAGCCGCCGGTGTACGTCGGCGTCAGCGCGCGAGGGGAGCACGACTGGGAAGTGGGCGCGTCGCCGCCAGAGATGCCGTGCGGCGAGAAGGCCAACGCGTGGCGATTTCTCGCCGAGGAGGAAGAACGGCGAGCCGCCGCCGCCGACGACGCCGACGACGAAACCGCCGCCGCCTGCGGTCGCCGCGTGAACGTCCCGTTCGCCGCTCTGAACGGCTGCGTCGGCGCCGCGGCGGCAAACGCGAACACGCTCTTCTTCGAGCTCGGCCGCGGCGCGACTTCGGACACGGTGATATGCCTCGACGAGGTGTTCGTCGAGCAAAGAGCGCCGTCGGCGTGACGCCGCGCGAACGCGGGGCGAGGCGGGGCGGGGCGAACGGCGACGACGACGACGACGACGACGACGAAACGGCACGAGAAGATACGTTATGAGCGATGTATTCATGATACGTTATGATGAATGAATGAAATACAGTACAGTACGTCGTGATGCGGACCATAATACATACCCTTACCCGACCCCGTCTCACTTGTTCGTGAGCGCGTCCCCAAACTTCCTCGCGGCGGGCGCCGCCGCCTTCGTCGCCGCCTTCGTCGCCACCTTGGACGCGAAGTCCGCGCGCATCGCAGCCATGCTCGGCTTCTTCGACGCCGCCGCCGCTGGCGCTGGCGCGTTCTCCTTCTCCGCGGGCACTTTCGGCGCGACGGCGGGCGCGGCGTCCTCCTGAGCCGGTTCCGCCGGTTCCGCCGGTTCCGCCGCCGGTTCCGCCGCCGGTTCCGCCGCCGCCGCCGCCTCGCTTTCTGCGAGCACGACCTCGTCCGCGGGCGTCTTCGTCAGCGTCCGCGAGAACCAAATCTCCTTCATCGGCGGTACCGCCTCCACGGCCTCGTCCGCGCGGCACGTTTCCAACACGTGCGTTAAAACGCTCGCCTCGAGAGCGTTACACGTCGTCGCCGCGTCCGCCGCGTGCGCCTCCGCCTCCGCCGCCGTCGCGTCCAACGCCGAGAGTATCTCCCCCGCGCGCGACGCCGTCTCCGCCGCGCGCGTCTCGATCTCGCCCAGCGCCGCGTCCGCGTCCGCGCGCGCCGCGGCGATGGCCGCGGCCGCGGCGGAGGACCGCGTCGCGTCCGCGGTCGCGGCGGCGGCGGCGGCGGCGGCGGACGCGTCGCCGACGGCGGCGACGACGGCGTCGAGCGCGTCGCCGACGTCCGACGCGAGCGCGGACGCGCCGCGCGCCGCCTCCGCCGCGCTCGCCTCCGCGAGCGCGAGGACGCGATCAGGTCGGGAAGATAACGCGTTCGAGATGGACGTTTTCGTGACCTTCGCGAGCGCGAACGCGACGTCGCCGAGCGCTTCGCCCGCGGTTTTCGCGGCGACGCCGCCATCCGCGGCGGCGGCGGCGGCGCGTCGCGTCGCGTCGCTCGCCTCGCGCGCGCTCGCGCCTATCGTCGCGATCGCGTCGACCGCGCGCGTCGCGTCGCTCGCCGCCGCGGCGGCGCCGTCAGCGAGCGCGCCGCGCGCGACGTCCGCGCGCGTCGCCTCGGCGGCGGCGGCGGCCATCGCTTCGGCGGCGCGTTCCGCCGCCGCCGTCGCGTCGACGACGCCCCGCGCCGACGCCGACGCAATCGCGGCGTTACTCGCGCCGACGCCGCTCTTCAGCGCGCCTCGCAGCGCGTCCGCGGCGCTCGCCGTCCTCGACGCGAGCGCGTCCTTGACGACGTTTAGCACGTCGTCCACGAGCGACGCGCGCAGGAGCGACGCGTGCTCGGTCGCGAGCGTCTCGATTTGGAGACGCTGCGTCTCCGCCGCGGCTTTCGCGCGCTCGGTCGTCGCCACCGCGGCGTCGTGCGCAGCCTTCGCGGACTCGAGCGCGCTCGCACACGCGCGCGTGCCCTTCAGCGCCGCGACGCGCTCGTCCTCGAGCGCCGCGACGTGCGCCTCCGCGTCGACGACGCGTCGCGCGAGCGCAGCCGCGAGGGATTCGATGGCGGTTTTTTGTTCGCCCGCCGCCGCCGCCGCCGCCGCCGTCGCCGCCGCGACGGCGACCGCGGTCTGCTCCACCGTCGCCGCGTGCGCCGACATCGCCTCTCTCGCTCTCGTCTCCGCGGCGTCGAGCTCCGCGGACGTCGCGCTCGCCCATCGCTCGAGCGCGCGCTCGCCGTCGCGGAAAACGTCGAGCGCGGCGTCGACGCCGGCGGCGACGTCGACAGCGCCCGCCTCCGCCGCCTCCGCCGCCGCCTTCGCCGCGAGCTCGAGCTTCTTCTCGAGCGCGTCGCGCCCGCGCGCGGCGTCCGCGGCGTCCTCGCTCGCCGCCGCGCGCGTCGCCTCGATCGCGGCCGCGCACGCGTCCGCGGCGATTCGCATCCGCTCCGCGGCTGTCGCGGCGCCGAGTCGAGCGTGCTCCGCCGCCGCCGCCGCCGCCGCCGCCGCCGTCGCGCGCGTCGCCTCCAAACGCGTCGCCGCGTCTTTCGTCCTCTTCCCCAGACCCTGTGCGATCCCCGCGGCGTCGTCCCCGAACGCGGCCGCGAGTTTCCGCTTCTTCGTCTCTTCCTCCGCGATCGCGAGAAGCGATTCGTGCGTCGACGCGTGCGTCGCGACGGCTTGATCCAACGCGTCGATCAGCGCGGCAGCCTCTCCGGTGAGGGCGGTTTCCGTGACGGCGCGCGCGCGTAAGAGCACGTCGCGCTCTCTCACTTTCGCGAGCGCAGTCGCCTCGGCGTCCTTCGCGAGCTCGAGTAACGCCTGCGTTTCCGCCGTTTTTTGTACCGCCGCCTTGGTCGCCTTCTCCGCGTTCTCCGCGCGGTTCGTCAGCGCCTCTTGCTCCGCGTGCTTTCTCGCGAGCGCCGCCGCGGCTTCCTCCGCCTGCGCTTCGAGATACCGCAAACGGCACTCCATCTCGCCCCACTCCTGCGCGGACGCGCCGGCGAGCGCGGTGCCGGGCCGCGACGTCGACCCCAACCCCGCGTCCGCGCCCCCCGGGTTCACCTTCAGCATCGCGCTCGACGACACCTTCGGGTCGTTCCATAAAAAATGTTCATCGGTCAGTTGAAAGGGGACACGATCAAATGTTGAAACCGATGGATGGGTGAAAAACGGTTGTGAACGCACCTTATTCACGATGCCCACCGCCGCTTGCGCGTATTGCAACGTCGACAACGTCTCGTCCACGGACATGATCGACGGCGACACCGTCGCGATGACGCACGTCTTGCACCTTCCTCCCAAGCTCTCCTGTAAAAGCCGCGTGAGCTTGCTGTCGCGGTACGGGATGCGCTCGCCCTTCGCTTTCCCGCCCGCTTTCAAGAGCGTGATGACGCGACCGAGTGTCAGCAAACTTTGATTGATGTTTTTCCGCTCGCGCTCGCGCGACGGGTCCAACTCGCCGCCGCCAGCGCTCTTCGCGCACTCGCTCCCGGCGAGGTCGACCATGTGCAGCTTCCCCGCGCACTCCATCGTCGACCCGTCCGGGAGCTTCCGCGTGCTGTTCACGCGCAGGGTAAACACGCAGTGCGACCGCGACGACGCCTTGTTCATCTTCGTCTCGCCGATGACGCGTTGCTGTCAAGGGTCGAGGGTCATCATATGAGGCGTCGTCGGGGTGGAGTTGAAAGGCGTCAGACGATGGAGTTGAAAGGTGTCGCGGCGCGTCGGGATCGAAACCGTGGCGCGGGCGGAGAGATGCGCGCGCAAAAGTCCTTAAGGAACGGCGTTCACAACGCGAACGCGAACGTACGGAGACCAGTGTGTGATGAATGCGAACGCGCCTTATTCGCGCGCTTCATGATGGCCAGGACGTCCTCCGGCCGCGTCACGACCTCCTCGGTGAGGTTCATGACGTAGAGGCCTCTCTTCTTCGTCGGGTCCTCCACGAGCCTCAGCTGCGATTGCTTCGCTCGCGACGCCGCGACGGTCGACGCGCCGTCTGTCTCGGTCCCCGCGGCGGCGGCGGCGGCGTCGGCGGCGTCCCCGGGAGGCAGCGCTGTCGGGGTGGAGTTCAAAGGCGTCAGTTGGAGTTGAAAGGCGTCGAAGGCGGGGATTGAAAGCGAGGGGCGGGCGGAGAGACACGCCGGGAGAGAAAGTCCTTAAGGATCGGCGTTCACCACGCCAACGGGGTCGTATGGGAACCAGTGTGAGGAGAACGCACCTAAGAGATCGCCGAGCTCTTCGTTGTAAATCTCGAGAAACGAGCACGTCACCGAGTGGTCCACGTACGACGCGTCGCTCTCGAGCCTCCTGAAGACGTCGAACGCCGCGCGCGGTATGACGCCCCTCTCCGTGGGGTTCTCGATGTCCCCCTCCATCGTGTGCGTCTTCCCCGTCCCCGTCTGTCCGTACGCGAACACCGTCGACTCGAATCCGTTCAACACGTCCGCGACGACCGGCGCGAGCGTCTGATCGAACACCTCCTTCTGCGTGCTGAAGCTCGTGAAGACGTCGTCGAACGCGAACGTGCTGCGCAGCGTCCGCGCGCCCGTGCCCTTGATGACGGTGACCTCCTTCTTCTCCGTGGACGCGGTGCATATCGGCAGCGCGTTCCCCTTGAGCTCCCTCGCGCTCATGGGTCGAAGGCGGACGACGACCTGGATGCCGCTCTCGATGGTGGCGGCGTCCGTCATGATGAAGACGGACGGAGGGGTGGACGAAGGGGTGGGCGCGTGCCCGGCGCGCGAGAGCGTGGGGGGGGGGGGGGGGGGGCGACGACGACGACGCGTGCGATGCGCGCCTCTGCGACGCGTGCGATGCGCGCCTCTGCGACGCGTCCTCTCTCTGCGACCGAGGACAAGTCGTGGCGAGCGTTTTTCGTTTTCTTCCCCCCCGCCGGCCGCGTGCTCGTACTACGCGGTACGTGTACGCGCGGCTGACTGTTTGCCCGTGCGGCGCGTGTTCTCCAGGTGTTCTCGCGCGTCATTGGTCGACGAAAAAGATCGCGGCGGGATGCGATCGTGCCTTTATCTTCGCCGGCCCATCCCGCGTCTCGCGCGCGGCACACCGCCACGCGCGCGATGGCGGCGTCCTGCGTCGCGCCGTGCGCTCGCGCGGGATGGCGATCGCCGTCGATCGCGCGACGCCGAGACGGACGCGCGGGTTGCGGCGGGCGGCGGGCGACGCGCGCGACCGCCGCGGGCGCGCGCGCGCGCGGCGTCGTCGCGCCGATGGGTCGCGACATCGGAAAAACCACGCCATCGCGGAGCGATGGACGTCGATGGCGCGTCTCCGCCGTCGACGAGGACGACGCGAACGCCGCGGAGAGCGGCTCGTCCTCGGATCCCGACGGCGGCGGCGACTGCCCGCTGGGGTTCGGAAAGAACGGCGCGATCGCGAACGTCCTCGGCGGCGGCGGCGTCGCGTCGCCGCCGCCGCGCGCGACGACGACGACGACGACGACGCCCGCGATGCTCGACTCGACGACGTTCCTGCGGTCGCTCCTCAAAGCGGGAACCTCCCCGGTGGGCATGCCCGAGGCGATGCTCGAGTGGGTAGACAGCACGGGGAAGGAGACCATCGGCATCAAGAACGCGATCGGGCCGTTGTGCGTCAGCACCGTGGACCCGGACATCGTGGAGTACGTCTGCCACGCCAACGCGAAAAACTACCGACTGCGGATGCTCCCGGACGCGTTTCGGTACGTCATCAAAAACAAGGGCATCACCGGAAGCGACGGCGCGTACAACCGAGAGCACCGCCTGATGTGCCAGAAGCCGTTCATGAATTCGTTCTCCCTGGATCAGTTCTCGCGGACCGTGGAGGATAGGGTCGGTCTGCTGTGCGACGCGTGGGCGCGCGCGGCGAGCTCGAGCGCGACGGGCGGATTAGGCGCGTTCTATACACTGGTCCCCATACGACCGCGTTGGCGTGGTGAACGCCAATCCTTAAGGACTTTGCCCGGCGCATCTCTCCGCCCACACCACGCTTTCAATCCCCGCCCTCGACGCCTTTCAACTCCGACTGACGCCTTTCAACTCCACCCCGACATCGCTTTGTATGGAACGACCCGTAGAGATCGACGTCGACGACCACTCGCAGCGGCTCACGCTCGACATCGTCACCTCGCTCGCGTTCAACAAGGACTTCAAGCAGGTAGAGGGGATCGACGCGCAGCTGAACGGCGGCGCCGGGCCGGACGACAGCGAGATCAGCGCGATGCTCGACGCGTACAACAACACGAGCGAGATCATGGGCCAGCTGTTCATCACGCCGGTGCCGCTTCTGAAGCTGCAAAACGTTCTCGGCATCGGCCGCGTCAGGGAGCTCAAGGAAGGGTACGCGGTCCTCGAGAAAGGGATCGATAACATCATCAACGAGCGCAGGACGCAGCTGGAGATTAATTCGCGCGTTGGGGACGACGAGGACTACTGCCTCTTGGACGTCTTGCTGCGCGCGAAGGACTCGGAGGGGAATCCTCTGCCGCAGGAGGACATTTGGGGCGACGTCAACGACATCATGGCCGCGGGGCATCGAACGACGGCGTCGAACCTCACGGTGAACCTCCACCACGTCGCGCGGATGCCAGAGGTTCAAGCCGCGATCGAGCGCGAGGTGGCGACGCTGCGCGGCCGCGCGCCGACGTTCAAGGACGTGCAGGAAGGTCGGCTGCAGTACACGCAACGAGTCGTGAAGGAATCGCTTCGAAAGTACGCGCCGATTAACCTCTTCCCGCGGATCGTCGAGAGCGACGACGTGCTCCCGAGCGGGCACGCCGTCGAAGCGGGCGACTTCATCCTCTTGTCGTCGTGGGCGATGGGCCGGAACCCGAGGGTGTGGGCGCGCCCGAACGCGTTCGACCCGGAGCGATTCACGGAGGAAAATTTACGCGTCAACGCCGAGCGACTGGCGCGTCCCATACGCTGGTTCCCATACGACCGCGTTCGCGTGGTGAACGCCGTTCCTTAAGGACTTTTGCCGTCGTCTCTCTCCGCCCAGGGTCCCTCGCTTTCAATCCCCGCCTTCGATGCCTTTCAACGCCAACTGACGCCTTTCAACTCCAGGCGCGCGAATCCGCGGGCCCCGACGCGGACGAGGAGACGCTCAGGATACAGATGGAGCGCATGTCGCGGCGCATCGCGGGCGGGAGGGACTTCACGTACACGCCGTTCGGGAGCGGGCCGCGGAGCTGCATCGGCGGGACGTTCGCGCTGCTGGCGACGACGGTGTCGCTGGCGTCCGTCGTGCAGCGGTTTTCGTTTGAAAAGTCGAGCGACCCGAGGAAGGACCACGGGTTCGAGATTCCGTTCGTGTACGACACGACGATCACGTTCCCGAAGGGCGTGCACGTGTGCGCGGTGCCGAGGAAGGTGAGGTTGGGCGCGGACGCGGAGGGAGGGGTGGGGGTGGGGGTGGAGGAGGGGTCGGCGAGCGAGGCGGCGGCGCGCGATTTCGCGCGGCAGGCGCCGGCGCCCGCGAGATGACAGACGAGCGACGCGACCGCCGTCGTCGCGCGGTAGATCCAATTCTTTTTTAGCACACGAAGATATCTAACACCAAGAAACCCCAAAAACACCGCGAGGCAGGGCGCGTTCCTTCGTCTTCGTCGTCGTCACGACCCGCCGTGCCGCTGCGACGCGGTGATCACGAACGACGCGCCCACCGCGGCCCAGAAAAACGCCACCGGGATCGCGATTAACAACGCGTCGCCAACCTCCTCCCCCACCGTCTTCAGTCCGACGTCCGACGGGCGCACGCGCACCGGGGACGCGTGATAGTCCTCGCTGAGGGTCGAGGAGGGTCAACGCGGAGCGAGCGACGTCGGGGTGGAGTTGAAAGGAAAGGCGTCAGGTGGAGTTGAAAGGCGTCGAGGTCGAGCGTTGAAAGGCGTCGAGGTCGAGCGTCGATAGGATCGGACGCGCGGATAGAAACGAACGCGCGCGGGCGAATTCCTCAGGGACCGGCCGGCGGGCGCGCGCGGCGAGACGCGCCTGAAGAGCTCAACCCAGAGCTGCCACTCGCCATCGCGCTCGCCCTCCTCCCGCGGCGGCGGCGCCGCGCCGATCGTCTCCACGTCCACGCGTCCGCTCCCCACCGTGTCGCCGCGACGTTGGTAGTACGCGCGCTTCAGAGCGTACGCCTGCGAGCTCCACAGGTTTAGCGCCGGCGCGTCGCGCGCGCACACGACGAGCGCGCCGACGGGGACGGACGCGATGTCCGCGCCGAAGCCGCCGCCGTCGCGCAGGACGCGGAGGAGCGTCTTGCCGCCCTCGAAGCGCGCGCCGACGTCGAAAAGGGACACGTCGCGGTCCTTGGCGAACGGCGACGACGACGACGTCGACGACGACGGCGACGGCGACGACGACGACGACGACGACGACGACGACGACGACGACGCGTCCGCGAACGGGTCGTCGTCCTCGTCCGCGGAGTCGTGCGACCCCAAGACGCGATCCAGCGCGTCGATGCTCGACGACGTCGCGTCCGAGGAGGAGGACGCTCGCGCGACGACGAGATCTTTCGTCGTTTTTCCTACTCCTCCTCGAAGCGACGCGGACGACGTCCGCGCGCGCGGCGCGCGCGCGGCGAGAACCGCGGGACGCGCGGCGGCGGCGCGCGTCGACGCGTCCGCGCGCGCGCCCGCGACGCGCGCGACGGGAGAGACGACCGTCGTCATCGTCGAGCGCGGAGGGGGGCCGCGCGAACGAGACTTCCAAGATCCGGGCGAGAGAAGAAGATTTTCTCGTTGGGAGATCGGTCGGTCGGACAGTAGCGCGTAGCTCGTGTCTGAAATTTAACATTCGCCAGTCGAACGACAGGACGAATCGTCGCTCCCCTCACGCGGACAAGAACAGCCACATGACGTGCACCCACGCGACGTACAGCAGCAGCGCGAGCCGAACCATCGGCCGCCGCTGCAAAAACACCGACATCCGATCCAAGCCCCCAGCCGCCCTGAGCACCGGCGACGCGGCGAAGGACGGCGCGCCCGACGCGTACTTGGATTGCAACGCGCGCACGCGGCCGAGCAACGGCCGGAACGCGCCGCCGTCCGCGCCGCCGCCGGGTCCGCCGCCGCCGCCGGATAAGATCGCGCCCTCGATGTCGTCGTCGCCCTCGTCGCGTTTCTTGCTCGCGTATCGCTTCGACGCCGCGGACTGAGGCGTCGCGATCGGAATGTCGATGGAGACGTCGGACGACGCCTTCGCGTTCGCCGCCGCCGCCGCCGCCGCTTGCGCTTGCGCCTGCGCCTGCGAGAGCTCCGCTCTGAGCGCGGACGTCTCCGCGTGCGCGCGCTCGAGCCGCTGGCGCTGCTCCTCGACCGTCTTCGCGAGCGCGCTCGCGTTCGCGGCGTCGCCCGCGGCGGAGGACGCTCTCGATTCGAGGTCTCTCGCCGCCGCCGCCGCCGTCGCCGCCGTCGCCGCCTTGGCCTCGCGCAGCTCCTCCTCCTTCTTCCCTAACACGTAGTTCGCCTTCTTCGACGCGTCGTCCGCCTTCGCGGCGTACGTCTCCGCGTCTCTCTCCGCGTCCGCCGCGCGCTTCTCCGCGCTCGACGCGCGTCGCTCCGCCTCCGCGAGCGCGGAAGACGCGGCGGCGGCGGCTTTCTCCGCGGAGGCGGCGGCTTTCTCCGCGGCGGCGGCGTTCTCCGCGAACGCCTCGGCTTTCCCCGCGAGCTCCTCCGCGCGCGCGCGCGTCGACTCCGCCTCCTGCCTCGCGCCCTCGACGAGGTCCACGAGCATCTGGATTCGCTTGTTCGCGGCGTCGAGTTCTTCGGTCGTCTTCGCGACCGCCGCGCCGGACGTCTCATCCGCGGCGGCGGCGGCGGCGGCGGCGGCGGCGGCGACGGCGTCCGCGATCTGCGACTCCGTCGCCGCCTTCATCGCCGCCGCGCGCTCGTCCGCAGCCTCCAACGCCTTCGCCGCCTCCGTCGCCATCTCCTCCGCCTCTTTCCTCGCCGCCTCCGTCTTCTTCAACTTCGCGAGCGCGTTTTTGAGCTTCTTCGCGTCTTCGTCTTTCGCCGCCGTCGCGGTCGCGGCCGCCGCCGCCTGCGTGGGTGAAGTGATCGGTCAGTCGAACGTCTAAACAGTCAAACGTTGAAAGGGAAGCGCGGGTGAAGAGTGACGACGGGAAAAGTCCTTAAGAAACGGCGCGCGCCACGCGAACGGGGTCGTATGGGAAGCAGTCTCACCGCCTCCGCCTTGGCCTTCGTCGCCGCCGCCAACGCCGCGGTCGTCTCCGCGAGCGTCGCCCTCGCGCCGTCGAGCTCCGCGGCCGCGGTCGCGCGGCCGTCCGCGACGCGCACGAGCTCCGCGCGCGCGTCGTCGAGCTCGGACGCGAGCGCGCGGGAGCTCTCGCTCACGCCGGCAAGCGCGGCGGTTTTCGCGTCTTCCGCCACGGCTGACGACGCCGCCGCCTCCGCGGCGGTCTTCTCCGCGTCGCGCGCCCTCTCCTCCGCGGCGGCCACCTCCGACTCGAGCGCCGCGACGCGTTCCGTCGCCCGCTTCGCGCTCTCGATCTCGCGCTCGGCGGTCGCGGTCGCGCGCGCGGTCTCCGCCTTCGCGTCCTCCGCGGCGGCTTCGAGGCGCGCCTCGCGCACCGCCGCCGCCGCCGCCGCGTCCTCAGCCTTCTTCTCCGCGGTCGTCGCGCGCGCGTTCGCGTCGTCGACCGCGCTCGCGGCCGCCTCCGCGGCCTCCTTCGCCGCCCGGAGCTCCGCGCGCGCGGCCGTCGCGTCCGCGCGCGCGGCGTCCAGCGCGACTCGCGCGGCGTCGAGCTCGCTCGACAGCGCCTGCGTGGGTGAAGTGATCGGTCAGTCGAACGTCTTACCAGTCAAACGTTGAAAGGGAAGCGCGGGTGAAGAGTGACGACGGGAAAAGTCCTTAAGGAACGGCGTGCACCACGCGAACGGGGTCGTATGGGAAGCAGTCTCACCGCCTCGGACTCGCCCGCGCCGGACAACGCCGCCGTCTTGGCCTCCTCCGCCGCCGCAATTCGCGCGTTCGCCTCCTTCGCCGCGTCGTTCGCGCGCGCCGTCGCCGCGTCCGCGGTCTCGAGTCGCGCGCGCGCGTCGGCGGCGTCCTCCCTCGCGCGCGCGAGCTCCGCGCTCGCGGATTCGAGCTCCGACGCGAGCGCGCGCGATCTCTCGTTTTCGGCGGCGAGCGCGGCGGCGTTCGACGTCTTCGCGTCCTCCGCCGCGCGCGACGCGTCCGCGGCGGTCTTCTCCGCGTCGCGCGCCTTGTCCTCCGCGGACGCGGCGCGATCACGCGCCGCCTCGAGCTCCGCGCGCGCGGTCTCGAGCTCGCTCGACAGCGCGCGCGTCGACTCCCCCGCGCCCGCCTCCGCCGCTTCCGCGCGCGCGTTCGCCTCCGCGACCGCGGCGGTCGCGTCGTCCGCCGCCCTCTTCGCGGCGTCGCGTTCGCGCGTCGCGTCTTCCGCGTCGGACGTCGCGCGCGCGAGCGCCGCGCGCGCGGTCTCGAGCTCGGCCGCGCGCGCCTGGGAGCTCTCGTCCGCGCCCGCGGCGAGCGCCGCTCTCGCCGCCTCCGCCGCCGCCGCGCGCGCGTTCGCGTCGTCCACCGCCTTGCCCGCCTCCTCCGCGGCCGCCTCCACGAGCTCGAGCTCGGCTTTCGCCGCCGCAGCCTCCGCGCGCGCTCTCGTCAGCGCCTCGTCGAGCTCCGCGCGCTCGGTCTCGCGGTCGGCGGCGGCGGCGGCGTTTTCGGCGGCGTTCGCGGCGGCGGTCTCCTCCGCGCGTTCGAGCCGCGCCATCGCCTCCCCCGCGCGCTCCTGCGCCGCCTCCGTCGCGCGCTCCGCCTCCTCCAGCGCGCTGGCTTTGCTCGCGAGCTCGTCCCGCGCCGCGTCGAGCGCGTCCTCCGCGGTCGCGAGCGACAGCGACAGCTCTCTTTGGGCCGTTCCATACAAGCGAATGTCGGGGTGGAGTTCATAGGCGTCAGTTGGCGTTGAAAGGCGCCGAGGGCGGGGATTGAAAGCGTGTTGTGGGCGGAGAGAGACGACGGCAAAAGTCCTTAAGGATCGGCGTCCACCACGCCAACGCGGTCGTATGGGGACCAGTGTATAGAACGCACCTCAGCTTGTCGTCCGCGTCCGCCGCCCTCGCCTCGGCGCGTCGTCGCGCCTCCGCGGCTTCCTCCGCCGCCTTCGCTTCGCTCGCCGCGTCCGCCTTGGCCGCGGATAGCGCGGCGGCCGCGGCGATCGCTTCCTCGCGAGAACCGTCTCCGCTCGCCGCGATCTGCGCGCGCGCCTCGGCAAGCTCCGTCTCGAGCTGCTTCTTCTCCGACTCGATGCCTTTCCCTTTTTTCACCGCCTTGGAAATTTTCTGCGACAGCGACTCTGCGTGGGTGAAGCGATCGGTCAGTCGAACGTCTTACCGGTCAAACGTTGAAAGAGAAGCGCGGGTGAAGAGTGACGACGGTAAAAGTCCTTAAGGAACGGCGTGCACCACGCGAACGGGGTCGTATGGGAAGCAGTCTCACCGTTCTTTTTCGTCGCCTCCGCTAGCTCCGCGCGAAGCGCTTCCAGCTCCTCCGACGCGCTCGACGCGTCCGCTGCCGCCTCCCGAAGCGCGCTCAGCGAGGCGTCGGCGGCGTCGAGCTCACCGCGGAGCCGCGTCGCGTCGCTCGCCGCCGAAATCGCCTTCGCGTTCGCCTCCTCGAGCCGCGCGTCCGCCGCCGCCGCCGCCGTGATCGCCGCCTCCGCGGATGCGGCGCGCGCGTCCGCGGCGTCCTTCTCCGCGCGCGTCACCGCGTCCGTCGCCGCCGCGAGGTCGCGCTCCGCGTCCGCGCGCTTCGCGTCGGCAGCCTTCACCGCGTCTCTCAGGTCTCTCTCGGTCGCCGCGAAGGACGCGCGTTCGCGTTCCAGATCGTCGCGCAGCGCCGCGGTCGCCGCGGTCGCCGCCGCCGCCAGCTGTGCGTCGTCGCCGCCGCCGCCGCCGCCGCCGCCGCTCGACGCCGAGGCCGTCGGCGGCGTGGACGGCGCCATCGGCGACGGCGCCGGCGGCGCGATCGGCGACGGCGCCGGCTCCGTCGCCTCCGGCGGAGACGGCGACGCGTCGCCTCCACCCATCACGTCGCGCAGGCGTTCTTCCATGCGACGCGCGTACTCGTCGCCGCCGTCGGGGGCGTCCTCCGCGGCGGGCGCGTCCGCGGCGGGCGGCGGCTTGCCGCCCGCCTTCGCCGCGGCCTTGCGAAGCTTGAACTCCTCGAGCTGCGGCGAGGGAGGGAGGGAGGGAGGGAGGGGGAGGGTGGGGACGAGGAGGGGTCAGACAGATCGAACGGCACGGCGTCGGGGTCGCTCGTCGAGGCGAGATCCGCGGACGCGACGACGACGCGACGCGACGGCGGCGAGCGCGGCGCGGGGCGCGGACCTTGCGCTTCCCCGCCTCGAGCGAGGCTTTCCTGCGCGCGTCCATGATGGCGTGACGCCCCGGCGCGCGGTGTGGTGGGAGGACGCGGCGGTGTGACGCGGACGCGCGGACGCGGACGCGACTTTCGTCTCATCACTACCGCCGGGGGAACGGAACGTACAACGGTCGCCGGCGCGTGCTATTGATTTGATACTAACGAGCCATACGATACGCGTCTAGCACTCGCGTACTGTACTACATTTCTACGTTCGTCTCCTAGCTAACACCGCGCGCGCCGACGCGACGCGACGCGACGCGACGCGACGCGGCCTCCTCCCTCCCTCAGGACGTCGGTCGCTTCCCCGCGAGGATGCTCCCCTCCGCGGGCTCGAACAGACCGAGCATGTGCCCGTCCGGCGCACGAAACGCGGCGACTTTCCCCTGCGTCAGATACTTGATCCCGCCGTCCATGCGCGCGCCCGCTTCGATGAGACTCTGCACCGTGTCCTGCATGTCCGTCACCGTGAAGTTCAAGATCGGAGAGTACCCCGTCGTGAGGTGCGCCTCCGCCTCGACGCGTTTCAGCGCGAGGACGACGCGGCCGCCGTCGCGCGGAAGCGACGGCGACGGCGACGGCGACGACGACGACGACGGCGGGGATCTGTCCGTGTGCGCGTCGCCTCCGCCCGTTTGGGCTCCGCGGGGCTCGCTCAGCTCCGCGTAGGCGTCCGTGCACACCTCCACGACGAGGCCGAGGCCTTTGTTGTAGAACGCCGCCGCCGCGGGGACGTCGCGCTGGAGGAGGAGGACGTGCCGGAGGAGCGCGGACATGACGCGGCGAGCGGGCGGCGCGCGCCGCGAGAGTGCGAGAAGCGGAGAGGCTCTCTCGGGAGGAGCAGAGGTACACGTAGGGCTAGAGGGGTCAACTGTTGCCTTTCGCGCTGCTTTCATCACCGGCGATTCGATAGGCTCGACCGCGCGGCTTGACCGGGGAAGAACCCGCCAACGTGGAAGTTTTTTCGCGGTCGTCGGTAAGTCGTTCCGCGGGCCGCGGCGTCTCGAGTTCCCCCGCGCGCGCCTGGTCCGCCCGACGCGCGTCGAACGTTTTTACGACCGCTCGGAACCCTCCCCCACATGTCCTCCGCGACGTCGTCGCCGCCCGCGACCGCGCGAGAGGCGTTCGAGCGCGGCGCCGCGTGGGCGCGAAGCCTTTATCGCGCGAATTACGACGGGTCAACGCAGCGCGTCGACACCAACGCGACGACGACGGCGCCGGCGTCGCCGCCGCCGTCGTCCTATCGCATCGTCGGCGGCGCCGAGGTGGACCCGGAGCGGACGTACCCGTGGATGACGACGTTCAAGCCCTTCGGCTGCGGCGCGTCGCTCGTCGCGCCGAACAAGATGTTGTCCGCGGCGCACTGCGACTTGAAGGTGCGTTACGTGTAAACGTTTTTCACCCACCGCTCGGTTTCAACATTTGATCGCTCCCCCTTTCAACTGACCGGTGAACTCATATTTTCGTACGGAATGGCCCCGAAGAGCTGGGCCGAGGCGGCTGCCGTCAACTGGCACGACAGGACGCTGACGAACGACGCGCGCGCGGAGTTCATAAAGATCGCGCGCGTGGAGCATCACCCGCTGTACGACGCGGACACGCTCGCGTACGACTTGGCGATCGTCACGCTGGAGGAGGACAGCGCGATCGCGCCGGCGACGCTCGACTTCGACGCCGTCGTCGGCGAGGGCGCGAGCGAGGCGCGTTCTATTCTTCTATACACCGGTCCCCGTGCGACCGCGTCGGCGTGGTGAACGCCGATCCTCGAGGACTTTCGTTTCCCGGCGCATCTCTCCGCCCACGCCACGGTTTCGATCCCGACACACCCACCTCGATGCCTTTCAATTTCAACTGACGCCTTTCGACTCCGCCCCGACGTTCGTCGCTTTGAACGATGGAACGGCCCAAGGGGGAGGACCTCGTCGTCATGGGCTGGGGCGCCACCTCCTCGGGCGGGACGACGTCGACGGATTTGCTCGAGGTGACGGTCCCCGCGGTGAGTCACTCGGACTGCTCGACGAACTACGGCGACTCGATCAGGAGAGAGACGATGTTTTGCGCGGGGCGGACGGGGAAGGATTCGTGCCAAGGCGACAGCGGCGGGCCCATCGTGCGGAAGTCGGATCAGAGGCAGGTCGGCGTCGTGTCGTGGGGCATCGGCTGCGCGTGGTCGGGGTACCCCGGGGTGTATTCGCGCGTGTCCGTCGCGAGAGCGTGGCTGTGCGACGTGGACGTCCCGCAAGCGTGCGACGTCGACGACGACGACGACGTTCCGTTTTGGGAGGAGACACGGTTCTTTTATCTCTCGTGCGCGGCGTGTTTCTTGGTCTTCGTCGTCGCGTGCGCGTGCGCGCTCGGGGTTCGTCGGGAGAGACTGAAGCAGCGCGCCGCGAACTTCCCGCCGCCGATGCCGCGGGTGATCGTCGCGGCGCACCCGGCGTACGTGGAGCAGCCGCGCGGCGACGCGGCGCCGTCTGCGCCGCCGTATGCGCCGCCGTATGCGCCGCCGCCGAAAGAAGACGCCGACGCGGCGGAGGCGGCGAGCGATGGCGCGGCGAAGTTTTGCGAGACGTGCGGCGCGGCGTTCGGGGACGGTGCGAAATTCTGCGCGTCTTGCGGGTGCCCGCGAGCGGCGCGGTGACGAGTCGCGGCGCGCGTCCGCGCGTCGGGAGTAGATAGTCTGAGACGAGTTTCATCTTTTCATAATGCCACTCGAGCGCGCACAGCGCGCGATCAACAGCGATCAACAGCGCGCGATCAACAGCGTTCAACAGCGCGCGATCAACAGCGTTCAACAGCGCGCGATCAACAGCGTTCAACAGCGATCAACAGCGCGCGATCGACTCCGGAAAGACCGCGACCAAAAAATCCCGCATCACGCGGACGCGTCCCTTCGAGCTTCCGGCGCACTCGCTCGCGCGCGCGCCCCGTCGTCGGCATGGCGTCCCGACGCGCGCGCGCGCTCCTCGCGCTCCTCGCGCTCCTCCTCGCGTGCGCCTCGCGCGTCGCCGCGGACGCCGCCTCCGCGCGGGTACGCGCCGCGTCGCGCGCGCCCCCCCCCGCCCCCGCCCCGCGGCCCATTACGATCCATCCCGCCCGCGACGATACGTATGTTTCACACTGGTCCCCATACGACCGGTTCGCGTGGTGAACGCCGGTCCTTAAGGGCTTGACAAGATCGCCCTCCGTCCTCACGCGCTTCTTTCCCTCCCTTCTCCTTCTCGGCCCCCTCCCCGTCGCAGCTCGGGAGCGAAGAGAAGCCGACGCCGACGCTCGCGGACGACATCGCGAAGCACAAGGCGGAGCACAAGGCGGAGCACGAGGCGGAGCACAAGGCGAAGCGCGCCCACCACGGACATGGCAAGGCGCCGGAAGAATCGCCCGACGCCTCCGACGCCTCCGCCGCGAAGCCCGTGACCGACGTGATCGCGGACGCCGCGGCGAAGATCGAGGAGCACGGCGACGCGAACATCGCGCACCACGCGAAAGAGCTCGAGGCGCACTCCGAAGCGAACGCGGAGGCGCTGTCGCATTCGAACCCGCACGAGGAGGGATCGCTCGCGGACGACATCCACAAGCACAAGGAGAAGCGGCGGATCGAAGAGCTCGCGAGGGCGGGCGTCGCGGATGGCGCCGTCGACGCGTACGACGACGACGACGACGACGAGCCGGCGGCGGCGAGCGCGGCGGACGATGAGCGCCCCGCCGCGAGCGAGGAAAAGGTGGAAAAGGTCGTGGCGCCGGACGGCGACGCGACGGCGCCGGTCGATCTCTCTCGGGGTTGGAAAGACCAGCGCGTCGCCGCCGGCGTCGACGCCGAAGAAAACTTTTCGGACCGCGGCGGTGAGACTGCTTCCCATACGACCCCGTTCGCGTGGTGCACGCCGTTCCTTAAGGACTTTTCCCGTCGTTACTCTTCACCCGCGCTTCCCTTTCAACGTTTGACCGGTAAGACGTTCGACTGACCGATCGCTTCACCCACGCAGGCGGCGGCGGCGGCTTTTTCGACAAGGTCAAAAGCTTCTTCGGCTTCGGCCCCCCGCGGATCGTGGAGGAAGACCCGGACGGCGTCTTCGACCCGAACGCGAAGTACAGCCTCACGACCGAGGCGCTCGCGTCGGACGTCTCCCGACGCGTGCAGACGTTTAGCGTCGGGCTGGACCCGGACGTGGAGGAGACCGCCGCGGAGTGGTTCCAATCTCTCGGGTACCGCACGATGAGCGGCGACGAGCAGTTCGCGCACAAGCCGAGCATCTCGACGTTGGGGTTCGTGACGCCCGCGTCGGCGCCTTCGATATTTAAGGACTTCGAGATGGCGAAGGCGTACTGCGAGACGCCGGACGGCGACGACAAATCGCTCGGTCGGTTCGGGAAAGATTTCGACTTCGCGAACTGGATCCCAGTCGCGACGTGGACGAAAAAACTCGCGGGGTCGTACCCGGACGCGAAGTTTCTCCTCTTCGAGACCCCGCCGGAGATTTGGTTCGGGCGCATCTCCAGGCGCGCGCAAGCCGCGGAGGAGCGCGCGTTGGAATGCGGCTGCGACGCGAGAGACGACCGGGAGAGTTGGACGATCAGCGACGAGTGCGGCGACGACGTCTCCGGAAACCACTACTGCAACGCGTACCCGTGCGTCTGGGAGAAAACGTTCGGGTCCGCGTCGCCGCTGCTGCACAAGGCGCGCTGGATCGAGAAGTACGACGAGCACGTCAAGGGGGTCAAGGAGGCGTTCAAGCAGCCGTTCATCGGGGAAGACCGTCTGCTCGTGATCCAGGAGAGCTCGATTCGGAACCTCGCGAGGCACCCGCCGGCGAAAACCGCTACGAAGCTCGTGACGTTCTTGGGGATGAACGAGGAAGACCCGGAGAGCTTTGGGTTACGCCACCCTTTCGAGCCGAGGCTCGCGCAGAAGTCGAACGATCACCCGTGGAGGACCGGGTTTATCTTGTTATGCGTCGCGGGATTGGGGGTGGCGGCGCTGGCGTCGCCGAACGCGTTGAGCGCGGGGGTCGCGCGGGTTCGAGACGCGTTCAACGGCGGCGGCGGCGGCGGATACGACGGCGGCGGCGGCGGGAACAGGGCTTTCGAGGCGCCGCACCGCAAGAACACGTACGGAGGGTACGACTGATCTGATGATCCGACGAGAAGAGCGAGACGCGAAGAGCGCTCGCGACCTAGCTATCGTATAATTACTGTACATGCGAAACGATACCACGCGAAAACTCGCGAGTCGTCGGGTTGCGACGAACCAAAGCGAGAGACGACTCGCAAACAAAAGAGACGTTTTCATTACATTACAACAGGTATAAGCATATATGTACAGTACTCACTTCGATGCTCGTGTCGCGCGTCGCTCGCCCGCCGATCACGATCGAGATCGAGATCGATTCCGAACCAACTCACCACGCGTGCGCTTTGATCCCCGCGGACCAACGCTCTTCCGGGGCGACGTCCCACCACACCGCCTTCTTGCTCCACTCGTACTCGAGATGCTCCATCTCGTCGTACGAGATGCCGTTCTCGTCCGCCATCTTCGCGATCTTCTCCGCCTCTTCCGGCGTCCTCGGCGCTCGCCTCTTCGCGGGACTCGAGACGATGTTGTTCCTCGCGCGGGGTCTTTCGTTTTCTTCCTCGACCTGCGCCTCCTCCTCGAGGTCGTGGTGTTCAAACACGGTGGCGGCGGCGGCGTTCAGCCTCACGATCGCGTCCGCGGCGACCGCGTGCGCCCTCGCCTCGGCCCTCAGCCTCTCCTTCTTCGTTCGGAACCCCGTCGCGAACGCGAGCGACTTCTCGTACGCCCCTGGCGCGGCGTCCTCCGCGCCCTCTCGAGACGCGTGCGCGGCGATCCTCTGCGCCGCCGTGCGGTAGCCCGTCGTAAACTTGAGAGCGCGCGCGTACGCGCCTCGCGGAATTTTCACCGCGGCGACGCGGCGGCGACGCGCGATCTCCGCCTCGTGCTCCGCCGCCGCCGCTCCCTCCGCGCGCAGCCTCTGTTCCCTCGTGCGGAACGTCGTCGCGAACGCGAGCGAGGCTTCGTACGCGCCGCGCGGGACGACGGCGTCGCCGGGGGCTTTGAGCGCGGCGAGCTCCGATTTCATTCGCTCGACGTCCTTCGCCGCGGTTTCGGCCTTCGCGGCCGCCCTCGCCTCCGCGCGCACGCGCTCGTCCCTCGTGCGGAACGACGTCGCGAACGCGAGGGACTTTTCGTACGCGCCGCGCGGGACGACGTTGTTCCCCGGCCCCGTCGGGACGGCGCGGCGCGAGAGCTCCGAGAGCAGCTCGGCATCCGCCGCCGACGCGGAATCTTCTGATTCTTCTTCCGCGAAAACCGCTTCATCAAGCGAGGCGTCGTCGAAGCGCCGCAGCGCGTCCGGCACCGCGTCCGGCGCGAACGTCAGCCCCGGGGTCACCAGCGTCACGAGCGCGTCCGCGGCGAGCGCGTGCGCGATCCCTTCCGCGCGCACCCGCTGCGCCTTGGTTCGAAACGTCGTCGCGAACGCGAGGGACGTGTCGTACGCGCGGTCGATGGCGCCGAGCGAGCGCCGCGCGTCGTCGAAGCGCGCCCAGACCTCGCGCGCGATGAGTCTCGCGTTCGCCGAGAAGACGTCGTCGGTCGCGTCGAGGAGATTTACCGCGGAGACGGCGCGCGCGAGCCGCGCGATGGGGCGTCGGACGTAGTACGTGTCCGCGAGGCGGACGGGGCCGATCGTCGCCGCGGCGACGAGCTTCGCGGCCGCGCGCGGGCGCCGAGCGAGCGCGTCCGCGAGGTGCGGCGCGGGGAGGGGCGCGACGGGGGCGGCGGCGTCCATTGTTAATCGTTTCGGCGCTTTTCGGCGCTTTACCCTTTACCTTTCCTCGGGCGCGGCTGCGATCCCTCGAGAGATCGGTCGCGGCGCGGGTGCGAGCGCGCGCGGGAGACGGTGCGAACGCGTGAGCGCGCGGGGGGGAGGATCCAAACGAACCTTCCGCGCGAGTTGGCGTGCGCGCGCGAGGCGGTGTGGCGAACGCGCGCGGAGCGGCGGCGTGAAAAGCGCCCCGTCAGCCCCATTCCCCTCCGCGTGGCAGAAATTGGGATCTTTATTATCTCGGAAAAGATATCCGAAACGTTGTCTTCCGCGTTTCGTATGGAAAAATAGACTGAGATGTACGAAAGTAGTACGAAAGTACGAAAAAACTATCGCACTTACCCCCGACCGCGAACCGTCGTTTTCCGGTCTGCAGCGGTGCAGTGCAGCGCGAGTCGAGCTGCAGCTGCAGGTCACAGAGTGCACTCATTATTGTTCGCTCCAGCAGATCTTCGCCCCCGCGGCCTCGCGGCGCGCGAGTCGGCGTCGATCATGAGCTCCCGCATCGCGGGGAAGTACACCGGCGGCGCCGCCGCCGCCGCCAGCGGCGGCGGCGTCTCGCGCCGCGGCCCGGACTCGTTCACGGAGGTCAGGTACGTTCCCAACCGAGGCGGTTCCGGATCTCGTCGCGCGTCGTCGTCCACCGGAGGCGGAGGAGGGGGATCGAACCTCTGCTGCGCGCTCGTCTTCGGCGTGATCCTCTTCACGTCCGCGTTCCCGGTGCTGTGGTGGAACGAGGGCAACGCCGTCGCGGTGTACGACGCGCTCAAGGAAGCGAAGGACTCCGTCGTCCAAATCAAAGGCGGCGTCGCGACGCCGTCGACGAAGGGGTCGCTCGTGCACGTCGTGGGGAAAACCTCGGGAGAACGCCTGCGCGACGGCGACTTTGGCGTCGCGATGAACGACGCGATCCGGCTCGACCGCGTCGTGGAGAGCTACCAGTGGAAGGAGACGAAGAGCGAGAGGCGCGTGGAGGAGGGGGACGAGACCAGGGTGGAGACGACGTACACGTACGATCTGGCGTGGATCCGCGGCACGATCGATTCGTCCAAGTTTCGACGACCGAACGGGCACCGGAACGCGGGCGCGCCGGAGTACGACGCGAAATCGATCGCCGCGCGAGAGGTGGGCGTCGGCGATGGATTCGTGCTGAGCGAGAGCCTGGTGAACAAGCTGACGCGGAGGCAGACCGTGCGGTTGACGCCGCCGAACGACGACGACGGCGGCGACGGCGACGATGAATTCGAATCCAGACGCGGCGGCGCGCCGGGTCGGTACGGAGCGAAGAGGAAGAAGAAGCGACCGAAAGCGCTCGGCGGCGCGGTCCGCGACGGCGCCGACGCCGACGCCGACGCCGACGCCGAAGACGACGTTAACGCCGCCGACGACGACGCGGCGGGGCGGAAACGGCGCCGCGGGAAGGGCATCGTCGACAACGACGACGACGACGACGACGAATTCGACGCGGCGACCTCGTCAGGCGCCGTCGCGCCTCTCGGCGAGGCGCGACTGGTCGCGTCGTCGCCGCCCCCCGGCTACGCCGTCCTCGACGGCCTCGCGTACTCGCGCGCCGCGGCGGCGTCGAACCCGAAAGTCGGCGACCGACGCGTCCGGTATGCCGCGCTCCCCGGCGGGCAGGTCGTCTCCGTGCTCGCGAAGCAAGGCAAAGGCGGCGCGCTCGTGCCCTTCGTCGCGAAATCGGGGAAAGAGATCGCGTTGGTGCGAGACGGGCGCGCGTCCTACGTTGAGATGATCGAGCGCGCGACGCGCGCGAACGCGACGCGGACGTGGCTCGTCCGCGCGGGCGGGTTCCTGCTCATGTTCTTCGGCGTGGTGCTGCTCACGGCGCCGGTGCGGTACGCGGTCGGGGCGCTGCGATGGATACCGTTGCTCGGAGGGTTCGCGGCTTCGGTGATCAATCTCGGCGTGTTTCTCGCCGCGCTCGCCGTCGCGATCGCGCTGTCGCTGGTCGTGATCGGCGCGTCGTGGATCACGCATCGGCCGGTGATCGCGATCGCGATGCTGGCATCGTCCGTCGGCGTCGGGTGGGCGGCGCGAAGGGCGGGCGACGCGAGCAGAGGCGGCGGCGACCGAACGACGACGACGACGCATCTGGACTGATAGACGCGCGTCTGTCTTCTCTCGCCGCGCGCGCGCGCGATGCGTGCGTGCGCTTCAAACGTCGTCTACCGCGGTCATCATCATCAAGGATACCTTAACTTAACTACATCCTATCGCTGGTATGTAACGCCCGTTCGTTCACAGCGCGTTAAATCATGTTTTCTGGTCTTCGCGTCGTCGCCGAGCCGAGCCGCGTGAAATCCAAACCCATCTGTCACCATTCGCCGTCCTCCTCCGCGATCGGCATCGTCACCTTCAGACACTCCCTCGCCGCGTCCCACTCCGCCTTCCCCGCGTCCGGGTCCACGACGTGCGGCAAGTACACGGACAGCTTGTACAGCGCGCTCCTCAGCCTTAGCCTGTCCTTCTGCACGTCCAGGTCCAGGTCGCGCATCGCCGTCGTGCCCGGGAGGTACATCTTCATCACGACGTCCTCGCAGCTTCGCGTCCCCGGGTCTTTGTTGTGCGCCATGCCTAGGAACGCGTCCGCGGTGCTCACGGCCTGCTTGTACAGGAACTCGTATTTGGGCGTCTTCAGAGCGAAGCTGCCGTCGCCGTCGCCGCCGCCGCCGTCGTCGTCGTCGTCGTCGTCGAAGTCGAAGTCGTCCTCGAGCTCGGACGCGTCCCACACCGCCTTCGGATCCGCTCGCGCGCGAATCCCCCCGCGCTTGACCGCGGGGACGGGCACGCCGTCGTCCTTCCCGACGTAGATCGCGGCGGGGTTGGAGTTGGACGCGCCGGTCGCGGCGGCGGAGGACGACGCGCGCTCGTCGTCGTCGCGGTCGCCGCCTCCGAGGAGGGACGAGATCGCCAGCATGTCGCCGACGCCCGCCATCGCGCGCGGTCAACCCCGCGCGCGATCGAGTCTGGCGTCTTCTTCGCGTCGATCTCGCCGGAAACGGTTCGCGGGCGCGGGCGGTCGTGGTCGTCGCGTCGCGAGAGAGTATTTTTCTAAACGTTGGCAGTCGGACGCGCGCGCGCCCGTCACCATGGGGCTCTTCTCGAAGAAGAAGCCGGAGAAGGAGAAGACCCGCGCGGACGCCACCGCGGAATGGCTCTACGAGGCGATCATACTCTTCCTCCAGGTCCGTCCGTCGCGCGTCGCGCGCGCGTTCGTTCGCGTCCCTCGATCGTTCGTTCCTTTTTTCGCGCGCGGCGTCGTTTTTTTTTCCGCCCCCTCTCCCCCACATCAATCACGTTCGCTGACCGACGTAATCGCCCCCTCCCCCACCCCCACCGCGCCGTCGAGCAGGGCCCGATGTACACGACCCCGCTCATGGGCTTCATCGACGCGCACTGCCTCGTGTTCGACGGCGAGGAAGAGAACAAACTGTCGTACACGGACGTCCACCAACAGTTCAAAGACCTCGTCGAAAAGTTGCTGACCGGGTTCCTCTCCGATCTCGGCATCGTCCCCGAGCAGTTCGTCCACGTCGTGTCGAACGCCGCGAAGACGGAGCTCAACGAGTTCATCATCACGAGCATCCTGACCGTGGACGACTTCACGCAGTTCAAGGCGATGATGGTGAAACGGAACCGCGATCTGACGGACGAGGTGCGTCGCATTCACACTGGTTCCCATACGACCCCGTCCGCGTGGTGGACGCCGTTCCTTAAGGACTTTACTTCCCGGCGCATCTCTCCGCCAGGGTCCCTCGCTTTCAATTCCCGCCCGCGTTGCCTTTCAACTCCACCTGACGCCTTTGAACTCCACCCCGACGTCGCTTTAGGTGCTGCGGCGTCTGGAAGCTGCCGCCGCGGAGGCGTCGCCGAGCCCGAGCCCGGGGCCGGGGCCGGGGCCGCCCCTCCCGGCCGGGACCGTGCTCGGGACGCCGGTGAGCGCGGGGGCGGGCACCGGCGCGGGGCCGAGCAGCCGGCTCGGCGGCGGCGGCGGGAGGCAGGGCAGCGGCAGGGAGGGGTCGTGGACGCCGTCGCCGCCGCCGGCGCAGCGGGGGGGGGCGCCTCCTCCTCCTAGTCCGATCGACGACGGGTTCGACGTCGCCGCGATGCAGCACGCGATGGAGCTGTCTCGAAGACAGCTCCAGGCGGAGAAGTCCGCCGCGGAGTCGGAGCGCGCGGCGGTCGCGCGCGCGTCCAAGTTGAGTAAAAAGTCATCCGCGCGAGAGAAGAAGCTCCCGGGCACGGTCGCCGCGGACGGCTTCGACGCGACCGCGCTCGAGGCGGCAATGAAACTGAGCAAGGAGACGCACGACGCGCACCAGGCGAAGGTCACCGAGGCGGAGGCGAAGAAACGCGCGGCGGAGGAGGCGAAGCGAGCCGCGGAGCGCGCGGAAGCGGACGCCGCGCGAGCGGAGGAGGAAGACTTGCGGAAAGCGATGGCGTTGTCCGCTTCGGCGTTGAGCGCGGAAGCCGTCGTCGCGCGGCGCGAGCGGGAGGAGCTCGAGGCTGCGATCGCGGCGTCGCTCGAGCTGAGCGAGAAGGAGGGCGGCGCCGGCGGCGGCGGCGGCGAGATCGAACCGAGCGCGCTCGGCGGCGGCGGCCGCGGGTACGCGTCGTCTTCGTCGTTCCCGCGCGCCGGCGTCGTCGCGTCCGGGTCGCTCCCGCCGATCCAGCGCGCGCACCAGCCCGCGGGCTACCGCTCCGACCCTAACGTCGTCGGAGTGGACGGGGTAGGACGCAACGACATGGCCGCGGTGCGCGCGGCGGCGGCGGCGGCGGCGGCGTCGCAAGTCGCCGTCGTCGCGGCGAATCGCGAGCGCACCGAGGTGCGTTCTATCTCACACTGGTCCCCATACGACCCCGTCCGCGTGGTGGACGCCGATCCTTAAGGACTTCGCCCGGCGCATCTCTCCACCCAGGGTCCCTCGCTGTCAATCCCCGCCCTCGACGCCTTTCAACTCCGCTTCTGACGCCTTTCAACTCCACCCCGACATCGCTTCGTATGGAACGACCCTGAGACGCGCCTCGCGGCGGTGTCGTCCCCGGACCCCGCGGAGATGGACCGCGTCCGCAGGGAGCGTTACATGGAAGAGCAGCGGCGGATGCTCATCGCGAAGCGCGCCGCGGAGCGAGAGAAAGAGTTGGACGACTACACGACGTCGTATGTGAACCCGATGTACGCGAGCTCGAGGCCTCAGGTGCGTTCTGTTCTTTTTTCAAACCGTTTGCGTTTTTCACCCACCGCTCGTCGGTTTCAACGTGCGATCCATCGCGTCGGTCCCTTTCGACTGACCGACCGACCGGCACTTTTTTTCCTCGCCGAACGACCCGCAGTCCGCGGCGGTGCTGTCGGAGGAGGAGCAGAACGCGAAGCGCGCGCAGCTGCGGAACGAGCTCGCGACGGCGATGCGCGAGGAGCTGAGCGGGAAGCTCGGGAGCATCGCGGAGAGCGGGCGAGCGGCGGAGAGATAGATACTAAAAGTTGTTCACACTTAATGAGGGTGATTTCATCGGTCAGTTGAAAGGTGACGCGATCAAATCTTGAAACCGATCGATGGGTGAAAAACGTTTGCATCGAACGCATACCTGTAAAAGAGGCAGCGGCGCAACCTCCTAATTTATCTTCATCGCGTCGTCGTCCGTCCTCGGACGCACACCGCGCCGCGCGTCGACCGCCGCACGCGCACGGTTCGCGCGCCAGGGCAGGCACCATACCATGTCGCAACTCACCGGCGGGATCCACGACGGCGCTCTCGGCGACCGCTCGCCCTCGCGCGACTCCGCGAAGAGCGGCGCCGGCGCGGGGCGAGGCGATGAAGAATTCAGCGTCTCGACGTTCGCGCGCGACGAATCCGACGCCGCGCGCATCATGCACGACGCGTTTAAGGCTGCGAAAGGGTTCGACGGCGACGTCGTCGACACGAAGCGATGGTCGCGGGACACAGAAGCGAGAGTCAAGGTGCGCGATCGATCGCGTCGCGCGCGCCCCCGCGCCGATCGCCCCTCTCCCTTCGGATCGCGCGCGACGATTCTCCATTTCCGTTCCGCGCAAAATTCATTCACGCTATCGATCGCTCCATCGATGGATCGCTCGGCTCGCTCACCGCCTCCACCCCACCCCGCGCGCGACGTTTATCCATCAGGACATCGTATCGAACGCGCGCGCGGAGGTCGCGCGCGTGGACGACGACCCCGGCCGCGCCGCCATCCTCCTCTCCGTCAAGCGCGATCTGTACCTCCCCGTCCTCGAGGGCGTGGTGTCGATGCTCAAGTGCGTTCTATCATGTTTACGCCGGTCCACGCGCGACCGCGTCCTTCCGCCGGCGCCCTCTCCGTCGCTCTCTCTCGTCCAATGAAACGTCCATGTCATCAAATTCCTAACCAATCACATCACCTCCCGCCACGTCGCCCACCAATCGAACGCCCCGCAGCGACTCGTCGTCGCCCGACGCGGGCGCGATTCTCGACGCGGTGAAGGACATCTTCAAAGATCTGTGCGACGACTGGCGCGAGCTCGCCGACGCGACGCGCGCGAAGGCGGCGCACGCGGAGAGGGAGCGCGCGCGCGCGGAGGCGAGCATGAGCGAGCTCTACGCCGTGGCGAAGCAGCTGGAGCGGGACCTCGAGAGCGCGCGAGCGCACGTCGCGGCGCTCGAGCGAAAACGGCAAACGATGATCACGAATCGTCAAACGAATCCGACGCCGTCGGCGTCGCCCCCGGGGGGAGGGTCGCCGTCCAGCGCCGCCGGCGCGCCGCCGGCGCCGCCGTCGAGCACGGCGCCGTCGACGACGCTCGACCTCGACCTCTCGTTCGACGACTTGAAGCTGACGACGGGAAGCGCGCCGGCGGGAGCGCGCGTCGGCGGCGCGGGCGGCGGCGACCGCGCCGCGCTCGAGCGAGCGCTTCAAGCGAGCGCGACGAAACCCGGCGCGAAGAAGACGCCGAGGTGGGCGATCGACAGCGGAACGCCCGCCGCGGAGGCGGCCGCGCGACGGGGCGTCGGGCGCGGCGGCGAGGGCCAGTTTGGCCCTCCGACGGCGATCGTCCGCCGTCGTCAACGGACGGGTAATCAGTCAGACGTCGCGGAGCCGAAGCGGTGGTCGCTGAAGCAGCTCAAGGACGTCATCGAGGACGTGTGCGACGCCAAGGCGGCGAACGACGCGCGCGCGGCGAAGCACAAGCAACCCCGCGAGACGATGCATCAGCACCTGTACACGTTTTTGAACCACAAGTTTGGCGTCAAGTCCATCATTGCGGAGTGGGCGACGTCCATCGTCGCGGCGGCGGATAAGTTTGCCGACGTCGACTGCGAGGTGGCCGTCTTCGGCCGCGTCCTTCACAACCTCGTCGACGAGGAGTTTCGAAACGAACAGAAAGTCATCGTCGCGACGGTGCGCGAGCTGTTGCGGAGCTACCTCCGGTCGCAGCGCCCGCACGCGAACGACGACGAGATCGCCGACGCGTTGGCGGCGAAGACGCGAGGCGACCTCGCCGAGGACGAGTGGCTCGACATGGTGCGGTTCATGTACGGAAGAAAAGACAGCGCGACGATCATCGAGCGGATGCGCGCGGTGCAGAGCGAGGTCGTGGAGGCGGCGTGGAGGGAGATGGAGAACGAGGAGGGGATCGAGAACGACAAGCCGGGGACGAAGCGCCGAACGAAGAAGGAGATCGCCGCCGTCGCGCGCGAGAAGACGGCGAAACGCGTCCCGTACGAAGACTTTCTTCAGGTGTGTCTCTTCCACGGGTTAGAGACGCAGGAGGAAGCGCTCGCGCCGTTCGCGGAGGCGATCGGCGACATGGACTGCCTCGCGAGAGGCACGCTGAACGAGTCGCAGTTCAAGAAGCTGTGCGAGCGCGCGCGGCATGATCTGAGGTGCGTTCTATACACTGGTCCCCATACGACCGCGTTGGCGTGGTGAACGCCGTTTCTTAAGGACTTTTGCCGTCGTCTCTCTCCGCCCAGGGTCCCTCGCTTTCAAACCCCGCCCTCGACGCCTTTCAACGCCAACTGACGCCTTTCAACTCCACCCCGACATTCGCTCGTATGGAACGACCCTCAGCGACGGGGAGGTGGAGAAGCTCCTCGTGCGATTGGACCCGTGGAATAACAACGCCATCACGGCGAGCACGTGCTACACCGCGCTCGTGCCGGGGCTGAGCGAGGTCGCGGAGGGGATGAAGAGCCTGACGCACGGGAGGACGAGCAAGGAGAAGGTGTTGGGTGGGGTTGGACACGGCGAGCTGTGGAACGTGAGCTACGAGGGGCGGAATTTTAAGGGGCGGGCGAGACGAGGGAACGCGCCGCCGTCGAGACGCGAGCTTCTGCGGGACGACTGATGATGGACAGGAACACCGCATGTGAATATAATTCATCACACGTTACGTTACGTTCTAGTGTGACTGTCGTATGTCGACCGTTTCCGATTCCGATTCTTCTGCTACGTGTTACGTATGATCGTCGTCTACTTTTTACGTCGTTCTACGTCGCCGGTTCCTTCCTACCCAGCCCCTCCGCTCAAAAAGTCTCCGTCGCTGAGCTCTTTCCCCACGACGTGCGTCGCCTTCAACGCCGTCCTCACCTTCCGCGCGTGCTCCTCCCCGCCCAACACCGGCCAGTGCGCCCTCTGCGCGTCGATCACCCTCGTCAGCGTCTCGATCGACGACCGCTTCGGCCGTCGTCGGCTCGAGAGCGGCGGCGTCGCGAACCCGAGCAACGCGCGGAGCGTCGCCGCCGCCGCGTTGGCGGTGACGCTGAGGGTCGAGGGTCCATCGTTCAAAGCGACGTCGGGGTGGAGTTCAAAGGCGTCAGAAGCGGAGTTGAAAGGCGTCGAGGGAGGTGTGTCGGGATTGAAACCGAGGTGTGGGCGGAGAGACGCGCCGGGCGAAGTCTTTAAGGATCAGCGTTCACCGCGCCGACGGGGTCGTATGGGGATCAGTGTGACATAGAACGCGCCTCAGTCCGTACCCCCCCTCCAGCGCGCAGACGCATCGCCCCTTCGCGTGCGCCAGCAGCCGTTCCGTCATGAGCGCGTAGCCTTGGTCGCTGACTTTCATTCCCCCGAGCGGGTCGCCCTCCGCGGCGTCGAACCCGGCGGCGACGACGACGACGTCGGGGTTAAACGCGCGCGCGATGGGATCGATCACCAGATCGAAGGCGGCGAGGTAATCGGCGTCGCCCAGCCCTTTCTCCGCCCACGGGATGTTGACGTTGTACCCGACGCCCTCCCTAATCCCGCACTCGTCGATATCGCCCGTGCCCGGGTAGAACCCGTTCCCGTGGCGGTGCAGCGACGCGTACATCACCTTCGGGTCGTCGTACAGGACGTCTTGGATCCCGTTGCCGTGGTGCACGTCCCAGTCGAGCACGAGCACTCTCTCGACGCCCGGCTGTCTCAGCGCGACGCGAGCCGCGATCGCGGCGTTGTTGTAGAAGCAGAACCCCATCGCGCGCGCGCACTCCGCGTGATGCCCCGGCGGGCGCACGACCGCGAAGCCGCGGTGGATGGACCCGGCGGCGACGGCGGCGGCGACGGCGGCGGCGCTTCCCGCGGCGGTTCTCGCGCATCTCGCCGTGTGCGTCGTCCAGTAGATATCCCCCTCGCCCTGCACCGCCTCATCTTTCGACGCGTCGAACGTGGAATCGACCGCGTCGAGGTGCGACTGGGAGTGGCAGAGGAGGAGCTCGTCGTCCGTCGCGAGCCGCGCGGGGACGCGCTCGCACCGGCCCTCGAGGCCCTCCTTGAAAAACTTCGCCACCACCGCCGCGTGCCGCGCCGGGCGTTCAAAGTGCGCGGGCGGGCCCTCGTGGAGCTCCATGACGTCGCTGAACGACAGGCCGACGACGCCGACGTTCTCGTCGCGCATCGATCGCGGCGCGCGCGCCGCGGACGCGGACGCGCGTCGCGTGGACCCGGCCGGTGGGGAGGCCACCGACAGCGAGACGGTTTTTTCAAACGCCGCCGCGAGCGCGTCGACGGCGTCGTCGGTCGACGCCGCGACCTCCTTCTTCTCTTGACGCTTCGCGTCGCGAAACGTCGCGAACGCGCTCCTCTGCCGCGATGGCTTCTTCTTCGGGAGTTTACTCCGCGGTCTGCGCTCCGGCGTCGGGAACGGTCGGTCCGCCGCCGCCGCCGCGGGACCGGTCGCGCCGGCGGCGGCTCCCGCGGCGGCGTCTCTCGTCGCGAGTTTCGGCGCCGCCGCCGCGAGCGGCGACGTCCGCGGCGGCGGCTCCCCGTCCGTCGGCGTCGCCGTCACCGCCGCGTCCGCCGACGCTCTCGCCTCCGGGCTCTGCGCGGGGGTGACGACCTCGCGCTTGAACCGCACGACGAGCTTCGGACGCGGCGCCGGCGACGGTTTCTTCGACGCGTCCTCCTCCGCCTGCTCTGCTTCCAGCAGAGCGCTCTCGAACGCCGTTCGTCGCGTCGAGTTCGCGCGCGATACCGACTGCGGCATCGGCGTCGACGGCGCGGTGTGGAACTCGTCCGCGTCCTCGTCCGCGGCGGCGGCGATCTCCGCCCAGCGCTGCGGCGCGTCCTTCTTCCCCGGCGTCGCGGACGCCGGGGAAGAACGCGTCGGGGACGCGGGGATGATCACCGCACGCTCGGGGGTACTCCCGCCGAGTTCGCCGCTCATCGTTCGTCTCGGCGTCGTCCTCTTCGCGCCTCCCGGCGTCGACGCGCCGCCGCCGGAGATGAGCGACGCCACGCCGTCGCCGCGCGCGTACCCGGAGCTCGCCACGCGCGGCGAGCGCCGCGGCGGCGTCGCTCTCGACGGCGACGGCGACGGCGAGAGGATCTCGTCGCGCGCGTCCAGAAACTCGGAAGACGACGACGCCGCGGAGGTGGTCGGCGGGAGGACGTTCGCGAGGACGTCGTCGCGCAGGTTCGCGCACGCGATCGACGCCGCGAGCGCCTCGAGCGCGGCGACGTCGTCGCCCGCCTCCGCGTCCGTCATGACGGCGGCGCGCGCGGGGGAGCTACAGTATGGCGGCGAGCGTTTCATTAATAATCATCCCGTGGACCGCTGACTGTGACTGGACGCCGACGACGGCAACGACTCTCTGCGTTTTCGCTCGTCGCGCGTCACACCTCCCTCGCCGACGCTCCCCACGGCGCGCATGCTTCGCCGCGCTTCGCTCGCGAGGGCGGCGCGCGAGGCGTCGTCCGCGGGACGTCGACGCGCGGTGTCGGTGTCGGCGTCGGCGGCGGCGGCGGCGCGCGGCGAAGGGGACGGAGAAGGCTCCCGAGGGGATGAGAGAGAAGAGGTGCGTTCTATACACTGGTTCCCATACGAACGCGTTCGCGTGGTGAACGCCGATCCTTAAGGACTTTTGCCGTCGTCTCTCTCCGCGCACCCCTCGCTTTCAATCCCCGCCCTCGGCGCCTTTCAACTCCATCTGACGCCTATGAAATCCACCCCGACATCGCTTTGTATGGAGATCCCGTCGTCGTCGTCGTCGTCGTCGTCGTCGTCGTCGTCGACGTCGTCGTCGTCGTCGACGTCCGAACCTTCGGAGGAGGTCGTCGCGCACACGGTGTTCAACCACTTCGCGTCGCGAGGCTCGCACTGGCTCCCGACGCGCTGGCGGACGTCCTTGGACGACTGGTCGCACGAGTGGTGGCGTCGCGGGATGCTCCAGAGGCTCCGTCGCGACCGTCGAACGAGCGGTCTGGGAAGAGAAGAAGGTATCGTGAATGACATCGAACGCCGCGCGAGAGACCTGCGCGCGAGGTACGACGTCGACGGCGACGCCTTCCGCGACGTCGTCGTCGGCGTATTTGGAAGCGGGGCGCACCTCGACGCGGCCGCGAGAAGCCGCGACGCGTCGCACGTGAAGCACGCGTGCCGCGCGCTCGCCACGCTTCGCGCGTTGCGACCGTGGATTAATGACGACGCCGCGTTGATACCGTTGATACGCGAACACAACGGCGGGGAGCGGCTCGCGGCGAGGATGGTGAACGCCGGCGTCGCCGCCGCGGTGACGATGTCGAGGGATAAGGTCGGGCTGTGCGTGAAGCTGTTGAGAGGACTCGCGTACGATCACGGCGACGTCGGATGGGACTGGAGAGAGGCGCCGACACCGACGGGCGCGCGAGCGGAAACCGACGCCGGCGGCGGCGGCGACGACCCCGAGGTGGTGTTCGAGATGCGCACGTCGCGGTGTCTGTACCACTCCGTGTTCGCTGCGGAGGGGGAAGGCGCGCTCGCGAGTGCGACGTGTTGCGCCGTGGACGGGGCGAGTTGGTTCGAGAGCGGCGGCGGCGGCGGCGGCGGCGGCCGCGATTGGTTCGGCGGCGTGGCCGTCGCGCGGACGGAAACGCTGAGCGCCGGGGACGCGCGATGCACGCTGCGCGTGACTCGGCGAGGAGGCGGACGGTAGGGGGGGGAGGGGTAGACGCCGCGGAGCGCGCCCGAGGCGCGCTCCCGTGGACTGATAGTAGTCTACAGTAGTATTTTCAGTGAGGGCGATTTCATCGGTCAGTTGAAAGGAGTGCGATCAAATTTTGAAACCGATGGTCGGCGGTGAAAAAACCTGAAAAAATGAAAGAACGCTTCTCAGCTTCGAATGACGTCACGGCATGACTCTGTCGCTCGAGGCGCACACCCCACCGCGCGGGCGAGGATGTCGCGCGCGCGAGCGGCGTCCGCGCTCTGCGCGCTCGCGTACCGCGCGGCGACGACGCCGCCGTCCGCGTCCGCCGCGGCGCGCGCGTTTCGTTCCGCGTCGGACGGCGTCGCGCGGACGACGACGGTTCGCGATCTCGTCGCGTCGAGATCGATCGCGTCGCTCCGCCTCGCGACGTCATCGTCGTCGTCGTCCGCCGCCAGCTGTACCGCCTCCTCCTTCTCCTCCGTCGGGCACCTCGCGTGGAGGGCGTTCGCGTCGTCGTCCGCCGCCGCGGCGCGCGCGACGACGACGACGACGACGACGACGACGACGGCGACGCGCGTCGCGACCGCGGCGACGCGCGCGACCGCGAGGCGCGTCGCGACCGCGTCGTCCACGCGAGGTGCGGCGACGACGACGACGACGACGACGCCGGCGTTCGTCCATCCGCTCGTCCGCGGCGGCGCGTTCGCGGAGAACGCCGTCGCCGCGTGGCTCGCCGGCGGGTGCGTCTGGGTCTTCTCCCTCGTCGTCCTCGGCGGCGCGACGCGGCTGACGAGGAGCGGGCTGTCGATGACGGACTGGAAGTTCGAGTGGGAGCGCGCGCCGAGCACGGATGTAGAGTGGCGCGCGGAGTTCGACAAGTACAAGCGGTCTCCGGGTGCGTCGTCGCGTGACTCTTCTTCGACGCGCGGCGTGATATCAACCGCGCGCATTGCATGTATCCTCCCACGTCATCGTGACTGACCACTCACGTTCCCCCGCGCGTCGCAGAGTACGTCAAGACCAACGTCGGGATGACGCTCGAGGAGTACAAATTCATCTACTGGATGGAGTTCGGCCATCGCATGTGGGGCAGAGGCCTCGGCGCGTACTTCGCGCTGCCCCTCGCCGTGTTCGCCGCGGCCGGGTTCGTGACCCCCGGCCTGATGGCGCGCCTCGCGGGCTTGTTCACCCTGGGCGCGTGCCAGGGCATGATCGGGTGGTGGATGGTCAAATCCGGGTTGACGCTCAGGCGCGTTCTATACACTGGTTCCCATACGAACGCGTTCGCGTGGTGAACGCCGATCCTTAAGGACTTTTGCCGTCGTCTCTCTCCGCGCACCCCTCGCTTTCAATCCCGACACACCTCGGCGCCTTTCAACTCCATCTGACGCCTATGAAATCCACCCCGACATCGCTTTGTATGGACCCTCGACCCTCAGCGACGAGGCGGCGGAGCGAAACGAGATCCCGCGCGTGTCGCCGTACCGACTCGCGACGCACCTCACCGGCGCGTTCACGATCTACGTCGGAATGCTCTGGACGACGCTCAGCGTAGCGTTCCCGGGGTGCGCGATCGAGGATCACGCGCGACGGTCGATGACGTGGGTGGCGGGCGACTCCGGGGCGCGACGGATCGCGATGCTCGCGTTGGAAGCCGCGCGGAAAGCGCGTCAGACGATCGTTCCCCTCGCGGGGCTCATCGCGACGACCGCGCTGTCCGGGGCGTACGTCGCGGGGATGGACGCGGGGAGGGCGTTCAACACGTTCCCGCTCATGGGGGGGAGGGTCGTCCCGGAGGAGTACTTCGACATGTGGGAGAAGTACGGGTGGCGGAATTTTTTCGAAAACACCGCGGCGGTGCAGTTCGACCACCGCGCGCTCGCGGTGACGACGTTACTCGCGGTAACGTACGCATGGGGAACGTTACGTGGTAACCCGCGGCTCCCCGCGGTCAGCTCCCTCGCGCTCGACGCGGTCATGGTGGTAACGCTCGCGCAGGTGGGGTTAGGGATCTCCACGTTGTTGTATCACGTCCCGGTGAGCCTCGGGAGCTTACACCAGGCGAACGCGCTTCTGCTCATGACGACCGTCGTGGGGTTGCTGTACACGCTGCGGGTGCCGCGGCACGCGATGCAGCTGGGCGGCGTCGTGAGCGAGGCCGTCGCGAGAGGGGAGGCCTCGATCGCGAGGGAGGTGGCCGCGAAAGCGGCCAAACCCTTGGGGAAGCGAAAGAAGAAGAGGTAGACTCTAACCCGCGCGCGAATCATTTTTTGTATCCTAACTACAGTCGTCAACGCGACTCTATCAACCTTTCAACCCTTCAACTCAACTCTACGCCGCCGGCCTCGAGACCTCCGCGACTTGCTCCGGGGTCAGCGCGTCGTCAAACAGATCCAAGGACACGATCCCCGCGTACAACGGCGAGGACTGGTCCGGCCGCATCCACCGCCCGAGCCAACACTCTCTCCTCTCGCACGCCTCCCCGTCTTTCTTCATCTGACCCTCGTACGGATCCGCCGCCCCGCGCGGCAGCGCGATGCCGTCGCCCTGGCCCACGAGCGCGCCGTCGACGTACAGCCGCTGCTTTCCCGACGGTTCGAGTACCGCGACGACGGTTCGTATCACACTCGAGAGGAACGCGTCGTCGACGCGAAAGTCCACGCTGGCGCGGTCGTTCCAGCCGCACACGCCGTCCATCTTGACGCCTTTAGTGCACCCCTCGCCGGGCGCGCCGGGGGTGACCTGAAACTTCAGGACGTTCCCTCGGTCGTGCTTGACCTGGAAGATGTCGTCCAAGCCGTTCCCGAGGTGGAACAAGACCGCGTCGTCGAGCGGCTGCGCGAAATAATTGACGCAAACTTTCGCGGAGACGCCCTTCCCCATCGTCGTCCGCACCGTCCCCAGGTCCACGGTCCCCAACGCGTACTCCGTCTTCCTGTCGTCCTGCGTAAACTTCCCTCGCGCCTTCGCGCCGCACATGCGCAAGCCCTCGCCCGCGTGGACCTCGTGCGGGACGATGTCCATCACGCGCGCGACGGGGAATCCTTTCTCGTTTAACATGTCCCCGAAGTGTTTCGTCTCTCTGGTGTACACGTAGTCGCTCTTCGCGACCGTCGGGCCGGGCTCGAGGAGCCACCCGATTCTGGACGCGTGCAGGGAGAGGTTCGACCCTGGCGCGGGCGGGTACGTCCAGTTCCCGGCTGCGAAGGAGGCGGACGGACGATGATGAGAGCGACGACGAGAGCGTCAGACGAGATTGATGAGTTTTCGAAAATCTGTTCGAGGACTGGACGGCGGCGGCCGGAGACGACGCGAGCGCGCGGGCGACTCCCTCCCTCCACGCACCCGGCGGAGGAGGATAGTTCGGAATCCGCTGCGAGATCGCCGGGTACAGCGTCGGCGGCGTCTGCGGCGTCCAGATGACCTGCCCCGGGTACGCCCACGCGCGCATCGCGGCCGGATCGGGCACGACGACGTACGTCACCGCCGTCGACGGCGGGATCGCGACCACGGTGGGCGCGGCGACGACGGGCGGCGGCGGCGGCGGCGGCGGCGGCGGCGCGACGTGCTGCTGCTGCTGCTGCCGCGGCGGCGGCGCCGGCGGGTAGTACGGCGCCGGCGTCGCGTTCGCGCGCTGCTGCCGCTCCCACGCCTGCCGCTCCATCGCGAGTTGCCTTCGCTGCGCGCTGAGCTCGGCGCGGTCGCGCTCGAGCGCGTCGCGTTCCTTGGACGGGGCGCACCCCATGACCGGACGGGACGGGACGGGACGGAGGGGACGGGGCGGACGGCGTCCCCGCGCGGCGGGGAGTGGGCGCGGCGGCGCGGACCGGAGGCGTTCGACGTGTTCGGTTCGTCCGACGATCGGCGTTCGGAGAGAGTCGGTCTTCTCGTCCCAGCGGGCGCGTTCTCGTTTTTCACCCATCCCTTGGTTTCAATATTTGATCGCGTTCCCTTTCAACTGACCGATGAAATGACGGAAGTCGTAAACCTCGTGAAGGTTCCGACATCGACACGTGTCCGTCGAGACGACGACGCGCGCGTCATCACTCGTCGTCGCGCCTCGTCGTCGTCCTCCTCCTCGACCGAACCGACCCGAACCGACCAGAACGGCACCGAACGGAACTACTGTACACCGAACCGAACCGCGCGAAATTCGATCGATGGGCAACGCGCCGTCGCTCGGCGGCGACCGCGGCGACCGATCCGCCGCGTGGCCGACGCGACGCACGTCCAACGCCGCGTTCCTCGCCATCCCCGACTCCAGCTCCGATGGCCCCGACGACGCGCTGAGGACGGCCACGTTCGGCGGCGGATGCTACTGGGGCGTCGAGAAGTGGTACGCGAAGGACTTCAACGAGACGCACCCGGGCGCGGTCGTCGCGACGAACGTCGGGTTCATGGCGCCCAAGGATGCGAAGGTGTGTTCTGTACACTGGTCCCCATACGACCGCGTCGGCGTGGTGAACGCCGATCCTTAAGGACTTTACTTCCCGGCGCATCTCTCCGCCCAGGGTCCCTCGCTTTCAATCACCGTCCTCGACGCCTTTCAACTCCGCTTCTGACGCCTTTGAACTCCACCCCGACGTTCGCTCGTGTCGAAGGCGAAACCAAATCCGTCGTACCGCGAGGTGTGCGGCGGACGCACGGGGCACGTCGAGGTGTGCCAGGTGAAGTTCGACGCGACCAAGTGCTCGTACGAGGATCTGAACGCGCACCTGTACACCTTTCACGACCCGACGACGACGAACCGGCAAGGGAACGACGCGGGGAGCCAGTACGCGAGCGTGATCTTCGTGCACGACGAGGGACAGAGGAAGGACGCGGAGAGAGTCAACGCGCGGACGCAACGCGCGCTAGACCGGGGGAAGATAAAGACGTTTCAGCGAGACAAGATAGTGACGAGGGTGGAGGACGCGACGGAGTATTACCCCGCGGAGTCGGGTCACCAGCGGTACTTGGAGAAGCACCCGAACGGGTACTGCAACCACCGGAGGCGGTTCCGCTGGAGCGACGTGCTCCCGGGCGGGGGCGGGAAGCTTTAGGCTGCTAATTAGATAAGTGTATTACCACGAGTACGCCGCTAATTCGTCGTCTGCTGCTAGTGTATTACTACGCCGCGCGGCCGGCGATTCGAGCTCGTCCTCCGAGTCGTCCCGTGCGTTCGCCGCGACCGACGCCTCGAGCGCGCGGCGCTTCTCGAGCGCGACGCGCCGCGCCCTGGACGCGTCCACGGCGCGCGCGAACGCCCAGACCGACCCGAAAATGTCGCTCGGCGGACGCGCCGGCGCCGGCGGCGCCGCGACGCCGCTCTCGCCGTCTCCCTCGCCGACGTAGAGACACAGCGCTCTGTACACCGCGTCCGCGCGAACCGCGTCGTCTCGCAGCGCGGCGACGCGCGGCGACGCGCGCGCGACGAACGCGCGCAGCGCTCCCGCGTACGCCAACTCGCCGCCGCCGCCGCCGTTTCCGCCGCCCCCCGCCGCCGCCGCCGCCGCCGCCGCCGCGTCCGCCTCTCGCGTCGCCATCGCGATCCCTCCCTCGATCCGCCCCAGCGCGTCCGCGATGTCGTCGAACGTGGGGCACGCGCCCCCGCGCTCGCACGCCGCGAGGTCGCGCGTCAGCGACGGCGCGAGCGCGGCGACGGCCTCGACGTCCGCCTCGCCTTCGCCGACGACGCGCTCGTCCGCCGCGGCGACGACGAAATCTAACAGCGTCTCGCTTCTTCCCCCTCCCGCTCGCGGCGTCTTCGCCTTGACGTCCGCGAGCTTGTGGAGCGAGTCCAAGGAAAAGCCGGTCGCGCCCCCGCGCGCGTTGCCCTCGTTCAGTGCGTTCCCGCACGCGAGCGCGGTGGCGAGGACGACGCGCAACGCGCCGTTCTTCGCCGCCGCGCTCCTCCTCACGCACTCGCACGCCGCCGCGACGTCGCGCAGTGCGAGCTCCACGTCCTCGACCGCGCGCTCGAAGTAGTACCGCGCGAAACACAGCGTCCGGAGCTTGGGTTTCAGACGCGGGACCGCGGCGAGCGTCTGAAGCGCGCGCTCCGCGGGCGTCATGGCGTGGAAGAACGCGGCGTCGTTGACGAATTCAGCGGCGGCGACGGCGGCAGACTCGTCCTCCGTCGGCGCCGCGCGAAGGAGCGCGCGGAGCTCGTCCAAGGACAGCGAGCGCTCCGGGTCGCCGATCGCGACCGCGGTCGCGGCGGCGGCGACGTCGACGCGGAGTTTGCGCGTCACCGCGACGACGATCGTCTCGCGCGCGAGCGACACGAACGAAGGCCGCGGGGGGGGGGACGCGGGCGGCGGGCGAGGCGCCGCCGCGGCTTCCGTCGCTCGCCTCGTCGTCGTCTTCGCGAGTCGAAGTAACGGCCGCGAGACAAGCCGTTTCGGAGACGCCGCGAACGCCTCCCGCAGCGCGTCCTCCTGGTGCGGCGGCAGCGACACGCCGCCGGCGCCGAACGCGCCGTCGACGTCGGTCCACCACGTCCCTCGCCTCGCCCTCTCGGGGGGCGTCACGTCCCAGCACACGCCTCGCAGTCCCGGTGGCGACGACGACGGTTCGCGTCCAAACGCAAGCGACGATTCGCATCCGAACGCGTCGTCGATCCCAATGCCCCCGACCCCGTCGCCGTCGCCGGGCTGGTCGCCGAGCTCGAGCGGCGCGTCGGCGTCGAGCTCGAGGCGCACGTCGACGTAAAAGTTTTCCGGAATTTTCCTCCGATGCGCGTCGGAGACGTCCAACTGCCTCAACGTCGCGCGGTGCTCGCCGGGCTCGACGAACCCGGTGTGAAACGCGAAGACCGCGACCGGCTCGCGCGCGTCCTTCGCGCGGACGCCGGTCCAGTGGCACAGCGACACCGCGACGTCGCCTCGGACGGCGACGCCGGCGTCGACGCCTTCGGAGTCGCCGCCGCCGCCGCCGCCGGAGACGTCTCGGAGCGTCAACTCGATCGCCCCGCCTCCCGCAGCGCGGCGCCTCGGCGCGACGCCGCCGACGCCGACGCCGCCGACGCCGATCAGCTCCCCGCGCGCGTGCACGAGCGCGTACAACCGGCATCCGCCTCGACCGTCGAGCGGCGGCGCCGCCGACGCGACGACGGCTCTGTTTTGAACGCGGGCGATTCCGGGGGACGAAAAACGTTCATCGGTCAGCTGATGAAAGGCGGCGCGATCAAATGTTGAAGAAACCGGACGGCGGTGGGTGAAAAACATGCGGAAACGCCCGCGCACCTGAGCGTCATCGCTTTCCCTCGACCCGCGCGCGCCGCCGGACCGAACGCGCCGCGCGAGGTCATCAACAGCCAGTGCGCGTATCGACGCTGCGCGCACGTGGACGTCGCGCTGCCGCTCGGCGGCGGTTGATACGCCGCGTGAGTAACGCTCGACGCGCGGCCGTTATTCCTGATATTCGCCGCCGACGCCGACGACGCCGCGCCGCCGCCGCCGCCGCCGCCGCCGCGCGTGAGGCCGTACCCTCCGTGCGACGGCGGCGCGTTCGTCGCCGCCGCCGCCATCGCTCGGTCTTCCGCGGAGAAGAACAACTCGCGCCCGCCGCCGGTTCGATCCCCGCCGCCTCCCGTCGGCGTCCCGGGCGCGCTCCCGCCGTCCGCCTCTCGCGGCGAAGAACGCGGAACGCCGCCGGCTCCGCCGCCGCCGCCGAGACTCGACCACGCCCACGCGCGCGACGGCGGCGGCGACGCGAGCGCGTCGAACGCGTCCACGACGTCGTCGTGCACGCCGGCGTAGCACAGATACGACGCGGCGACGAAACGCAGCATGCGCGCGGCGCCGCACCCGACGCCCCCTCTCGCGTGGAGACACACGAGATTTGATTTCGACTCCGACAGCCTGAGGGTCGTTCCATACGAGCGAACGTCGGGGTGGAGTTGAAAGGCGTCAGAAGCGGAGTTGAAAGGCGTCGAGGTGTGTCGGGATAGAAAGCGAGGGACCCTGGGCGGAGAGATGCGCCGGGCAAAGTCCTTATGGATCGGCGTTCACCACGCCGACGCGGACGTATGGGAACCAGTGTACAGAACGCACCACGCGTGCGTCTCCGCGCATATCTCCAACAGCGTCGCCATGGGGAGCACCTCCGCGCGCCGCGGCCACTCCCAGTCGCACTCGTGCTCGCGCACGGCGCCGTGCGCGTCGAACATGTGGTACAGCTCCGGGTGAAGGAGTTTCCGGTCGCTCACGTTGACGAGCATCACTCTGGCGTCGTCGGCGTCGTTCGCGTCGGCGTCGTTGGCATTCAGATTCCCGTCGTCGTCGTCGTCGCCGCCGCGCAGCTCCGCGATGACGTCCGCGGCGTCCTCGAGCGCGTTGACGTATCCGTCGTCGTCGTCGTCCAGGAACAGCGTCCGGGAGACGTCCAGGGCGTCCACCTCGGCGCGCTCGCGCGACGCGGCGTCCTCGGGATCGTCGTCGTCCGTCGCGTCCGCGTCCTCATCCTCGCGCCGGTCGCCCTCGTACTGAAACGCGAGTATTCGCTCGTGCAGGAACGTCGGCGACGAGAGGTACGTCTCGTGGCTCCCTCGCGGCGGCGCGCGCGCGTAGTCGCCCTCGAGCTCGCCGTCCCACGCGTCGTCGTCGCGCTCGCTCGCGGCCGCGGTCGCGTCGTCGTCGCTCTTCGCTTTCGCATTCGCACGAAAAACGACGTCCCCCATCGCGCGCTTCATCCGCGACCACGACGACGACGACGACGTCCCGGGAGCCGACGCGCGGACCGCTTCCCAGGTCCCCTGCTTCGGCGCGGGCGCGGGAGGGTCGTCCCCCGCGCTCGCGCTCGCGGGCGCGGACGCGGACGCCGCCGCCTTGCTCTCGCCCGCGCCCATCGCGCCGACGACGACGACGACGCGCGCGCGCTCGAGTGACGACGACGTCAGGTCTGGTATTCAAACAACTGAAGTTGCGACGCGCGATGAACTGCGCGTGATGCGGCGAGCTCGATGATTAATAAACGGGCTGCCCTACAACGCCGGCCGCCGCGGTCTACAGCCGCGACCGCGCGACGGGCGCGTCGTCCGCCTCCGGGCACCAAAACTCGCGCTCGACCTTCGCGACCCACGCCTCGATCCCGCCCACCCTCTCGCGCGTCTCCCCTCTCGCTTCCATCTTCGCCGCGACGGACGCGACGAGCTTTTTGCTCACGTCGCGAATGCTGTCAAAGTCGGGAAACAGCTTGCCCGTCGCGACGCACTCCGCGGTGCTCATCGACGCGAGCTCGTACGCGCAGTCCAAGAACGCGTCGTCGCTCACCTCTCGCGCGTTCGACAGCACCGCGGCGTGCCCGAGCGCGGGGAACACGTACGCGTTGTTCGCCTGCGCGGGATACAACGTCTCGCCGCCCGCGCGCCTCAGCGGCGGAAACGGCGACCCGGACGCGAAGACGACCTCGCCGTTCGTCCAGCTCACCGCCTGCTCGAACGTGCACTCCGCGAGCGGCGTCGGGTTCGACAGTGGCATGATCACCGGCCGCGGGTTCAGAGCCGCCATGCGCTTAACGACAGCCTCGTCGAACGCGCCCGCGATCGTGGAGACGCCGATCAAAGCCGTCGGTCTCAGGGTCGAGGGTCCACACGAGCGATGATATCGGGGTGGAGTTGAAAGGCGTCAGAAGTGGAGTTGAAAGGCGTCGAGGGCGGGGATCGAAAGCGAGGGACCCTGGGCGGAGAGAACCGCCGGGAAAAGTCCTTAAGGATCGGCGTTCACCACGCCGACGCGGTCGTACGGGGACCAGTGTGAGATAGAACGCACCTCAACGCGTCGACGGCGGCGAGGAGGTTCGGCTGATACGCGACGTCGTGCGCGAACGGAATCTTGTGCGGCTGGAGCGCGAACTTCTCTCCGCCGTAGCCCTCGAGCCGCGCCTTGCAGACGAGCCCTTTGCTGTCCATGAAGAGGCAGCGACGCATCGCGTCGCGCTTCGACAGGCCGGCTTTTTCCATCGCCATCGCGATGAGCTCCCCGATGCCGACGCCCGCTTCGCCGGCGCCGTAAAATAAGACGGTCTGATCCGTCAGCTGACCCCCCGTCGCCCGCAGACCGCTCAAGAGCGCCGCGAGCGCGACGCACGCGGTCCCCTGAATGTCGTCGTTAAAGCACGGCTGCACGCGCCGATACTTCTCGAGCACGCGAAACGCGTTCGCGTTGCCGAAATCTTCAAACTGGACCAAACACCGCGGCTGCCACGAACGCATCTCCGCCATGAACTCCTCGACCAAGTCGTCGTACGCCGCGCCTCGCAACCGCTTCCGCCGCAGACCGCGGTACTTCGGGTCGTCCAACAGCGCCTGGTTATCTGTGCCGACGTCTAAGCACACGGGGAGGCACGCCGCGGGCTCCACGCCGGCGCAGACGGTGTACAGGAGGATCTTTCCCTCGGCGATGCCCATGCCGCCGGCGCCGAGGTCGCCGAGGCCTGACGCGATCGATCGATAGGTTCGGTTCGGTTCGGTTCGGTCGGCGCGGGGGGTCGGCGTGCGCGCGTCAACGGACGATTCGATCGGTGGGTCAAGAATCAAAACGACGACGGAACGAACGAGCGCGCGACGTGCGGCGACGCGTGGCGCGGCGTGGCGTGGATCCGGGATCCGGGATCCGAGACTCACCTAAGATGCGCTCGCCGTCGGTGACGACGGCAACCTTCAGCTTCCCGTCGCCGTCCCCCGCGCCGACGTCCCTCGCGCGCGTCCTGAGCGCGTCGCCCACCTTGCCCGCGTCGTCCGCGGTGATGTACACGCCGTTCGTCCGTATGGGGAGTCTGTGATACGTCTGGCACGCTTCGCCGACCGTGGGGGTGTAGACGTAAGGAAGGAGCTCCATCGCGTGGTTCACGAGGACGCGATAGAAGGACGTCGCGTCGGACTCGCGCAGGTGTCGAAGGAACGTGTACTTGTCGATCGCCTTGGAGACGGCGCGGAACCCCTTGATCGCGGCTGCGGGCAGGTCGCGAGGGGACGGGAGGGAGGGAGGAAGGGAGGGAGGGAGGGAGGGAGGAAGGGAGGGCGGCGTCAGAGGAGACCGGCGGCCGATGACGACGACGACGACGACGACGACGACGACGACGACGACGACGACGACGACGACGACGACGACGACGACGACGACGACGACGACGACGACGACGACGACGACGCGCGGACGGCGACGACGCGGAGGACGACGGACCTATCGCGGCGGACATGACGCGCGGTGATCGATCTCCGATGGTCTCGCTCTTCCGCGCTGCGACGACTCCGAGAGCGAGACGCGCGTCCGGAGGCAGCGCGCGAGGTGATGCCCGCCCGCGCCGCGCTCATGTCCGGTGCCGCTCTCTTTCCGCGCTGGAGTTTCGCCTCGGTCAAGCGACCTTTGAAAAAACCGCGATGAATTCTCTAGTTTGATCGATACATCGATCAACGCTGAAAGCAAAAAGTTGTGATGGTACGAGCGCGATTTTCAAACTACTTCTCATACAAAACGTACTACGCCGTTTCCGACTCCCCGGTGGATCTCTCGCGAGACTAAAAGCGCACTGCCCTCAAAATTCAATCCATCGATCCGCTCAGCCAATCACGTGCCTTTCCGTCGTTTCGCGTGGCCGAGAGTTTGTGGGATTTCCCGACCCGAACGCCGCGCGCGCCTCGACGCCGGCCATACCCGCACGCGACGTCACACGCACGCGCACGTTAGACCTCGAACATGGCGTCCCTTACCATGTCCGCCATGGCGGTGAAGCCCACGGTCGCGACCCCGCTCGCGTCCAAGAAGTCCGCGTTCGCCGGCCGCGGCGTCGCCGCGGTCGCGCCGAAGACGGCCACCGGCGGCCGCGCTTCGCTCCAGGTGCGCGCGAGCTCGGCTCTCCTCCCGCGCCGCCCGCGACGCGACGCGTCGAGACGCGGCGTCCTCCGCGATCGCGTCGGCGGCCGGAACGGCGGCGTCGCGCGCGACGCGCGCGATCGCGCGTCCCCGCCGCGCGCGCGTTCCGGTTCCGTCGCGCGTCGCGCGAAATCAGTCATCTTGCGCGTAGGGTTCCATCGCGCGCTATCCGAACGCGCGCGAGAGGTGGCGGACGCGGTGCTCGCGCCGCCTCTCGCGCGCGCTCGCATCGCGCCGCGCGCGAACGCCGTCGTCTCCTCGACGCCGCGACGACGCCGCGCGCCCCGTTCGCGTCGCGCGACCGCCATCGCGCCTCGGACGCCGCGCGCGATCCGGCGTCGCGTCCGATCGCGGGGATGGAGGGGCGCGTTTATCCATCCACGAACGTCCGGAGAGGCGCATTCATTTTTTCGTCGCCGGCCTCGATCTGACCGTCCGCCCCGACCCGTCGTCCATCGTCGCGATTCATTCCATCGAACAACAGGTCCTCGCGGCGTCCCAGAAGGAGATGCGCGACCGCATCAGCTCCGTGAACTCCACGAAGAAGATCACCGAGGCGATGAAGCTCGTCGCCGCCGCCAAGGTGCGTTCTGGTTACACTGGTTCCCGTACGACCGCGTTTGCGTGGTGAACGCCGATCCTTAAGGACTTTTGCCGGCGCATCTCTCCGCCCATCCCTCGCTTTCAATCCCCGCCCGCGTTGCCTTTCAACTCCAACTGACGCCTTTCAACTCCACCCCACAGGTGCGCCGCGCGCAAGATGCCGTCATCAACGCGCGTCCGTTCTCCGAGTCGCTCGTGAAGGTGCTCTTCGCCATCAACACCCGCCTCGCGGGCGAGGACGTGGACGTGCCGCTGTGCGACGTCCGCCCGGTGAAGACTGTGCTGCTGCTCGTGTGCACCGGCGACCGCGGCCTGTGCGGCGGGTTCAACAACTTCATCATCAAGAAGGCGGAGGAGCGCGTCGCGGAGCTCAAGACGCAGGGCGTCGCGGCGAAGCTCGTGACCATCGGCAAGAAGGGCTCCGTGTACTTCAAGCGCCGCAAGGACCAGTACGACCTCGTGAAGACGTTCGACATGGGCCAGGCGCCGAAGACGGAGGAGGCGCAGGCGATCGCGGACGAGGTGTACTCTGAGTTTGTCGGCGAGGAGGTTGACAAAGTTGAGCTCGTGTACTCGCGCTTCGTGTCGTTGATCAACAGCGACCCGTCGATCCAGACGCTTCTGCCTCTGTCCAAGGAGGGTGAGATTTGCGACGTCAACGGCACGTGCGTGGACGCGCAGAACGATATCATCTTCTCGCTCACGACGGAGGATGGGAAGTTTGCCGTCAAGGGCGAGCCGGTTGAGACGGAAGTCGCGGGGTTCGAAGGCGTGATGCAGTTTGAGCAGGACCCGAACCAAATTCTCGACGCGCTTCTGCCGTTGTACATGAACTCGCAGATTCTTCGCGCGCTTCAGGAGTCGCTCGCGTCCGAGCTCGCGGCGCGCATGAACGCGATGTCGAACGCGTCCGACAACGCGAAGGACCTCTCCAAGCGTCTGACGCTCGAGTACAACCGCAAGAGGCAGGCGAAGATCACGGCGGAGATCATCGAGCTCGTCGCCGGCGCCTCCGCCGCGTAAGAAGCGATGAGCGCGGGGATATGATGAGTAAACGGAGGTACTACGTAGAGAGGAGAGGATTGACGACGATCGACGACGATGACGAGAGGAGGAGAGCGGACCGGCGTCGGTCGTTTGGAATAGTCGAGGAGGAGGAGGATGGTCTGGTAACGAGAAAGTTGAACCGGCGACCGCGGGGACTCGAGCGCGGGATCCCGTCGATCCCGCCGGTTTGTTAATAATTCATTGAACTTTGTTTCAAAACCATGCAGGAGTCCATCCGACCGTCGCCCATCCCTCCTATCGCGTCTTCTATCGTCTATCTAGCAGGCCGCCCGTGCCTGGTCCTACTCCTTCTTCGCCGCGCGCGCCCGCAGCGCGGCGATTCGCCCGCGAGCGAACGCCTCGATCCACCGGAACGGCCCGACGCCGCAGACGAAGACGCCGGCGACGACGCGCGCGTCCCACCCGCCGCCGGCTCCGCCCCTGTCATCGTCGCCCCACCAACTCCCGCCACCACGGCTCAGCATCGCCGCGCACGTCGCCAGCGCGACGTTCCCGAGCTCGCGCCCCGGAGAGAAAAAGTTCAGCGCCAGGGAGACGACCGCCGCGGGGAGGCAGACGCCGGCGAGGACGACGACCGCCGGCGCCGTGGTGATTACCATCAGCGCGACGTTCATACGCAGCATCCGCGACTGGGACGCGTACTTGCGCTTCACGAGCGTCTGAAGGAAAAACTCCATGACGTACGCGGCGTTCAGGCCGAGCCAGTACGTCCGGAAGACGACGTCGTCCGGGCGCAGAGGGTTAAACGATGGAGGCGTCGCGGCGTTCGACGTCGCCGCCGCCGCCGACACGGCGGCGGTGACGTTGAGCCCGTGCAAGAGGAAGTGCTTGTAGAAGACGTACTGATACTTCTTGACGCGATACAGCACCGACGTCAGCGCGCGCGGGTCCCTCCCCGCCCTCGTGTAGTTGTGCGAGAACCGGTTCACCGGGAACAGCGGACGCAGCAACCACGCGGACGTCACCAGGAGAAGCAACAGAAGCGCCGAGGGTGTTTGCCCACACGAGCGCATCGCCGTCGACGTCGTCGCGCGCAGGAAGAGCACCTGCGCGAGGTTTAACCCTTGATAGAACGCGTGCTCGAGCATCTCCTCGCGCGTCACCGTGTCGTCCTCGTCCAGCGCCCCCGACGCGACGTTCTTCACGCGCGCCGACGCGTGCGCGCGACCAAAGTCGCGCGCGGCGGTGACGGTAAGGATCACGCCGGCGACGCCGAGCGCGACGTCGTGCGCGACGCGCGCGTTCGGGCCCATCGGGAACGGCGATATCGTCGAGAAGACGCCAGCGGCGCCCCGCGGGCCCCACGCCCGCGTCGCGACGACCGTCGCGGCGACGTCGCACAGCCCAATCGCGAGGACGACGAGGTAGACGACGCCCGCGAGTCGATGCGATCGACCGTACCGCGGCGCGAACAGTCGCCGCGCGTTCGGTGCGACCAACGTGGCGACGAGCTCTGCGTGGTGCGCGAGCAAGAGCGCGACGGCGAGCGGCGTCGTCGCCGCGGCGAGCGAGGCGACGTCCATCGCGGCGGACGCCGCGCGCATCGCGTCGCGTCGCGTCGCGACGCGTCGGTCGCGCCGAGGGCTCTGGCGCGTCGGACGATGGCGGATATTTCGCTTCCCGCCACTTGTCGCGCGCGCGCGCGATCAGATCGACGCGCGACGCCAGCTCAGGAGAATCGCGCGTCCCGCGCTCCTCAGAGATCCCCCGCGCGCGCGCCCGAACGCGCGCCCGCCGCGTTCGCCATGGGTCGAAAGAAAGTCCCACCCTCCGCGCTCGCCAAGGCGCTCGCGAAGCTCCCGATCGACGACGCGAAGAAGCTCCTCGCGGTCGCCGCGAGGACGGCGAGAGCGCGATCGAGAACCATCGTCGCGCTCGGATCCTCGCACCTCGCGCGCGTCTCGAGATGGGTCGACGCGCAGGACGCGGTCACGCTCGCACTTTGCGCGCTCGCGTGCGTCTTCACGTACCTCGCCGCGTCGTACGTCTCCGCGGCGCTCGTGCCGAAGGTGGACGTCGCGCTCACCGACGAGGAGCGCAGAGGCGGGTACGACGCCCCCGGCGGTAAATCGCAAAAATGGAAGCGCGGCGCGCCCTTCCCGAAGGATCGCATCCCGTGCTACGACCCGGGGACGATGGAGATGCTCGGGCCGGACATGCCCGCGATGAGCGCGGCGGACGTCAAGGCGGCGATCGCGAAAGCGCGAATCGCGCAGAAGCAGTGGGCGACGTCCTCGTTCGCGAAGCGCCGATCGCTGCTCCGCGTGATCCAGCGATTCGTGCTCGAAAACCAAGACGAAATCTGCGAAGTCTCAGGCGCGTTCTATACACTGGTTCCCATACGACCGCGTTCGCGTGGTGAACGCCGATCCTTAAGGACTTTCGCCGGCGCATCTCTCCGCCCAGGGTCCCTCGCTTTCAATCCCGACACACCTCGACGCCTTTCAACTCCGCTTCTGACGCCTTTGAACTCCACCCCGACAATCGCTTGTATGGAACGACCCTCAGCGCGAGACAGCGGGAAGCCGCTCGTCGACGCCGCGTTCGGCGAGATCCTGACCACGATGGAGAAGATCAAGTGGCTCTTGAAAGAGGGCGAGCGGTGGCTCAGACCGGAGAAGCGCGGCGCGGGCTTGATGATGTTCTACAAGTCCGCGCGCGTGGAGTACCGCCCCGTCGGCGTCATGGGCGCCATCGTCCCGTGGAATTACCCGTTCCACAACGTCTTTAACCCGCTCCTCGCGAACGTTTTCGCGGGCAACGCGCTCGTGGTCAAAGTCTCCGAGCACGCGTCGTGGAGCAGCAAGTACTACGGCAGGGCGATCAAGGCGTGCCTCGCCGCGGTCGGCGCGCCGACAGACCTCGTTCAGATCGTTCACGGCTACGCCGAAGCCGGCGGCGCCGTCGTCACCGGCGGCTGCGACAAGGTCGTCTTCGTCGGAAGCACCGGCGTCGGTCGAGCGGTGATGCGCGCGGCCGCGGAGACGCTCACCCCCGTGGTGCTCGAGCTTGGGGGTAAAGACCCGTTCATCGTGCTCCAAGACGCGGACTTGAGCCAGTGCGTCCCGATGGCGTTGCGCGGCGCGTTTCAATCGTGCGGCCAAAACTGCGCCGGCGCGGAGCGTTTCTACGTCCACGCGAAGAAGTACGACGAGTTCGTTAAGCGCGTCGTCGCCGCGGCGTCCAAGTGCCGCCAAGGCTGGGCCCTCGCCCCCAACGTCGACTGCGGCGCGATGTGCATGCCCAACCAGGCGGCGTACGTCCAGTCCCTCGTCGACGACGCCGTCGCGAAGGGCGCGACGGCGGCGGTTGGCGGCGCGATGGACGCCGACGCCGCCGGGCAGGCGCGTCCTATCTCACACTGGTCCCCATACGACCGCGTCGGCGTGGTGAACGCCGATCCTTAAGGACTTTTCCCGGCGCATCTCTCCGCCCAGGGTCCCTCGCTCACGATCCCGACACACCTCGACGCCTTTCAACTCCGCTTCTGACGCCTTTGAACTCCACCTCGATATCATCGCTCGTACGGACCCTCGACCCTCAGTTCTACCCGCCCACGGTCCTCGTCGGCGTGACGCACGAGATGCGGATCATGAGGGAGGAGGTCTTCGGCCCCGTGCTCGCGATCGTGAAGATTCACAGCGACGACGAGGCCGTGGCGCTCGCGAACGACTGCGATTTCGGGCTCGGGTCCAACGTGTTCGGATCGAGGAAGCGGGCGCTTCGCGTGGGCGCGAAATTAAACGCGGGGATGACGACCGTGAACGACTTCTGCGCGACGTACATGGCGCAGTCGCTGCCGTTCGGCGGCGTGAAGGAGTCCGGGTTCGACCGCTTCGGCGGCGTGGAGGGGCTTCGCGGGTGCTGCCACGTGAAGTCCGTCGTCGTCGACGGCGTTCCCGGGATCCGCACGGACATCCCGCGGCCGCTTCAGGCGCGTTCTATACACTGGTTCCCATACGACCCCGTCGGCGTGGTGCACGCCGATCCTTAAGGACTTTGCCCGGCCTTTCTCTCCGCCCACCCCTCGCTTTCAATCCCCGCCCTCGACGCCTTTCAACTCCAACTGACGCCTATGAACTCCACCCCGACGTTCGCTTGTATGGAATGGCCCTGCAGTATCCCACCAAGCCGTACGCGTTCGCGTTCTGCAAGAGCCTGTGTCACATGTTCTTCGGTCTCGGCGCGTTCGAGAACGTGATGGGGCTCGCGATGCTGATCAAGACGTTCGTCCTGCCGTCCAAGCCCAAGGTGTATTAAGCCGAGGGGCGAACGATCGACGAGAGGGACGACGAGGGACCCCGACTGTTTGTACATAAAATAAATTCATCGTCACTTCACGACCAGCAGATACCAGACCTGACTCAAGCAAACTTGAACGCGACGCGACGTCTCGTCGCCGCGCTTTTGCGTGCGCACTCCTCGTCGCGCGATGGCGGGGCGGCACGGCCGCCGAGGGCGGCGGCTCGCGATCTACGGCGCGGTCGTCCTCGCCGGCGTCGTCGCGTACGTCTTCGTCGCGTCGCTCGCGCTGAGCGGCGGCGGCGGCGGAGGGGTCGGCGCGGGGAGGGACGGGGGCGTCGTCGACGACGGAGGCGATTTCATCTCGCGCGCCAACTTCGTGCGACCGACGGCGAAGCGATCGGCGCCCTCGCGCTCGCCTTCTCCGCCGCCGCCGACGCCGTCGTCGCCTTCCGCGCCGCCGACGCCGTCCACGCCGGCGCGCGACGCGAAGCTCGAGACGGACGACGACGACGACGACGACGACGACGCGCGCGCGAACGAGTCGGGAGGAGACGCGCGATCGGACGCGTCAAACGCGAACGCGAACGAAGACCGCGTCGGCGTCCCGGGCGACGCGGCGCGCGTTGAGGACTTCGCGGGAAGGGCGTTCCCGATCGCGAAGACGTCGTCCGCGCGCGTCGCCGTCGAGAAGGACGCGGTGGACGCGGACGAGGCGACGGAGAAGAAGGCGACGGCGGTGCACGAGGAGGAGGAGGAGGAGGAGGAGGAAGAAGAGGAAGAGGCGCCGGCGGCGCGCGACACCGCGGAGCCGGAGACGGAGACGGAGACGGAGACGAGCGCGGAGGACGAGGACGAGGCCGAAGAAGAGGAGGAAGAGGACGAGTGCCACGCGCTGGAGCACGCGGACTACTGGGGCGGCGAGGTCCTGCTCCCGACCGCGACCGCCGCGAAGTCGTCGTCGACGTCGACGTCGTCGGCCGTCGCCGCCGATTCCGATTCCGCGTCGGCGTGCTGCGACGCGTGTAAGCGCCACGAAGCGTGCAACGCGTGGACGTGGTCGCCGCCGCCGCGACGCGCGTGCACGCTGAAGAGACTCGACACGCCGTACCAGCCGCTGAACGTGAACGCGAAGTTGAAGACGACGAGCGGCGCGCTGTATCCGCCGACGCCGCGGTTCGTCCGATCGAACGCGACGAAACGCGTCGCGAAACGAGCCGCGGGCACCAATCCGAACGCGCCGCGTGGCGGCGGCGAGCCGGAGCCGGAGCCGGAGCCGGAGCCGGAGACGTGCATCCACACGATGATCACGAGCAACGGCCAGCCGTACATGAACTGGCAGACGCGCGTGTTCTACCGAACCTGGCTCGCGTCGTCGAAGGAAAAAGGATCGCCGTTGAAACACTTCACGCGCGTGCTCCACCGCACGCGCGACGACGAGCTCATGTTAGAAATTCCGACGGTTCGCATCGACCCGACGCACGCGGAGTGCGACAACGGGTGCGACTACGCGGTCAAGGACCGTGCGCGGGCGATCGCGGAGTGGGCGGAGACGAAGGACGCGTGGCGATGCAGTCACGTGTTGATGGCGGAGGCGGATTACGTGATGCTCAAGTCGCCGCCGCGTTCGGTGATGTTACAGCGCGGGCACGCGTACGGGTTCTTGTTCGGGTACATCATCCCGTGGCACGCGGACGCGCTGCCGGCGTCGAGGGTGTTACATGACGTCGAGCGTTACGGGCGTTACGAGGACGTGCCGCAGTCGGGGAACGCGCCGCAGGTGATGCACGGGGACGATCTGCGAAAGGTCGCCGAGGTGAGGAGACTCCCGAGACTCCTTTCCATACGCTCCCATTCGCGCATCGCACGCCGTTCGTCACTAAAGGAGTTCGTTCTCATCTTATCTTTCCTTTCCTTTCCTTCTCTCGCAGATCTGGGCGGACCTCGTCGAGCGCGGCGAGGAGGACGAGACCGTCAAGCGCGTGTTCGGGTGGATTCGCGACATGTACGCGTTTGATTTCGCCGCGACGCGAATCTCGCCGATGCCCTTGACGATACACTACCCGCCCGTGCCGTTCAACAAGCTGATGGCGCAGCCCCCCGCGGACGCGACCGCCGGTCAGGCGTGCATGCTCCACTACACGTGGTCGCCCATCATGAGCGACAAGGACGGGAACGAGGTGTGGAAGTTCGACAAGCGGTCGATGCCTTTACCGCTGACGCCGCGGCCGACGCCGCCGGCGTGGGATCCGAGCCGAGGGTTCAAGCTTCAGGCGGGGGAGATAGTCACGGAGGAAGGGCTTGCGCTGATGCGCGCGATGGTGACGCGCTTCAACGAGGCGGTGCGGTCGATGCCGAAGTTTCCGGAGGGGACGACGGACGCCGCGGGGGTGGCGCGCGCGCGCAGGAACGCCAAGCCGGAGCACGAGCCGTTCTTGTAACCTTTTATTTTAGTGCGCGTCGAAATAGATAATAGACGCTCAATGTTCATTCATCGGTCAGTTGAAAGGGAATGCGATCAAATGTTGAAACCGAGGGACGGGTGAAAAACGTTTGTGAACGCATCTCATCACATCAAGGTACGCCGTTTCGGAAAATTCCCCGCGAGACTCCGTCGACGAATTCACCGCGTCGCCGCCGGCCGCCGGCGATCGCGCCACTGCGACGCGCGCTCACTCGCCGCCGCCCGCCACGTCTTCGGACGATCCCGCGCATCTACTTCATGAGTAGAAAAATGGTCGCTTTTGCCCTCTCCTCCGCGCGCGCTCTCGTTAAACCCGCCACGACGGTCTCCTCGCGCACCGCGCGCGGTGTGGTCGCTCGCGCGAACTTCGCCGTCGCGCGCGCGGCGCCGTGCATCGCGCGCGACGCGCTCCGCGCGCGCGGGTTCGCCGCCATCGCCGCGCCGTCCCACTCGATGCGCGCTCGCCCTCGATTCTTCTCCGCGCAAGCGTCCGAGGAGGACGAGGCCGCGACGGCGGAGGAGGACGCGGACGACGCGGACGGCGGCGTCGACGCCGCCGCGCCGCCCGCGGCCGGGCCCGTGAAGCTCTACGTCGGTAACCTGTCGTGGGGCGTGGACGACTCGATGCTCACGGACGTCTTCGCGGAGTACGACGCTTCCGGGATCGCGGTCATATCGGACATGAACACCGGCCGCAGCCGCGGCTTCGGGTTCGTGGAGGTGCCGTCCCAGGAGATCGCGGAGAAGGCCATCGCGGAGCTCGACGGCGCGGTGCGTGGCGGCGGTCGATCCGCCCCCGAGATCTTTTTCGCGTCCCTCGTCGCGGATCGAACCCCCGCCCTCCCAGTCGGCGCGATCGTCGATCGCGTCGCGCGCGCGGGGTCCTCGTCGCGTCCCCCGCCGCGCGATCCGATCGTTCATCGCGCGCGATCGCGCTGGGGAGGCGCGCCGCCTCGCGCCCTCGACCTCGTTCGTCGCTGACCCGATCGCCGATTCTCCCCTCCGATTCGTTCATTCTCTCACAGGACGTCGACGGCCGCCCCATTCGCGTGAACATCTCCGAAGCGCGCAGCTCGCGCCGCGAGTACGACGGCGAGCGCGGCGAGCGCGCCCCGCGCGAGCGCAACTACGACTTCGACGCGAGGAAGGTGTACTTCGGTAACCTCTCCTGGGGCATGGACCACCTCGACCTCCAAGACCTCTGCGGCGAGTACGGCGAAGTCGCGGATTCGCGACTAATCACCGACCGCGAGACGGGACGCTCGCGCGGGTTCGGGTTCGTCACGATGTCCAGCGCGGAGCAAGCGGAGAAGGTGGTGAACGGCCTCAACGGGCAGGACGTCGACGGGCGCGTGCTTCGCGTCAACATCGCGAACGTGGACGGCCGCTAAACGATCGGTGATCGGTCGATCGGTCGATCGATAGACCGATCGATTCGATTCGAGGCGAGGCGAGGCGAGGAAAAAAAAAGCGAGGAGGAGGGTTCACGCGGAGACGACTCCCTCAGGAGTTTTATATAGGAGGATTTTTTTAGTTCACTATAGCTCACCGAGCGAAGCAGGAAGCGAGTGTTGTTGGGATGTTGTATATGATGCATTTTAATACTTACGGGCAAAGTAACAGAGCGGGCGCCGGGGCGAATTCGGTCATCGCTCGTACTCAACGTAGTCGTCGCGTTAAAAGAAAAGAAGAGAATCAAAACCACCCGTCACCCGTCTCCCCGCGTTCGTCGCGTCTCTCTGCTGCTAATTCTAACCTTTACAAACCCTCCCTCAACAGTTCAGCGCGGACTCCACCGCGTCCACGGCGGGACCGAACCCCGCCCCCGCCCTCGCCTTCGCCGCCTCGTACCCGCGCGGCTGCACCCCCGCGGCGGCGGCTTGCACCGCCGCCGCCGCCGCCGCCTGAATCGCCTCCCCGCGCATCATCGCCTCCACCTCCGCGGGGGATCCGCCGCCGCCAGCCCCGAACAGACTCGCGGTGAGCCCAGACAGCCCGGACAGCCCGCTCATCGGGGTGGGTCCCAGGGAGCCGTCCTCGGAGACGCCGGATTCGCGCCGACCGAGACCCCGGCGAGCGTTCGTCGCGCCGTTTTCGCCGCCGTCGCCGTTGGTCTTGGTCCCCGCCGCGCCGCTGTACCACGCGTAGAGCGCCTGCAACGGGCCGACGAACGCCGGGGACGTCCACGACGCGAGTCCGGAGTTGTTCGCGAGCTGCGGCGTGTTCGCGGAGGCGCCAACCCCGCCGGGCGCGGGCGCCACCCCCGCGGTGGCGACGGATAACTGCTGGAGCCACTCGGGGGATTTGAGAAGCGCCGCCGCCGCCGCCGCCGCGCCGTTCGCGTTGAAGCCGCCGACGACGCCGCCGTTGCCGCCGAGCATCGGGGGCGAGAACAGCGTGCTGCGGTCCTCGAACTTAACGCTCGCGCCCTTGCCGTTACCCTTCTTTCCGTTACCGCCATTATTCGCGGGCGCGGCGCCCGCGCGGCCGAAGAAGTTCGACAGCCGAGTCGACGCTTGCTTGGCGCCGAACGCGTTGTTACCCGCGTTGAAAAACGACGCGCCGCCGTCGGCGGGCGGACCCATCATCCTCGGCGGCGCCGCCGCCGCCGCCGCCGCCGCCGCCGCCTGCTGCTGCGCGCCGACGCCGTACCCGGACGCCTTCTCCGCGGGAAGCGCGCCGTCCGCGCCGAGCGCGAGGCGCTCCGTCACCGCGCCCGCGCCGAGCCATCGAAGCTCGCCGCGCCCCTTACCTCCACCCTCGGGCTCGACGAAATCCAACACGCCGACGCGAATGAGGATGCTCGCGACGTCGTGCAGCCTCCGCGCCGCGCCCGCGAGCGCGCCGGTGCCGTTCGCGCCCGGCGCGTCCGCGGCGGGGACGCCGCCGAGCCGCATCGCCGCCGCGCACGCGTCGAACGCGACCGAGCCCCTCGTCGTCGCCGCGTCGTCGTCGCACCCGCCGGTGTGAAATCCGACGTGTTGCATCAGCCGCACCGCGAGAGACTTGAGCGAGCTCGCGTCGCCGCCCGCCGCGTCCGGGTTCTTGCCCTCCCTCTCCGCGGCGGCGACGACCGCGGGCGCGTCGTCGAGGAGCGCGCGCAGCGCGTTCTCGACGCGCGTCGCGCCGTGCCACTTGCACGCGCCCTTGGAGATGCGTTCGGTGACGCCGATGGCTTCGAGGACGTTCATCACGTCGTACAGGCGTCTTCGCTTCACGCCGAGGCGCTCCGCGAGCGCGTCGACGGGGACGTTCCCGGCCCACTGCGCGGTGCTTCCGCCGCCGCGGGTCGGGGGGTTGCCCGACGCGTTCGCGTTCGCGTTGCGCTCGTCAAACTCGGCGACGATGCGATCGGTGATGGACGCGAGCGAGTGGTCTTTCCGGACGTACGCCGGCCCCGTCTCCGTCTTGGCGGCGGCGGGCGCGTTTCCACCATCGATGGGCATGATAGAAACGGTCATCGCGTTGGCGTTGTTAACCGCGCGCAGCGCCACGGATTGATGCTTGTTCGGGGACATCCACGGCGCCTCGGTCTCGTTCGCCGCGCTTCGCTTCGCCTTTTTCGATTTTTTCCCCCCCGCGCCGACGCCGACGTCCGAGCCGCGGCGCCCGGCTCCCGCGTTTTCGTCGTCCGAGTCGTACCCCCCGCCTCCTCCCGCGCCGCTCCTCGCGCCGAGCGGCGAAAACAGCAACCGCGTCGGCGCGAGCCCGTTCGGCGACGGCAGCGCGCCGCGTCCTCCACCGAACGCGGCGCCGAACCCGTCGTCGTGACCGCCCTGAGGCCCCTGATGCATCCCCGCCGCCGACGACGTCGCCGCCGCGCCGGCGACGTCGGCGAGCCCCCCGCCGACGGTGTGCGCGAGCGACAGGCCGCTCAGGCTCGAGTGTGTTCCGGTAGTAGCGTTACCGAGGTTAGTAGCGCCGCCCGTGCGGACGGTCATCGCGGGCGGGGGCATCGCCGCGGCGTCGGCGGCGGCGGTGGACGGCCGCGCCGCGGATCGAAGCCCCGCGGCGATATCGCCGCGCGCGCCAATCACCGTGTTGGGCCCCCCGGTGAGCTCCGCGGTCGCGCCGAACGGCGTCGGCGCGGTCGCGCCGCCCTCGCCGAGCCCGCCGTCGCCGACGTTCGCCTGCATCGTGAGCGCAGCTTGGACGACCGCGGCTTGCATCGCGGCGGCGCCGTCGCGCGTGCCCGAGCCGAGCACGGAGAGGAGCCAGCTGTGCGGCGACAGCGCGGCGCCGTTTTTGGCGGTGCCGGGCTTGGACGCCGTCGCGGGCGCCGCCTTGGGTTCCGGCGACGTCGCCACCATCGCGTCATCAGCCTCCGCGTCGTCAGCCTCTGCTGCCTCTTCGTCTTTCGCGGCGGAATCCGTTGCGGTCTGCGCGTCGACGGCCGCGCCGATCGCGGCGGCGGCGGCGGCGGCGGCCACCGCGCGCGCGCGCCGCCGACCGTCCTCCGCCGCCGCCGCCGCGACGACGCTCTTGGTCCTCCCCTTCGCCCTCGCCTTCCCGCCGTTTTTCGCGACGGACATCGGCGACTGCTTGAACGCGGACCCGAGGCTGCCGAGGCTGCCGAGGCTTCCGAGCGAGCACGCCCCGCCCGCGGAGTTGAGCACGTTCGCCATGTGCGCCGGGGTGAACCGGGGACCCGCGCCCCCAGTCGTCGGCGGCGCGACCAACGCGTCGACGCCGCCGACGCCGCCGCCGACGCCGATCCCCGCGCCGATCCCCGCGCCGAGCTTCTCGGAGGGCGTGCACACGGGCGGGAGCTCCGTGGAGTTCGCCGCGGCGGCGGCGGCCGCCGCGCGCACGACCGCGTCCAGATGAGCGGGGAGGTCGCCGTGGTTGAATCCTCCCGCGCCGCCGGGGTGATGCGGCGTGGTGAAGACGTCGGCGAAGCCGCGCGCGAGTCCCTCCGGGGAGCCGTCGAGGTTCGCCGGTCCGACGGCGGCGGACGTGGGCGCGAAGCCGTCGAGGCCGGAGAGGTCCATGCCGTGGCCGAACGCGTGCTGATGATGATCAAAAACGCTCGCCATGGAGGCGTTACCGGGCCCGCCGTACGTCGCCGCGTGCGCGGCGGCGGCGGCGGCGGCGGCCGCCGCCGCCTTGGAGGCGCGGCGCTGCTCCGCGGCGCCGTGGTGGCCGTGGTTCGCGCGCTTCGGCGAGCGGCTGCCGCCGCCCATGCCGCCGCCGCCGAGGGCTTTCCGCTTCCCCGCGGTCGACGGGTGCCCGGCGGCGGTGGACGCGCGTCGGTCGGTCGCGTCCGTCGACGGCGGGAGCGGGTTCTCGTCGCGGTCGAACGCGACGGGCTTGGACCAGCCTCGCCACTCGTCGCGAAGCGCGCATCGGATGCGGAGGCACGCGGCGCCCTTCGGGACGTCATTGTTGGCGAGGACGCGGATGGGGCCGGAGACGCCGCTGCCGAGGAACTCGACGCCGTCCTCGGCGAAGATGCCGAACAGAAGCCTGCGGCGAGCGAGGAGGGAAGGGGCGACAGGGCGTCCGGTCCGTCAGAAAACGCAGAAGACTCAGAAGACGGTCCGAACGACCACCCTGACGCGCGCGCGCGGAAGAAAAAAAAAGAGGACCGTTGGATGGGGTCCGCGCGCGATCGCGCGCCCCCCCGCGCCGCGCGTCGTCCCAAACGCGACGCGAGCGAGCGAAGCGCGAGAAAACCGCGCCGTCGAGCGCGCGCGCGCACCTGAACACCTTGCACTTGTTCGGTCCGAACGCGCAGACGTGGTTGGACGCCTCGTCGATGGAGACGAACAAGTTCCTCGCGTCCTTCCACTTGTCCTCGCCGCCCGGAGCCGCCGCGCCGGGCGCCGCGCCGCGCTTCTTGTCCGCGTCCGCGGCGGCGGCGCCCTTCTGCGTCCGGCCTTGCTTCCCGAACCGCTGAATCGCGCTCAGGATGGGCCCGGTGCACTCCTTCGCGCATCGTCCTCTCGTCACGGGCAACCACGCGTACCCTTCTCGATCGACAACCTTGCCGTTGCTCGCGTTGAATCCCATCGTCCCGGACTTCGCGCTCGTCGACCTCCCGCCGGTCTTCCCGAGCGGCTCCGCGTAGACGAGGTATATCAGCGCGCGAACGCTCGCGCCGTTGTACAGCTTGAGTTCGTACTCCAGCGCGCTGTCGCGCATGTCTTTGGGGACGTCGATGCTGAAGCCGCGCTCGGTGGCCTCGTAGATGTTCAGGACCTCGTCGTCGTCGTCGCCCTCGTCGTCGTTTCGCGCGGACCCCGCGGTCGCGCGATCGAACGTGAGCTCGACCTGGTTGTACGACCGCTTTTTCTTCCCGAGCTTGTACGCGCTGCGTCGATGAAAGAGTCGCGGAGGTCAGAGCGGGGAGCGCGGGGGAGGAGAGGCGCGCGACGCGACGCGGGGACGGTCGGGGACGGCGGAGGTGGCGCGCGCGGGATTTCGTCCCGAGTTTTTCCCCGCGAGCCGAGCGAGATTCGCGCGCGGGGCGCGACGCACCGGACTTCGTGCGTCTCTCGGTTCGGCTCGACGCGCTCGATGAACCCGTTCGGGTGCGACGTGATCACCGGGCACGGGATGAGCGTCGACGGGTCCTCCTCGATCGCGCCCGCGCAGACGCGGCCGGCGCCGCGCGCGGGCGCGGGCGCGGAATTCCCGTTGGCTTTCGCGGGTGCGCCCATCGCGCTCGGACGGAACCGAGACCCGCGCGCGCGCGCGACGGTCGTGAGGTGCTCGCGAACGACGAGCGCGCTGACGAACGCGAATGTATCGACGTTCCTGAGAGGGTTACGCGCGGTGTGATGCCGTGCGTGCCGCTCGCGCGTCGACGAATGCGCGTCCCCGGCGTCGCGCGAAAACAAAAATAGCTGTTGCGACAGCCCGTCGTATGCGCGTGTCGGTCGGTGGACTTGAACGGACACTTCATAGACATTTCACCCTAAACCCCGAGCGCGGTCGATTTAACCCTTCGTTTTCGAGTCAACGGCCATCGGTACCCCATAACCTGCTTTTATTTTCCCGATCGGACGACCGAACCCCGAACCCCAAACGGCACGAGCCTCGGCGTTGATCGCGCGAGCGTCGGTCCAGCCGGGTTTCGGAAAAGAAGCGAGAGAAGACGCGCACATGATGAATGAGTTGGAATCGAACCGCCTACGCTTCGACTACCCCCGGGGCGACGACGCCCGGAAATCGCGCGCTCCCATCCCCCCCCGCACCCGTCAACGGCGCCGCGATGCGCGCGGTCTTCGCGCTCTTCACGTGCCCCGTCGCGCGATCGTCGCGCTCCCCGAGAGGCCACCGCGGAAACGTCGGCACGTCTCTTCGATTCGCGCTGCTCGGCGAAGCCGCCACCTGCGCCTCCGTGCACGGCGCCTCCGACAACCCCAACGCGAGCCTCTCCACCCCGGCCCACGCGACCATCACGCCGTTGTCCACGCACCACCTCGGCGGCGGCGTCACGAGCGGAAGGGCGCACCGCGAGGCCACCTCGGAGAGGCGCTCGCGGACGACGGCGTTGGACGCGACGCCGCCGGCGACGACGACGCAGCTCAGCGTCTCGCCGTCGTCCAGGAGGTCGTTCGCCCACTCGACCGCGCGCGACGTGCGCTCGGTGAGGTGTGTCACGGCGACGCGCTGGAAGGACGCCGCGATGTTCGCGCGCGTTCGCCGCGTCGCGGCGTCCTCCTCCTCGGGAGAAGGGAGACGCCTCCGCGTCGTCGTCGTCGTCGCGGAAGAATTTGAATCCTCATCTGAATCAACCTCCTCCTCGTCCTCCTCCTCTTCCGAATCGCCGCCGCGCGAGTACACTTTCGTGAACGCGCCGTCGTCCGCGCCGACGCCGCCGACCCCGAGGTCCCTCTCGATCGCCAACCGCACCGCGGTCTTCAGACCCGCGTACGAAAAGTCGCAATCCTTCCGTCGCCGCAGCGGCACGGGAAACTTGTACGACGCGTCGTCGCCCTCGCGCGCGAGCGCCTCGAGCGCGGGGCCGCCGCCGCCGCCGACGTTTAACCCCAACAGTCGCGCGGTCTTATCGTACGCCTCCCCGAGCGCGTCGTCGAGCGTGCTGCCGAGGATGACGTAGTTCCCGATCCCGCGCGCGAGGATCAGCTGATGAGGCGCGTTCCATCGTTCGAAGCGATGATATCGGGGCGGGGTTTAAAGGCGTCAGGGGTGGAGTTGAATGGCGTCGCCCAGGTGTGTCGGGGATTGAAAGCGAGGGACCCTGGGCGGAGAGATGCGCCGGGAACAAAAGTCCTTAAGAAACGGCGTCTCACCGCGCGAACGCGGTCGTATGGGGACCAGTGTGGACAATATAGAACGCGCCTGATTGTGCCCGCCGCTGACGAGCAGCGCGAGGAACGGAAACCGGCATCGCGTCGTCCCCGCCGCGAGCCGCGCGACGAGCGCGTGCGCTTCCATGTGATGCACCGGCACGATCGGAAGCGCGTGCTTCGCGCTCAGCTCCTGCGCGGCGACGACGCCGACGCGAAGGCACATCGTGAGCCCGGGCCCCACGGTCACGGCCACCGCGGAGAGGCGCGACGGATCGTCGATTCCCGCGCGACGCAGCGCCTCCGCGACGACCGCGTCGATCGCGCGCTCGTGCGCGTCCCGCGCGAGGTTCGGGACGACGCCGCCCCACCGCTCGTGGATCTCCACCTGCGACGCGAGCGCCTCGCCGAGGACGCGGCCGTCGCCGGTGACGACCGCGGCGCCGGTGTCGTCGCACGACGTCTCGATGCCGAGTACGAGGGTGTCGGCGTCGACGCGAGGAGGCGCGGACGACGGCGACGGCGGCGCGGAGCCGACGCCGAGGCCGAGGCGTTGGCGTTGGCGCGCGTCGCGGTCGCCGCCGCCGGTGGAGGAGGAGGAGGAGGAGGAGGAGGAGGACGCGGCGAACCCGCGGCGCGGGGACGGACCGCGACGACATCCTTGCCGCCGACGCGCTTCCGGCGGCGAAGCCCTCATCGCGTTTGACGCGGACGTGGACGCGCGGGCGCACGTCGCGAGTCGCGCGGCGAGCGGGGGCGGCGGCGGCGGCGGCGGCGGCGCGCGCGACGCTGCGGCTACGGCGCGCATGGCGACGCGGGAGCACCGGCGTCGAATGTTGACGACGGTGGCGCGGCGCGCGCGTCGCGATGACGCCCCGCGCGACGACGACGACGATCCGACGCAGATGCAGTGCTCGGGCGCGTTTGGTTTTTTTTCTCTGGTGCAGTGGGCCGTCTGGTCGGCGATTAACCTTATTCTGTTCTCAATCGCCAGCCCACCGAACGCCGCTAAGCTATACCCCCCCTTCCTTTTCCTTCTCCTTCTCCTTCTCCCCGCGTCGAATCGCCGCGAGAATCTCCAGCGGGCGCGCGCCGCTCGCGGTCGCCGCGCTCCTCACCGCGCGACTCAGTCCCCGGCACGCGCTCACGTCGATCGCTCGCAGCGTCCCGCCGACCGGTCTGTTGGGGGGGCCGCCCTCCAACAGTCGCCGCACGCCCGCGTCGGTGACGTCCGCGCCGGCGAGGCCCAGCTCCCTGAGTGTGTCGAACTTCTGCAGGTTTCTGAGGCCGTCGTCGGTGACGCGTTTCGCGTGCGAGAGCGGCGATCCGAGCTCCAGGGTCTCCAACGTGGAGGACAAACGACGAAAGACGGGGAATTTTTTGTTGGTGTCAGCGAACCGTGACACGCGTTCCACGCACAGGACGTTTTCTATCGCCTCGTCCGACGCGAGCTTCGTTCGCGCGGCGCGCAGCGATCGCAGCGGCGGCCACCATCGATAAAGCGCGCGCTCGAACCCGTGCAACGACGCGTTCCAGCACCCGGTCACGTCCAGGTCTTCGAGCGCCTCCGCGTGCCACAAAAGACGAAGCAGCACGCCGTCCGAGACGGAAGAAACGCCCCACGCGTAGCCGTTACCCGCGCGCGTCGCGCCGACGCCGATCGCGAGTGCTCGGAGCCGCCGCCACCCGGGCAGCGCGTCCTCTTCGTCCGGTCCGTCCCCGCCGCGCTCGACGAACGCGAACGGGTCGTTCGCCGCGCCCATCGCGGGCCACGGCGTCCACCCGGTGGTCGGCCCGAAGTTGGTGGCGCTGATGCGAGCAGAAGACGGGGGACGTCGGGGCGGAGTTCAAAGGCGTCAGGGGTGGAGTCGAAAGGCGTCGCGGGCGGGGATTGTGAGCGTGGGGTGGACGGAGAGAGACGCCAACGGCGAAAGTCCTTCTTAAGGATCGGCGTCGACCGCGCGAACGGAATCGTATGGGGACCGGCGTGAGACGGGACGCGCCTCAGCGACTCGATCAGAGGGCACCCCGTCATCAGCGCCAGCCACGGGAATTTCGCGACGGAATCGTGCTTCGCGCTCTCGCTCACGTTCAACGACGTGAGCGACGCGCACGCGGCCGCGACCGCGGGGAGGACGTCGTTCCCGAGCCACGGTAATGCCGCGATGCTCAGCCGTTTCAGTCGACCCGTCAGCGCGGACGCGACGTACGTCGTCGCGCCGCGGACGCCGCCGCGCGCGGGGGAGAGGCTCAGATGATCCAACGACGCGGACTCGAGCCTTCCCGCGATGGACGCGAGCGCGCCCGCGGTCACCTTGTCTCCCATCCCGCTCGCGTCCAGATGTTTCAGCTCCGGGCAGTGCTTCGCGAGCGCGGCGTACGTCTTGTCCGTCAGCGTCGCGCACCCGCTCAGGTTGAGCGTGTGCACCTTCGCCCACTGGAGTGAGTTTATTTAAGGCGTCAGTCGTGGAGTCGAAAGGCGTCGCGGCGCGCGGAGAGAAACGAACGCCACGCCGCGAGAGAAAGTCCTCGAGCGAGGAACGAAGTTCACCGCGTGGAAAGGGTCGCACGGGGAGCAGTCTGGCGCGAGATGGGACGCGCCTGACCGGACGCGCAGAGCCGGCGGATGACGGCGTCGCTCGGCCGACACCACCCGTAGGACAGGTCCACGACTCGCCACACGCTTTCGGGCCGCTCGCGCAGGACGTCGCGGAACGCGCGGCACGTGCTCGCGAGCTTGGGGACGAGCGGGATCGCGCCGGTTCGATGAGTGGACCGTCGCGCGTCGTCCGCGACGTCCGCGGGGAGCTCCGTCGCCATCGCGAAGATGCGCAGCAGGACGTCTCTCGGGAGGGCGCGCGTGGACTGCTCCGCGAAGCTCAGGCCCGCTCTCGTCATCGCGCGCGCGTCCGCGCGCTGCGCGTCCGCGCGCTTTCGCTTCAGCTTCTTCCTCCTCGCCGCGAGCGTCTCCTCCTCCTCCTCCCGGTCCATCGTCGAGTCTTCGACGCGATCCGATGGTGCCAGCTGTACTCTCTTCTTCAATCGCGCCCGCCCCCCCACGCGGACGGCTTCACGCTGCGCTTCCAGAACGGGACCTGAGAAGAGCGCGCGTCCGCCGCCGGCAGCGCCGCGCTCGAGGCGTACACCGAGTACGAGATGTACGCGAGCGCGCCGGTCAGCGCGAGGAAGATCGGCGTCGACTTGAGGGCGTTCGGCGGCGGGCGCGGCTCCTTGAACGCGCCCATGGGGTGCGTGGGAAGTTGTGACGCGCGCTCGTGGCTTTTCACCCACCGCTCGGTTTCAATATTTGATCGCGGCCCTTTCAACGGACCGATGAACATTTTTGCTTGGACGGACTCGTCCGCGCGTCTCGCTCGTCGTCGACGTCACACGTCGGACGCGCCGAGCGACGACGCCCCGCGCGCGCCGACACGATGGCGTCGCTCCCCGCCGCCGCGCCCTCTCTCTCCCGCGCGCCCGCGCTCGCGCCGCGCGCCGCCGCGCCGGCGTCCTCCTCCTCGCGACGCGCGGCGGCGCGGCGTCGCGCCGTCGCGCGCGCGGCCGCGCCGTCCCCAGATCTCGCGACCGACGCGACGACGACGACGACGACGACGACGCGTCGCGACGCCGCGAAGCGCGCGCTGCGATACGCCACGGAGGGCACCTACCGCGGCGCGCTCGCGTCCACGTCCGACCGCGCGGCCGTGGAGGAAGCGCAGGTGGCGCTCGAGGCGTTCGCCGCGGGGACGCCGCTGGACCGCGCCGTCCTCGCGGGACGATGGCGGCTGCTGTACACGACCGCGAGCGACGTCCTGTCGGTGATTCGACTGGGGAGAGACGTCGGCGTCGTCGACGTCGGCGACGTCTTCCAGAGCTTCGACGACGCCGGGAAGATCCAGAACGAGATCCGGCTGAGCGTTCCGTTCCTGCTCGCGCCCGCGACGCGAGGCAAACCGGGGGGGGTCTCGCTGAAGGTGGACGCGGACTACCGCGTCGTCGGCGATCGCACGCTGAGGTGCGTTCTATTTTACACTGGTTGGTCCCCGTACGACCGCGTCGGCGTGGTGAACGCCGATCCTTAAGGACTTTTGCCATCGTTTCTCTCCGCCCAGGGTCCCTCGCTTTCGATCACCACCCTCGACGCCTCACAACTTCATCTGACGCCTATGAACTCCACCCCGACATCGCTTCGTATGGAACGACCCCGAGCCTGGTCTTCAACGAGGCCAAGGTGAGCGAAGTGCGGATATCGGACGCGGTGGAGGCGGCGCTCGCGCCCGCGCTGCTGCCGCGCGGGTCGCTGAATCGGCAGGTCTTGCTCGCGATCCGGGAGTTCGAGCTCAAGTTTCCGCTGCGTTCGGCGCTGAGCTCGATGGGGGGCGGCGGGGGAAGCGACGGCGACGGCGACGGCGACGGCGCCGTGGGGGGGGGAAACGACGACGCCGAGACGCGCGACGCGTCGGCGGCGCGCGGCGGAGGCGGAGGCGGCGCGCCCGTCGGCGCCTACCTGATATCCTACGTCGACGAGGACACGCTCGTGGGGAGGGCGAACGGGACGGGGACGTTCATATTCCAGCGCGAGGGCGACTTCGAGGCGGCGTAGAGGAAGAGGAAGGATGGACGGACGGACGGGCGGCGGCGGCGGCGGCGGCGGGAATCGCCGCGCCGGCCGCGCCGGCGCCGGCGCGTTCGCGGGCGAGCCTCGGACCGTCCGACGTTCCGGAGTGGAAGGCTGGAAACTTTGAAACTTTCGCGGCGTTCTCCGCGCGAACGTATTCATCCCGCGCGGCGCGTCCAGCGCGCGGCGACCTCCGTCCGCGGCGCGACGCGCGAGCGGAGAAGCCGTCATCGAGGCACAGGCAGATGTGAAGAGCCCCGCGGCGGGGCGGGACGCGAGCCGAGAAAGCCCATTGTTTCCGGAAGGATCCCGCCGGCGCCGCGCCGCCGCGGCGCCGTGCGGCCGCGGCCACGGCGTGGTGCGGGCGTGCCGCGTTCGATCACCTCGGCACGGGGCTGAGCGCGCGCGTCGCGAGGTTTCCGCGTGGAAAACGCGCGCGCGAGACGTGAATATAAGATAGCTAGAGTTTTTAGTTTCAGGAACAGTCAGTTCAGTCTTTGGAGACGCGCCAGGAAGAGAATCCGTCGCCGAAAACCAAATCCGAACCGAAACGAACCGGTGAGACCATCCGGAAGAAAGTTAACTCAAAAATCGACGGTTTAATTTCGCTCGACCGGAAGAAAAAAAGTCCCGGGCGGGAGAAAAAAAAAGTTCCGATCGGATCAGCGCCGATCGGATCAGCGCCGGTATCAAATTTCACGTGACCGAATTTTTTTCGCCGATTTCATCGAAGTGCGCGGTTTAGAAGTCGCGTCACTAACCGCGAAACTTTTAAACCACGCTTTTTGAGTCAACACATACGATCGAGATTTGGTCTCGGACGATCCAATCTCGCTTTCCGCGGTCAATCGTCGTCTGGAAGGTTTTCCGAGCAGGGAGTCAAAGGATCAGGATAATATTTTTTGGCAATGCGAACGCATAGTATACCCTGCGACGCGTCTCGGTCGCACTCGACCCACAAATTAGGGTTCAAGCGACGCTCGATGGCGCGATCCGCGTGCCCTCCGCTCGCGCAATCTCTTTCGCGAATTTTGTACTACCCCGCGAAAAGTGCACACAAAAGACGCCGGCGCGCAGGTGACGAAGCGCGGCGCGGGGGACCGAGGGCATTCGACGACGCGCGCGGAAGGCACCGCGCGCGCGCGCGTTCGATGTCGCGCGAGGACGAAGACATGAGGGACGCTCCGTGCGGCAGCGGCAGCGGCAGCGAGGGCGGGGGCTCCGGCGGCGACCGAGAGGTGCGCGCGTCCTTTCGCGCCGTCGTGGAAAAAAGATGCAGCGTTTAATCTCAGCCGCGCCGCGCCCCCCCCCCCCGCGTCTTCGCGCGCGCGTCGCGTCGTCCGCGCCCTCGACATCGCCCGCGCATCGCGACGCGCGAACGCTCACGCATCATCTCTCCCCGATCCCCCAACGCGCGCAGGCGTCCGGCGGCGAGGACAGCGACGGCAACGCTCGCGAGCGCGAGAACAGCGCGACGAGATTCTCCGGCTCGAAGCAGCACGGAGGCGCGTTCTATACACTGGTTCCCATACGACCCCGTCCGCGAGGTGGACGCCGATCCTTAAGGACTTTCGCCGGCTCATCTCTCCGCCCACTCCCCGCTTTCAATCCCCGCCATCGACGCCTTTCAACTCCATCTGACGCCTTTCAACTCCACCCCGACATTCGCTCGTATGGAACGACCCGGAGGCGCGCACGATCTGTCGACGCGCGAGTCGTCGCCGCCCGAGGTGGCCGGACCGGGGAACAAAGAGGAGAGCGCGCGCGCCGGGGACACGGGCGAGAGCCCCGGCGCGCGCGGCGGCTCCGGCGCGGACCGCGACTCGAAGCCGCGCGGCGGCGGCGGCGAGACGAGCGCGGACGCGCGGCCGTCGCTGCCGCGGTTCGATTTTCACGACTTTCCGCGAAAGACGAATCAGGCGCGTCCCGCGCGCCGGTTCCCGTACGACCGCGTTCGCGTGGTGAACGCCGTTCCTTAAGGACTTTCTCTCCCGGCACATCTATCCGTCCAGGGTCCCTCGGTTTCAATCCCCGCCCGCGCCGCCTTTCAACTCCGCTTCTGACGCCTTTGAACCCCACCCCGACGTCGTTTCGTACGATGGACGACCTCAGGCGGACGACGCCAACGCCGCCGTCACCGCGCAGATGTCCGTGTCCGCGCGGGGGAGTCTGGCGGCCGCGCGCGCAAAGGAAGCCAACGACGCCACGATGGGGACCGGCGGCGGCGGACCGAGCGCGTCCAAGACGAGCGGCGCGTCGAAGAAGAGCGGCGGCGGCGGCGGCGGCGGCGGCGGCGCGAGGGGGGCCGCGTCGCCCAAGCCCAAGCCGAAACCGAAACCGAAACCGAGAGAGACGCGCGCGTCGAGTAAAGCCGCGGCCGCGGCGATGAAAGCGACCGAAGCCGCGATGGTGGCGGGGACGCCGGAGGACGCGGGCGACGCCACGAAGGCGGGGAGAACCCGAGCCGGGGGCGCCGGTTCCAAGGGTGGAGGGAAGGCGGCGTCGGAGTTTGCCGCGCCGGCGCCGCCCCCGGCGAAGCGACCGCGCGGCGGCCGCGGCCACGGCCACGGCGCCGTCCACAGAAACTCGAGCGGGCTCCCGATGATGCCCCCGCCCGGAGGCGCGTCGTCGCGCGACCCGCACGGCGCGTTCGGCGGCGCCCCCGCGCTCAGCGCGGAGAACGCGATGAAGGCGACGCATAGGTCCATCTTTCTCGCGGGCGGCGGCGTCTCCGGATTCGCGTCTCTCTCCGGGGGGTCCGGGTTCCACGGCGCGACGGCGAACGCGAAGATCAGCGGCTCCGGGAAGATCCAGCTCCTCGGGGCGAGCGCGACCGGGACGACGACGACGACGAAGGGGAATTTCGGCGCCGGCGAGGTTCCCGCGGTGGATCAAATCCGGGCGGGCGGTCATCGTCGATCGAGTCCGACGAGTCACGACGCGACGACGAAACGGGTGGAGGTCATCGTCGGCGCGCGACCCAAGTACCACGGCGGCGGATCGTTCGAGTACCTCGTGAAGTGGGTCAACCACGCGCACGTGCACAACGAGTGGACGGAGGAGGACCTCCTGGATCAGATGGCTCCCGCGGAGCTCGGGGAGTTTCTGCTGCAGCACGGCCGCGTGCCGCGGATGCTGATGGACGAGCGGTGGACGATTCCTCAACGCGTGGTCGCGATTCGTCCGACGCGACGCGGCGGCGGCGGCGGCGGCGGCGGCGGAGGCGGAGGCGGCGGCGGCGGCGGCGGCGGCGGCGGCGGCGGCAGCGGCGATGGGAACCTCCCCACCGGCGGCGGCGGCGGGAGAGCCGGCGCGGGCGCGTGCCTCGCGCGCGACGCCGCCGCCGCGCCCGCGTCTGGAAGCGGCGGGGGCGAAGAAAAAGACGCCGACGCGGCGGCGCGCGACGGCGACGACGCGACGCCGCCGAACGACTCGGCGTCGCCGCCGCCGCGCGAGACCTCCCCGGACGACGACTCCTCTGACATCGACGTGAAGAACACGTCGGTTCTCGTGAAGTGGTGGGGCCTGCCGTACGACAAATGCACGTGGGAGCGCGCGGAGTGCCACCCTGATCTCCCGCTTCTCTTGAAGCGATTCGCGGAGTGGAAGCGGCGTC